CGAGAGGCTCGAGGGCTGGCGGAGCCAACCTATGATTGCGAGACCTTTAACCGGCCCCTTACCTTGCTGGAACTGTTCGGGGGTATCGGCCCAGGACTGGCTGCATGCGTCCGGACTGGGCAGACTATCAAAAAGTGGGTGTACGTGGAGAAGAATGCCGAGGTCCGAGAGATGGCCTTCCACCATGCGAGGATGCTAAGTCAGCAATTCCCGGACAAGCTGCAGCCAGCAATGATAGCTGAGGCAGAAGCAGTATCACAGAAGCGTTGGTGGCAGGCTGGGGGCATGTAGACCTGCTAGTGGCTGGGTGGGAGTGCCAAGGCTTATCCAGGGCAGGGAAGGGCAAGGGATTGGCCGATCCCCGCACTGGACTATTCCACGAGCTGATACGGGTGATGAAGATGATCATGAGGAGACAAGGACCAGTGTCATACATAGTGGAAAACCTGGACGTAGCAGAAGACCAGAGGAGTCTGGTGCAAGAGGCGCACCGAGCAGTAACTGGAGAACTGGGGCATGGGGTGGCGTGGGATGCGGCACAGATGGGATCCAGGACACATCGGGTGCGCCGCTACTGGCAAAACCTGATACCTGAGCCCGTGCTGCGTGACCAGCTCAGCAGGATGCAGCGTCCCTTACCTCGGCTGGTGCAGGACATCCTGGAACCGGGAAGGATACCAGCGCCAGTCACCACCCGACATCAAGACCCAGTTCCCTTGCAACCAAGAGGGGGCACCCCGACAGGCCTGGCCTACCTTGGTGGCGACACCAGGTAGTTATGCATTTTGTATGCGTGACGGCGAGCCTGGGCCGGGAATGGTTCAAGTGTTGGAGACGGGACAGTGGGAGGAGCCCTTAGCTGTGGAGAGAGAGAGGGCCCTGGGATACATGAGGAATGCCACAGCAGCGGAAGGCATTTCCGAGGAAGCCCACAGGGAAGCTCTGGGGGGGGGTAATAGACCAGCATGCGTTGGTCTGGTTATTATACCGAGCGCAGAAGCGACAGGAGATCATGAGGATGCAGCTGCTGATGCACTGGAGGTGGAAGGATATAGAGGAGATGCTAGAGACGGATCCGGAGCAGGTGATGGAGGTGGCTGAGGCGTGGCAACGGATGAAGGCAGATGCCTGGACGGAGAGCCAGCAGGACGAAAATCGATTGAACAGCTCTTGCATCGCTCTCCTGGCCAGAGCAATGCAGGAGGCAGAGGGACAAGAGCAGGCGAGGGAAGAGGAGGGTGAAGAGGAAGAGCCTCCACCGCTAACGGAGACTCCACCCGGATGGGATATAGGAGACGGGCTGGAGGAAGAACAGCAGGAAGAGCTAAGGACAGTGCTGAGGGAGGCGAGGGGAGCTTTCGCCTATTCTCTGGAGGAGTTGGGCAAGTGCAATAGAGCAGAGCTAGAGATAGAGCTGCAGACGGCAGAGCCAGTATACCAAAGGAGAAGGCATATGAGCCCAGGGGATAGAGACATAGCCAAAGCCAAATGCGCTGAACTGCTGGCTGCCGGCCTCATACGCGAATCCACGTCAGAATATGCAGCAGCTACCATGGTGGCTGCAAGGAAGGACTTGACAGGGGAGACGTTGGCACGGAGGATGTGCGGCGATTACAGAGGACTGGATCGCGTCACGAAGAGCGACAGATACCCCATGCCGATGGCTGAAGAAATATTCGACAATGTGACTGAAGGGAGGGTGTACTCGACACTGGACTTAAGGCAGGGATTTAATCAGATCCCAATCAAGGAGGAAGATAAGCAGAAGACCGCCTTTCATGGCCCTGAGCGGCTGTACGAGTGGAACTACATGCCTTTCGGGCTCAAGAACGCGTCGGCGAAATTTCAGCGAGTGATGGACCAAGTACTTCAAGGGATTCCTCAGGCCCTCTGTTACATTGACGATGTGGTGGTCTTTAGCAAGGATGGGAAGCAGCATGTGGCCGACGTGGCAGCCACCCTGGCTGCAATTCAGGCAGCGGGCCTCACTTGCCATCCAGGAAAATGCCATTTCGGGGTGAAGACAGTAGCGTATCTGGGGTTTCAAGTGGGAGAGGGAGGATTGTCGGTGCAGCAGGCCAAGGTAGAAGAGGTAGATAGACTGAAGCCGCCAAGTGATAGAAGCACACTACGAGCGCAACTGGGATTCTTGAGCTACTACCGGAAGTTTGTTCCGAACTTCAGCAAGACGGCAAAGGCCCTGAACCTACTCCTGTGAGAAGACGAGCCATGGAAGTGGGGAGAAGAGCAAGAAAGCACGTGGAGGACGCTAAAGGAAGCCGTGAAGACGACGCCCATGCTGAAGCTGCCCAATCCAGAGGAGCCTTTCACATTGTATACTGATTGGAGTAGCAGTGGGATGGGGGCAGTGCTGTGCCAGGAGGAAGGGGGGCTGGAACGAGTAGTGGCCTATGCCAGCCGGTCCTGCAGTCCAGCAGAAGGCAACTACAGCTCCTATGAGGGAGAGGGGCTAGCAGTGGTATGGGCCGTGGAGCTCTTCAGGCTCTACCTGCAAGGAAGGAGATTTACGCTGGTCACCGATCACCAACCACTGCTGTGGCTTATGACGAACCAGGCGCTGAAGGGGCGGAATGCGAGGTTGCAGGAATTCGAGTTTGAGATCAAGCATAGGCCGGGGAAGACCCTCCAGCACATGGATGGACTATCCAGGCAGGGCCCAGAGGAGATGACATCGCCCGCCGGTAGCGCTGAGACAGGGCTCACCTGTATGGCCGTGGCAGCCGAAAAGGAGGGCTGGAGTCGGCGGACAGAGAAGGAGAAAGGCTGCCGAGAAGTATGGGAGGATCTACCTGTGCTGCGATGGGTGCAAGAAAAGGGGCCCGAGGGAGAAGAGGTGCCCGAAAGGGTCAGGGCAAGAGGGGTGCACTATCGATGGCAGGAAAATCAGCTGCAATTGGTGACAGAGGATGGCTGGAGGATAGTGCCCAAGCCAGAGGAACGCGAGACGCTGATTTTGAAAGTGCACACGCGCCTGGGTCACTACGCGACTGTGCAGCTTCTGCAAACCATGTATTGGTGGGGGGGAATGCGGCAGGGGTTGAAGGAGGTAGTGGCGAACTGCGAACCTTGCAGAAGGAGCAAGGCCAGATTGGAGAAAACGAAAGCGGAGCTGCAGTCCTTGCCCATTGGGACATAGCTGGAGAGCTGCCCCTTTCCCGAAGAGGCAAGAAGTACATTTTGGTCATGATAGAGCATACTAGCAAGTGGATAGAGGTGGTCGCGTTGACTCGGAAGACGGCGGCAGGAGTGGCTGAGGCCTTTGTCCAGCACGTCTTGACTAGGTTCGGAGCATATGGGGAAGTACTAACCGACCAGGGTAGCGAGTTCGCATGGGGAATTCGATGCACTCCTGCAGGAGGTGGGCATCACGCATAGGCGGACGTCGCATTATCACCCTCAGGCAGATGGCTTAACAGAGCGAAAGGTGCAGACGTTGAAGCAAGGGCTGAGGAAATATTGTGAGGAGGAGGAGCGGAGGGACTGGGACAGCTACCTGCTGTGGGTAGCGGCTGGCTACCGCTTCAGCAAAAAGCAGGCACTCCGAGACTACTCTCCATACTACCTGCTATATGGGAAGGAACCGGTGCTTCCTGTGGATGCTCCATGAGTAATGGTCGAAGCAGTGGACACGGAAGACTCTCGTAAGTGGGCAGCGGTGGCAGCAATGAGAGCAAGCTACCTAAGGAGCGCCTTGCCCGCTGCGCTTGATAACCTGGAGGTGGCACAATTGAGGGATGCGCGACGGTACCGACAGCGTAAGCAGGGGGAGAGTAGCCGGAGCTTGGAGGACAGTACATTGCAGCTCGGGGACGAGGTGTACCTCAGGGAACCAAGGCGGAACACCTTGGAATACGGGCTGAGCAGGCAGCGGTGGATGGTGCGGGGTAAGAAGGAATCAGGCGTTCTGCTGCTGCAAAACAGCCAAGGCCGGGTCACTGAGGATTATGTCACGAATGTCGCCAGGGCTGGGCGTTCACGGCTCGGCGGCGGGGACGCTGGCCAGGCCATGAGGGGGCAAGAGCAAGGAAAGTCGGAGGTCATCACGTACAAGCGAAGACAAGGGAAACCAGTTAAGGAGCTGGGATAGAGGCCCGAAAGGAGAGTCGCCGGAGGACGGGGATGGTGTGCGACACCCGGCGGCGCAGCAGCATCGCGGCATAGCGGCACGGCGACACCGCAGCACAGCGGCACAACGGGACCGCGGCACGGCGAGCTGGGGCGGCGCGGCTCGGGAAGTAGAGTCCGGCAGTGGGGCGGCGGCGCGCAGGGTCGGTAGAAGCTGGGGCCAGCAGGGGCTTGGGCCGGCGGGAGCTAGGGGCCGGCTCGAACTGGGGCCGGCAGGAGCTGGGGCCGGCAGGAGCTGGGGCAGGCGTGAACTGGGGCTGGCGAGCTGGTGCCGGCGAGCGCGATAGGGGCGGCGAGCGTGCTAGGGCCGGCGAGCTAGGGCTAGCGAGCGAGGGCTGGCGAGCAAGGGCTTGCGAGCTGGCGCCGGCGAGCTGAGGCCAGCGCGCTAGGGCTCGCGTGGCGCACGAAGGGCCAGCGGCGAGCTAGGGGCCTGCGGGCTAGGGCCCGCGCGGCGTGCGAAGGGCCAGCGGCAAGCTAGGGGCCAGCGGACGAGCTAGGGGCTAGTGGGCGAGCTAGGGGCCAGTGACGAGCAAGGGGCCAGCGGTGAGCTAGGGGACAGCGCGTCGAGGAACGGGGAACGCGCGGCGCGCGAAGGGCTAGCGGCGAGCTAGGGGCCAGCGGGTGAGGGATCGCGCGGCGCGCTAAGGGCCAGCGGCGAGTTAGGGCCAGCGGGCTAAGGCTCGCGCGGCGTGTGAAGGGCCAGCGGCGAGCTAGGGGCAAGCGGGCTAGGGCGCGGGCACGATAGGGCGGGCGATAGGGACTAGGGTGGGCGCTAGGGACTAGGTTGGGCGCTAGGGACTAGGGCGTTCTAGGGCGGAAGCGCGGGTGAGGGACCTAGCCTAGCGTGACACCATCTTAGAATAACGTATTGATTAGAAACGAGCATACAGGGTGGTTTTGTGCTAGTGTGTTGTACTCTCTATGAGCACGCACCTATCTAGCCTAGAACAGCGTATGAATATAAGTTGACATGTGGCTCGTCAGGAGACCACATTTGACTTTCACGGCAGAACTGTGCGGCAACCCCTTTAGAGCAGTGTATGCCTTACTAAAACCCGGGATAAGGAAATACCATTTCCTTACATGCTTGCATTGCATGAGGGTTCATGGCAATGTTGTTGCTTAATTTGTCTCATTGTAAAACGACGGGTGCTGAAGTGCTAGAAATCAGCATATTCGGTCAGGCACAAAGACGAATACCCTCCCACACTGCAGGGTCCTGGTGCAAGTGCTTGAATGCAAGTTTGGCCGTGAACCATTCAACGGACATCCCACCCATTCTCAACCCCTCCTATTTCCTCTCTACTTCTAACCGCAACAAATGTTCTTGCTGAATTGTTCACCTGATGCACATGACAGCCCCATGACTGGTCCCACCTGGTCGTGGCATGCCACAGCTCCTCCTCCACCTCTGCTGGCCTCACCAAGTCCTGGCGCACACAGCGCACTGCCAAACGCGGGTCACCATGTGCTGGCTTGTCATAGCCCCCAACTGCTACACAGCCAATGCAGACATACCCCTCTGGAGGGATTGGTCTCCATATGCTGACTGCATCTTCTGTCTTGCTCACTCGGTTCCGCCACACCTGTGGCAACAGCACCATGGGAATGAGAGCAGGGCCCAATATAAGTGGAAAGTCGGGACGAGAATGGCAGGAGATTGACAAGTTGCTTGCTCATGCCACTCACAAGGAAGTAATCCTTTGGCATGGCAAGTGCACTGCAGGAGCCAGCAGCCACTGAAGCTGGCGCGGTGGAGTACACTCGCACAGCTGGAGGGGGTGTTAGTCCTCTCCATGCAACATCCCCCAAGGATATGTACCTGCAAAGGGCACAATGTATAATATCAACACGTGTTAAAACTGACACTGAATGCTGAACTATGCTAAAAGTTCAGCACTAGAGCAGGTATGTGGCCTACCCTTCTGGAGGCACTGGCTTCCAGATCGCAAAATGACCAGCCTCAACAGAATCCTGGCAGGGATAGGAAACACTCAAAGTTCTGGTGAGAATTGACAGAATCAAGAGACAAAAGCCACCAACAGTTCTCGAGCCACCAGCCAGCAGCAACTGACATTGCCAGCAACAGAAGCAAAACTTACCCCTTGACAAGATGTCGAGCAGAAAGATTGTCCATCCTCAACCACCCATGCACGAATGAATGTATCCGTCTCCATGTGCGATGGGATTGAGTTAGAGTGCATGGATGGCAATGCGAAGCGACGGGCCATGATGGGGGGGTTGTCTTCGCTAGAAGATAATGCATGCCGGCCAATTGCCAGTGCCCGCTCTGAGGTTTGGACGCTGTGCTGTCGACCAAACCTCCTGGACTGTGTTGGTTGGATTGGCCGGGCTGATGAGCTGGTGTGAGAGAGTGAGGACTGGCTGGTGGCAGTGGATAAGAAGGAGTGCTGGGAAGGCTCAGCTGGGATCTGCATATTGAGCAAGGAGGGGAAGTCAACAGGAAAAATGCTTGAAGCAGAATGTTTGTGAAAAAACAATAAAAGGAAGGACGCAAAAATACTTACGTTCCCTGCTTGAATGTTGACTGGCTTGGGACCATAGGCCTCAAAGGCAAAGGCGATGTCAGCCAGCACTTGCTCAGCAGGATGCGTTTCTGGGCAGCGGATGATGGTGTAGAGGCGTCGCGGGGTAGGCTCTCGCATATGCACACAGACCACTGGCCGAGGGAAGCTACGGATGCTCTTGATCTCCAGAGCCAGTAGGTTGTCCCATGGTACATCCCATCGCACAAGGGACGGGACTTGAACCAGAGTCAGGGAGTCTATTTGGCCAGCCGGATCCACCGGACACTAAGCAAACGAAAGGTACAGGGCAGGTTGAGGGATGGGGGAGGATGAATATGAACGGTACAGAACAGAGTAGCACTGGAAAATGAGGTGCATATTGCATTTCTCCAGGCAAAACATGGTCCACTTAGGAGGACCAGGTTGGGTAGCCTCTGTCCTTTGGGAAACTTAGCAACTTAACCCACCTTGAGCATCATGACCCTGCGATTGGTGATCAGCAGGAGGCGGCTGTTGGGCAGAATAATGTGCTTCACATATGCATCTGACAGGGCAAACTTGGAGTGGTCCCTGAATATGTCACGCTTGCCAAAGTAAGAGCCTGCTTCTGCCATGAACAAAGCCATCTGAACGGAAGGTTACGAACAAACGCAAGATGGAAGGAATGGGACAGCGGAAGAAGTGTCAGTGACAGCTGAAATGCACAGGATGGGGAAAGAAAGGAACGGCCCGCATGGAAAGACAGCACAGTAACTGAGGGAGTTACAAACCTGGCCAACTGCGCTCTCCTTGTTGTACTCGTGAACCACCCCCTCGACAGAAATAGCCCTCGGCAGACGCAGGCGCTGCAAGTGAGGCTTGCGCTGCACCATGCGAGCGCATGACCCAGCGGATGCATCTATGCCAGCAACAATGAATGCCAGAGAGTGCAGAAAGCCTGTCACTGGATGCAGCACAAGCCCTGCCAGGCCTTTGCTGAGCCCAAGAAGCAACCCCGGTGGCCCATGGTTCTCGTAGCCAGACTGGGAACGGACAATGACATCAGTTAGCCCTAAAGCCACCCCTTTGGCCATTGCCTCAGCACCATAGAGAAGACCCTCTCCCACGTTGTCAAGCTGGTTGCCAAGAGCCTGCGTACAACCCAATAGAGCAACAGCGAGGAGGTGATTCTAATCAGCATTTCTTGACTCTACTGGGGATTTCTCTGTTCTTCCATCTTCAATAAACGGAATCTTTGTTGGGCATCCATGTCATGCATCTGGTTCCAATTGATTGCACAATAATCACCTGTTGGAAGTGCCTGTTGCTCATGTCCTCTTTATGGACGAGTCTTAACGCCCCGTGTCCGAGAGCAGTGAGAGTGGAGCTGATGACCCCCAGCACGTCCACACCAGACAGCAGGCGCAGTGACTGGTGCAAGAGATCCCTCATCACATGCCGCACCACCGCCTCCATAAAGATGCTCCTGCGCAGTCGTCTTGCCTCAGCTATTGCCCCTGAGAGGCGGACCTGAAGAATCGAAAGGTAGCCATCGCCAGGCAAAAGGAGCTCCATCACTCAGAAAATATTGTGCAATGTAAGAAGGGCTGTGGTGCAAAATATGAAAGTACAGTCTGAATAGAACTGTTGGATTAAGTGGTTATAAAATATGCTCACCGGCATGCGCTTAGTGTTGCCTGCAGCAGTGACAAGACTGTTCCATGCGCCAAGCAGCTGTGCAGGGCGTGATGTTGGTTCAGCTTCAAGTGTCAGCTTTAAGTGAGCTCCAGAGACAACAAGGCGGCTGGACAACCACACCATCAGCACAAAAGGAGGTTCGAATGCCATAGTGAGGTGATTACATTGCTAAGGGCACTGCACCCAGCTGACAGCTACAGAGCCATGTGGAAAAATAATAGCATGTGCTGTGACTCACTCTATGCGAATCATTGGGTCAACCTGCACAGCAGCCACTGCCCCTCCATCGACTCCACCAGCCCCTGCTGCAACGAAGTGGTCCCAGCAAATGCTCTCAGTTAGCTCCCACATCCGCCACACGATGGCCTCGTGCACATTCACTTGCCATGCCTCCTGTGCCAGCTGCATACAACCAGGCACGCAGTTCCGTGTCAAACGACAGACAACTGGAAAACAGATGACAATAAGCAACATGGAAACATTTTACTGGATCGAGGAACGTCCATAGCAAGGGTAATGACGCACCCAGAGTCTGAGTTTCGGGTAGCAAACTTCTCCTTGCTCCATGCTGCCACGCGATGAGATAAGGAACTTGAAGACATAGTCCTTTTCTGGCACGCCTTTCTGCTCCAAGAACAGTAGCACCGGCAGGGGCGACAGAGGGAGCTGGTTGTCAATGCGCAGACTTTTCAGTATCAGCTTCACCCTGCCACAGTAACACAGGAAAGGTAAGAAACTACTGGCACAAAGGGAAGGAACAAGTGATTGGCTGAAAACATGTCAGAGTTTGCTTACTATGCCTTTCCAAGAAGAGGCCCACCTGCTGGAGTCATCTTGCCCATCGTAGCGGTAGTCCAACAGGAAGCCTTCTGAGAAGGCATAGAGCAACTCCTGAGGTCTGTGGTCAATGATCGACAGCCCCACACTCATGAGGTCCAAACTGATTTCCACTCTCGAGCCCTTGCTTGAGAGATTGACACTCGGCTGTGGCCCAAACAATGAGCCGGCTGGTGCTGCCACCTCAACATCCCTTTGGTGAAGGTGCGATTCCTCCTCCTCCACAGTTGAGTCACAGCCATTGGTGAAGCGAACAATGCAAACGCCATCACAATCGAATGACTGAGCGTGCAGGTGACCACCGGTAGCAGGCAGAGGAAGAGAGCCAAGGTCCGCTGCCTCTGAGAGGTCAAACATCATGGTGTCTGGAGGATCTAATGCGCTCCCAGAAGATTCTCCAGTTGTTTCATTAGCGAGGTGGGCATAGGCCTCCAGAAAGAGATCCCCATCTGGGTCTTCCCAGGCAAAATCAGCAGCTGACCTTGGTGAAAGGACCTCCCATGCTGCACTGGATAGACCACTCTGTCGAAAAGAGACACTGCAACTGGAGTGATTCTCAAGCCTGCATTGAGAAATGTGAAACATAAGAATAACAAATTGGAAAAATGAGGCTTTGAAGAATGAAGCACAATCGACCTGCCTTAGCAAGAAAACCAAGATATCACAGCCTCACTTGTATGGCAGGTGAAGTCCTCCAAACCGGAACGAAATCATACGCTTGGATGCAGAACCTCCAGACCGGGCGTCCATTCTGATAAAGCGGCGGGAATTGTCGCTCAGCAGTCGCACTACAGCAATCACCTCAGCATCCTGTGAAAGCTTGAGAGGATAACTCCATGTGGATGAGCTGGTGCGAACCTGTCATGCCACATACACCAAGCACAATGTCCGTAAAATGCCAACAGGCCTTTGTTCCTGAATTGCAAGAATGATGAGGCGATCTGGCAACATACCTGAAAGGTGTCGTCTTCATAACCGCGAGGGCACACAAGTGGCCTGTGCCAGTCAGATGGTGCCAACTCCGTCACATGCTCCTCTGCCTCTGGTGGTCTCACAAAGACAGGCTCTCCTAGTCGATTGGTAAGAGACATGAATGGCCGGATCTTCAGAACCTGTACAACACACCCAAAGAAAGGCATGTACAGGTGAGATATCCTTGGATCTTCAAAAGCTGTCCGAAGTTGGAAAAACTTACTTTCGATCCTTTTGAGCCATACGGGCTGACGTCCATGAAAACTACGAGTGGCAAGTACGAGCCATCTGCTGCTGTGGCCTGTGAGTTGCACATGGTGCTCTGCAAAACTCAGAGACTTATGTCAGCTTGCAGTGGAAATCCCATGTTTCCTTTCAAATCGAAAGCCAAAACGCACGAATGTGACAGAAAAAGCAACAGGCAAATGGGGAACGTGTTCCCCTCACCTGAGATTGAACAGCTGCAATTGACAGGTCAGGCCCATATACCTCCACCAAGCCCCCTCCTTGGCCCAGAGCAAAGCGAATTACAGATGTTTCGCCACACCGGGATAGCATCACTGTGCTTCCCTCGTCTCCACCGTGTACCACTTCATCCCTCGAAAGTTGGCCCTGCATTTTGCTCTGTTTCTTAGCTTCCCCCTTGTGCTCCTTCCAAGCCCTCTTGAAGTTTTGAAAGGACCCACTCCCCATGGCAGTGACAGAGGTCGTGTGCGACAGGGAGAGGACCAAGGGCGGACAACCAGCTGTGTCAACCCAGCAGGGAACCGAGAAGCTGACCTCCTTCAGCGTGCCAAATGTGGCAGACCAAGCCCTATCGATGGACACTTGGAGATACCTGAAAGGACATTTCAAGAACCATGTTTTACGGTAAGAGAAGCTTCCACAGAAGTGCAAAATAAGGAGCAACGAATGGTTGACAGGGATCAGCCAACAAAAACATCATACCTGTGAGTATCTTTATGCACCAGACTGACTTCAGATGGAAGGGGGTCTTGTGGATGGAAAATCGTCACGCGTTCCTGCATATATGGACAAAGAAATAAAGGAAATGTTTATGATACTTCCACCAATAACATATCTGCCCTCCAACACGCATAGGAAAAGAAACCAACCTCAGATTCATCTGGTGCAATCCACACATCTCGGATCTTCAAAGCCACAAGCAGACGGCCCCCTGGGTGGACAGACAAGATGCCCTTCTTGGCTCCAGGTTCCAAGATCAGCTCCTCTTCCTTCAACAGGATATCAGTCGATGGAGGATCAGAGCTCCAGATGGACAAAGTGATTGGCTCTGGCAAGAAGTTGCAAAGAGTGATGGGCGGCTCTACAAGAATCTCCCAATCCATGGTCAGTGTGAAGCTTGAGCGCTTGCTCAAAGGAGTGCCAATCGCCTGCACCAGCATCCAGCTGGTTTCTGATTGCTCGCTCTCAGTTGATGTTTGTTGGCAGAAAAGCAACTCCTCAGTCCTCCCAAGATGCGTCAGACAGAAGTCTGAGAAGGAAAGACGTGCTTGCTTTGAGTCGGTGGTCTCCTTGAGGGTCTTCGTCACATGTGCGTCGACAGACCCCCACGAGAATGAGGTGGCAGTGGCGGCAGAATCATCATATCGCGTGACACATGGCCGGAGTTGGATGCACGGTTCAGTCTGTCCTGATGACGGGAGTGGGACCGGCAGCGGAAGTGTGCCGCCTGGTTCGACCAAGCCACAGAGAATCCGATCAGGTGCTTTTGTGCCTGGAGATTGCTGTCGGAACCGCACCCACCGCCTCCTTCGAACCGCATCAACGAATCCTTTCACTCGATGCACAGTGCCTCTGGGTGGCCAAGATGCCTCCAAAAAGCTAGGGAAGTATGCCCATCCATCCTTGTCCACGTGTTCAGAAACTTCAATGTGCCAATCAGAACTCCAGACCCAACCGACTGGCAGCTCAGGATCCTTGAATTTCTGCAATGCAAACAGGAATGGCACTGGTATTTCTCTTGCAGACAGATGGTTGATGGAACTTGCAGATGGAACAACCATCTCGGAAGTTCCTTACCTTTGAAGACGTCTTTGATATGGGGTCACTCCAGCACTTGGGGTCGATTGGGAGAAGGTTAGAGGAGCTCCAACTCACGAAGGGCAGATGCCTTTCGTTCTCAAAGATCTCAACGACTTCCACTCCCCCATCACCCTTGGCCTGAGCAGAGTTCTGGCTCGCTTGTTCTGATACTGCAGCGTGCGATGCAGCATTGCTGGGCTGGTCATTGGAGTGTGACAACAGTGAGCGAGGGCATAGGCAAACCTCCAGTGTAGCAGCTGTCTTGTTCACTACAGTCACCAATGACCTGATGTCCAGATGCTTCTCTCCTTCCACCATGGACACTTGAACAGCCAGCACGGTGCCATCCACTTGCTTGGGAACAATCCCACCACCGTAGACAGAGCTGATGGCAGTCCATGGTCCATCCTCAGCCAGGGACATTTGAAACGGCTGCCACCGCTCCTGGATGGGCAAGTCTGGGACTTCATCCAGAAACTCCAGCCTTCCATCAGCCCCAATCTTGCCACAATGGTGGAACACACTGAGATGAGCAGTGCCATGATCACCAGAAGCCTGCAAATGAAATAATGCGTCAGAGATTAATGTTGCACAGAGGCTGACGTGTGATGACGACGGAATAAAACCACACTTACAGGGCCATGTTTCGAGGACAACCAAGAGTGAGCAGTTGTGGACTGTGACGAAGATCCAACATTGCCCAGCTGTTCCACAGCGAGCTTCGGAGCCCATTTGAAACTGAGAAGTGCAGAACCTGCAGCGACAGAAATCATCAACCGTCAGAAGTTGAGGAAGCAAGGAAAAAAACTGTCATGCTGGTGATGGACGTACCACTGAAAGCGCTTTGCTCCACTGCAACACACACAGCCTCTCCTTCCTGCAAGAGAGCGAAATACTGACCACTATAGGTAAGAGCACCCAGAACCAGCATTGAAAAAAAACAAAGGTGCAGCCATTGTATTACCTCATAAGTGCTTTCAAAGAGAAACACTTCATTCCAAAAGAACAACCACATGTTCCCATCACCGGCAGGAACCTTCATGCTCGTCCGTGCATGTTGAGTGCACTGAAACCCATTGACATCAATGGCTGAGGTCAACGAGACAGAACACACGAGCTCCTCTGGATTTGGGAGGATGTCCTTAGGAATCTGCGATAGAACAGAAGTTAAAGCATTTTCACCGTGCCAAACATAGAAGAACATATAGGATTGATTCAAACAAAACAGACATGGAAATTGTTTCACCTGCAACTCGCCGATGCCGAAGGCAAGGGTGCAACCTCTTTGGGCGTTGCTGTGTTGCTCGGATGAAGGATGAAGAGAGCTGGTCCCTGCTGGCACCACAATGCAAGCCTGGCTGCCAGATGGCAAGCAAAACACTCGAGCCCCTGACTTCCTGTCCACTAAACGGAAGTAAAGTTCAATGCCAGATGAATTGTGCTGCACAATGTAGCCAGGCCGTTCTGTTGCATGAGTGTGTTCGTCTGTGAGTCCTTCATCATCCTCATCATGCTCGATCTGCACAAAACAATTGTAACAAAAAGAAATACATGGTGAGCCATCACACTTCTCGTTAACAAGAACGAACACATGCTTCAAGTCTCACCAAGTGCATGGCCCTTTCTGCATCCTCCTTGGCTTCCAGAAGCTTCAGCCAGTCCGAGTACGCCTCCCCGAAATGGTTCACATTCGACGATGATAAGTTAATGTTCACCTTGCTGTTGGAAACCACCCGGCAGGTTGAAAGCGGTGTCTCGGAAACATCACCCCCAGCTAACTCAGCCCTGCATCAAACCAGTAGAAAATTCTGGTGATTTGCAATGAATAAGGTGCACTCTCACCTGAAAGTGACAAAAACTAACTTCAGGCCTTCACATCACACGACAAGCTGAAACACACCTGACCATCCCATGCCACGGCTCCAAACAGGGCTCCCATGCATCCTGCTGTGTGTTGAAAGCATCCACACTGCAGCCAGAGGAAACCTGATGGACAACACTACTGCGGTAGTATAGTGACTTCACAACCAGGTTGTCGAGACTTGTCTTGACAAGAGGGCTCACCTGGCAACACATTCCCACACAGTCTCTTTGAGAATCCTGCAAGCAATTCAAGCTGAATTCAAGGAATGACTAGCAGTTCAGACTCACCAGGCTCCCAAAGTCATCATAGAGGGTGAGAGAAAAAACAGGTAGTGAGACTTCAACATACACACGTGACACTGGCCGCTGCTCATCCAGCACAAAAAAGCCTAAGCCAAGGCGTCGAGGTGGCCCTTTTCGACTCTTAGTGGTGACCAAGAAAGACCCAACCTGCAGAATTGAGAAAAGCAACTTAAGCATGGACTGCTTAGGACTGCAGAAAACCTACCTGACACAAGAAACAGCACATGAACAGGCGAGAAGAAGTTGATGCAGAGCTGTGCCTTGGAAGAAGCCACGTACCTGATTCTCAACAGGCCAGAGCTTGCAGAGGGGCTTTTTGTTGCCTGAAACTACTTCAAAAACTGAAGCAGACGCGATTTTGACAGGCACACATGCATCATTCCGCACGCAACGGAAGCTGTCTTCAGCTGGAGCTGTCTTCCCCCCAGTCACAATCACTCCCAAGGTGCTGTACCCGGGCGGTGGGATTGCCGACCAGAAAGCAACGCTACTGTGTGTGCCTTGAGCAGAAATGTAACTCAACAGCTTCCAACTTGACGGCTTCACAAGGAGACCATCATCAACCTCCTCAATGATAACAGAGTATTCTGGTGGTGAAGATCTGCACGCCAGGAAGAATTCATTGGAGAATGAAGCACAAATAAAGAGGGAGAGAGCAGGGTTCCTGAAGAAACAAATCCACGAAGGGAAGGAATGATGGAATTACAGTTCCATGTGAAACTCCATACCCAAGGCTGATGACATCGCCAACGAATGCAAAACCTTCCGGACAGAGGGGCCTCCATACAGAAACCGCACTGCTGGAAGTTCCCACATGCGACTCCCAAACTAGCTTGAAGAAATGGGTTTGTTGAAAACCTTCCTGCTGTCGAGATGAGAAAGCCACAGAAGGAACTTCAAATGTGAACGAATCATCAACTTGCTGAACTGCAGCCCCAGTTGTGGCAGCATCGGCATCAGATGGTGCTGAAGAGAGATTGTTGAGGTCATTCACAGGAAGCTGATAGCGCAAGTCGAAAGCAAAAGCACAGGCGGCCTCCTGTTCCTGATGGGCAGAGAACGTGCTCATTGCATTCTCGACCCTCCAGAACTTGAAGGCTTGCAACTCGTCAGTCCTGCAAATCAGGAAATCTGAATCGGGTCAATACCTCAAAGCAGCATATCAACACAAGAGCATCACAGAGATTCTGGATCACTTACATTTCCACCGTTATGCAGCCACGTAGTGCTACTGCGCACACATAGGAGGCATCTATGCAGTACACAGCAGATGATGGGGGAGGCTGTGCCCCTGGATGGGCAACACAACCCACAGCCACAAACCCAGGTGGAGGAACTGGCTCCCAAACAGAGCACCCTTGACCAGATGAGACATCGGGTTCCTCTTCTGACGACCATAGCTTTGCAAAAGAAATTGGTCTTTTCACATAGCCGCCTGCCAAGCTGACGGCCAACACTCCCCTTGTTGGTGGAGCATGACTGCAAAGCGAGGAAGAACAATTATCAAAGTTTCAATCACAAGCAGCACCATTTGACTGTTCAAATCTCATACAAAGCCTGAATGAGGTAGCACGTACTCTGTTGTCAAGCAGTCACCCAGCACGACAAAGCCTGGTGGTGCAATCGGTCTCCAAAACGAAATCCTCTGCATGTCGAATCTCCCTGAAAGAAAAGCAGCTGAATGTTAACTTCGGTGCAATGTGTCATTGTGCAGAAGGAGGGCATTCACAAACCTGCATAGGCCCAGACTTTCTTGAACTGCAGGCACAAATGTGGAGGCCTTTCTGCCACACTGTACACTGAGCTGGCGAACTTCTCTTGCATCCTTAGGACCAGCTCCAGCGTGTTGAACGTGAAGTGCGTACGCAGATCAGAAACCGAAAAGTGAATGTCAGTGTACCCTGTGGATGATGTGAGCCTTATCCTACAGTCGACAGGTTCCACCACGCACAACCCAGAGCCAATGTTGATCCCCGATGACCTGACTGCAATGTTCACCTCCGACATATCCCGCACAGTCTGAATGCTGCACATAGAAACAGAAGACCAGTCACTGAAACCATAGACAGAAGAACTTCTGCACTGCCAAAGTCGTTGGTAAAAAGTCCCACAAGAGACAAGAGCCAGAGGCCAAACCTGAGATAAAAAGAAGCCTTCAGTCTTAGCAAAGTTTCCGGAGAAAGACTTGGTGCTGCCCATCTTGCCTGGTCCATGGCAATCAACTCCATCCCAATGGCCTGCACATGCATTGGGCCACATGTATTGCACTATCCCTTGACCAAAAAAAGCACGCAAGACAAATTCTTCTGCAAGAATGCGAATTACAGAGAATACCAGTCACCTGAAGATCAAACTTCCACTGCACGGACGATTGTTCAGGCACATGCTGAGGAGCTGTGGCCTTGCTAAGCTGCTGAGAAGGTCGACTTTCCAGGCGCATGGGTAGCAATCTGACACCATCAGCTTCATCCACTGAGTAACTACTTCCGGCTCCCAATTTGACCACAAGAGGAAGGCATACAGCTCCCTGCATGCAGGATCATAGTTCATTAGCAGCTGCTAATCACAACCTGGGCAGAGGAATTTGCTCAGAACTTACATAGATGCGGACATTCTTGAAGTGGAGGTGTTTCCCTGGGCCGATGATGATCAGAGGAGCTTCAGCAGCATTGCCTTCAGTGATCCCAGCTGACAACAGTTCTATGGAACCTTCGTTCCCATCGAATGTGAAACGTGTTACACCAGGCGCATCAGCAACAAGTGGATTTTGAGAGGAAATCTTCAAGACACTGAATGCATGTTGAAGCGTGTATGGTGTGCGAAGGTGGTGCGCATGGCTCCATTCAGGAGCAGCAGCAGATGCAGCATTGGCATCCTCAGAGCGAGTGAAGAAACTTGAGAGGTGGGAGATGAATGATGGCGCCAGCAGCAGCCGGGGTCGCTGGATCCTTATTGACATGCACTGCACAGCGCTTGTGAATTGAGATTCCAGAATCAGCATGGGCATTGACGGATGGATATGCTCAGGCCCACTGTGTTCATGAGGAAGAGATGAGAGATGAGTTGGCCATTCAGCAGATAATGCAGTTTCAGATCCAGCTGTTGAGACCACTTCCTCCATATTGTCCACAATCCCCAAGACCCAACGCTCCTCCGTTGCAAGTCCAGGGGTTAAATCCTTGATCAACACCCGAAGAACAGACAAAAACAGCTGCGAGATGCCTCCGCTGTGCAGAAAGTGCTGAAGAGACAGATCGGCAACCTGCCGAAGCACAAAATTATAACGTTATTCCAGCTATCATGAGAGGCCTTGAAAGGCAAATCTCCCAAGTTGCAGTCTTACCTGAAGCTTCGCAAATTTCGTTTCACGTGAAGACCCATCGTACAGCAGGAGTGCAAGCGACTGGAAATGAACAGATGTCTTCAAATCCACATGCTTCAATGGTGCAACAGAGGTCCCTGCAGTGGAGTCGGGTGCTGGCACCGTGGCCAAGGTTGACCGTGGCATTTCCGAGAAATTCCCAGAAACACAATCAAGAACAGTTCCATACTCTGCACTGCACATCCCTCCTTGGAGATGGCCAACCTGCCAGGCACAAAGCATGGAACCGATTCTCGTTGTACTTCGCCTAGTCAGGTAAAGAAATCAGACCAGGGAGAACGCAGCGCTTCCAATCACCTTCACTGAAATATGGCAGCCAGGCCAGGATCCAGTGGGATCATCCAAAGGCCTCTCAATAGACACCTGAAGACCCACAAGCCTCTCGATCATATTGTCACTGAGATGGCCATTGGCCATCACATGCAGGCGGATCCCATCGACCTGCCATGGAGATTGAACACAACCATTCAGTCAGTGCTGTGAAGTACAAGGGACACATGACAAGCAAACTTCCTGCCGTACCTCCACTTTCATGACGTCAAGGCTGACGGAGTGCATCATGCCATCACCAAGAAGCTTCATGATTTCAATGGAGTTTGAAATTCCCAGCCTCCCCACATCAAATTCTAAATAGCTGCTCACAGGCAAGCAAGGAGGAACTGAGGAAAGAGAAAGAACGACGTGAACATTGCTTACATGAATTAGCACGTGCATGCATACTCTTTGCTCGAGGATGATTCTGGAAGTAGCAGCAGTAACTCGCCAAATGTGATCGCGAGCTTGATTGGCGTTGCAGTAGCACTGACATGTGCAGGAGGCTCTTCTTCAGATCGAGGGGAGTGCAAATCGTTTTCTGGGTCTTCAGGAGGTGAAAGACCAAGAAAGTATGACGTGACCTGAGTAGTCCGTTATAGAGATGCAAACAAAAGCTCGTAAAGTGAGTACGGGTATTAAGAGTGCATGGGCTCATGACAGCAAAATGTTGAACAAGATGGACAGTGGAAATAGGACTTATCACTCACTTCATGAGTAAATCGGTTCAGGTAGACCACTCGAATTTCAGATGTTTGCACACTGAGAGAGTATCCAGGACTCTCCTCTTTCAAAGACCTATGGTTGGAGCTCGCTAGAGTAATCTGCAACCAATAAGGGAAGCAGGAGAGGTGAGTTGAAAACAATCACCAAACCCAACAGTTATTTTGGACAACACAGTTACCTTAGCGAATGACTGGCCTTTGGTGTTTCTTGGGGAAAACATCCAGCCATATTGATGGCCTTCACCCAAGCTGAGGTCACAGATTCGCAGTTGCCCAAGCTCAGCATCAAGACAAAAAGAGCTTGTTTCGACCTGCAAAAAACATCTGGCTGGTGAGCAGCAATACGAAGACATCTAACAGCTGAGTTAAAAAGCTACACAGGCCTGTTCACACCTGCAGCTGGAACATAAGCTTCTGCTTTGTAAGCACCGCAAGAGGAAGGCCATTATCTTGATTCAGAGTGGCCCGCAATTCATCCACACAAATAGTCAGTCTGAACAGAGTTCTTTCCTCGTCTTCAGCTGCCTCTGCCTTCACTGATAGGGAGCTAGAATCTGCTTCAGCACCTCCATGTTGTGACTTTGCTGGGTCGGGTGCAAGACTGGGCGTGGTGGTCATGTCCAATGACACACCGATGAGTGCCAAAACAGTGGGTCGATTGCAGTAAAAACTCAGACCACTAAGATCCAGAATCAGCTGCAAGCACAGAGATGAAAAATAAGCGCCTTGTTATGAGAGAAGGTTAGGCTGAATGGGAGATGTAAACAGTACCTCAGCATCCACGCCGGTATGATTTGGAGAATCTGGAACGCGCATGATGTACTGGACTTGGACAAAAGCACTAGTTCTCTTCCAAGGGCGGTCCAACAGGGCAGGCCTGCCTTCAAAGGAAGGAACTTCTTCAGCAGTCAGTGGCTTATCTCCAAGGTCCACGGGGAAGTCCATGGCATCATAATAGTCTGCCATGCTCCAAAGGCTTGACCGTCTGCCAGTGCTTTCTTGAGAGAGGTGCGTTGGAAATGACGATTCTGTGGCATCATGGAATACCTCAATTGCCTCTCCCTCATTCAAAGACCAATCTCTTGGCATGCTGACATTTGTTGACATCTCGGTTGACCGAGCAAGAAATTGGCACGATGGTCCAGCATCGCAGGATACAAGGTCTTTGACTTCGAGTGATGCAAGCGTTGCCCCCAAAATCAAATCAGAGTTGTCAAAAAGTGATGTTTCAATCTGCATAAGATAGTTAAAAAAAAAAGGGTTTGATTGCTGTCAAAGAGAAGTAGTTGGCAAACAGGAAGCAAAATAGAGTTTCACGCACCACAGCACTTGAGACATCAAGCTCCAGAAGGGGAATCTCAGTCAGCGAGCGTGGATTAGAAACATGACGCTGGACAACAGAGAACAATGAGAAGAGGTCAATGCTGATAGTGGAAAGCTTAAACTGTGATTTGGTTCTTGTGCACTGTTCTACCTTCCCATGCAGCATCATCCGCAACATATCCATTTCTCCAACAAAAAGCACTGCCATTGAATCTGCCGAGCGAACTTGCGACTGGCGTTTGGGCCCCTGCGACAAACTTTCCCTCAACTGGGGCAAAGATGCAACCTGAACAACGGAAAGTTAGTCCAACTGTAACCACGCACAGCGACGACATAAGAATAGAAGTAGTCAGCAACCACAGCTTGCTTAAACACTCACAGAGGCTCGGTGAATGGCAGAGAATAAGACAGACCTCCAAGCATCACATGCCATGGTATCGGCCTTGAAAATCAAGGAGGCTGAGGTCCTCATAGCCTGCACATACCAAAAGTGAGCTTCAGCAAGCAACAATTACAAGAAAAAATGGCTGTGTTGGACTCCACACACCTTCTCCTCAGTGCAGCCAGGAGGGCAAATTGCAAGGGCAGTCTCTGGCCCGCTGGAACCATCTTGTGCCAGGCAGATAAGAAGCTTGTTTCGAAGGCTGCAACAGCGAAAGCTGAAATTACTGTGTTGGAGAAACAGAAACATAAGCTTCATAAAAGCGATACCACGATCCTCACCTGATCCGCTGCTGGTAGGATCGGCTGTTTTCTGAAGAGAGTATGTACAAAAACGGCCCAGCCACTGCTCCCACCATTCTTTGCCAGGCAACTTCTGTGCTGGCTATGCCCTACAAGCCACACGCACAAATTAGTCAGCATAAGAACCTCGTAAGTGCCAACGAAAGCTGCATTCACAAGACACACCTTTTTTGTGAGAACGTGGATGCTGCCTTTGTACTCAGCAGACTCCCATGGCACAACAGATGCAGCTTGGGAGTCACACCCTTGCAGAGCCGCAGCTGATTTCAGCAGGCAATGGTAGATCTCAGGAGAAAAGTGAACTGCCACGAAAGGGGCCCTTGCACTTATTCTTAATGTTGGAAAATCAGGCTGAGGTACCCAGATCTGCATGAAATGGCAACATGTTATATGACATCGTAACAACCAGCCTCACTCGGAGGAAAGCTCAGAAGGTGAGAGCCACGACACATCCATACCTGCTCCATCGATGACACGAAAGTGCACTCCTCCAACATATGAATTTCTTTCAGTGGTTGAACTTCTGTGTCTGCAGGTTGCTTCCTAGGACTGGCAGTACCATTAAAGACCTGGAAGCAGGCTGAAACGTTCTCCAGTCTGGCTAAAAACTTCATGTACAGGTCGGAGGTCGTGCTTGATATGGATGCGCTGCTTGGCTGCAAAATAAGGGGGGAAATGCTCAGCGATAGGGAGCAGCAACAACCTTATATTCTTCGAAATTGTCCCCCCCCACACACACACACACACACCTGCGAGCTTGAATTAAGGAGGAGATGGCCCAGATTCAGCACCAAGTTGGTTCTTTGAAAGCCTTCAGATGCAGAAGGAACCGTAATCCTCGGAGCACGCACATCAAGAACAACCTCAAACCTGCACGACACAAGAAAGAGACGAAGCATGACGCCTGCACCAATGTTTTGCTTCCCCGCAGCAAGAACCAGGCAAGCGGCATACCGAGAAACAGAACGCATGAAGTTTGTGAGCTGTGCCTGTGCCTGGCGCTTCACTTCATCAACCGTTTGCTGAAACACAAGAAAAAGGAAGTGATCAGACAACACATGAATCCACTAGCAAGGTCTGGCGCAGACCGATGAAAGCTGAACATACCTCAAAAACGTCAGCAGTGTCCAATGCAAGGGCAGGGCTCAAGGCATCTCCACTCTGGAAGAAGTCAATCATGCGGTCCAAGCTTGGCTTGATGAACTGCGAGTAATACAGGCACCGTTAACCGACTGTAAAACGACATGGAAGATATACAAAAGCTGTGCATCGTACCAGAACATGAGCCTGCTGAACTGAGCCATGTAGCAACCAGTCCAGGTTTTGGCCCTTGGGATGCAACACCAATAGAAAATCCAGGGTGCTCTGAGGCCCTTGTCCGCTCTGAAGGAGTGTCCCTTCTGGTGACTCCACCCTGTAAGGACCAACTTGAATTCGGAACTCAGTGGTTTCTAAATGCATACTAGATGCAAGTTGGATTCCCATGCAGCTAAGACTTAAAAGGGAAGAGCCTTGTGAATCCTTGATAATCGATCTGCTTTTCTTCACGTGAACAGACCACCGCGTGTGCACAATCTCAGAAACGGTGGATTCATGGCCTGAAGCATCTGGTAACAATGCTTGCAACTGAGTCCAGTCCTCCGAGTCAAGTTGGCTCGAACCGGCATTGATTCTGAGCAGGAAAGCGGAAAAAAACATCAGGCATGGCATGATAAAAAAAAAACAAAAAAAACAGAAAAAAATAACAATCACAGTGAGTGATGCTACCCATACCTAGCTTCTCCCTTTTGTTTTTTGAGTTCTTGTGACACAAGGTCATGTGCGACAAGCCTGTAAAAGGAGGAATATCTTGGTGAGATACAATTCAATGAATAAAGCCATTAGCAAAAACAAAACAAAAATACCTCCACTGAAGCAAAACTTCTGGTTCAACATCCGCCTCCAATATCAGAAGATCCTGGTCCTTTTCAAATGGCTTCTGAGCAGCCCTTCGTCGGAGGAACTTTGCATACAAGGGGACGTATGCATTCCTTATTCTGGAACGGCGAATCAGCTCATTCCAGTCTGTGAAGGACCTGCAATCAGTATGTACGTGAAAGTGGCAGGGATTTTGCTCCAACCGCCTCAACCAAAAATATGATGCTGCAGACGCCTAGCATACACCATCACATACCTTCCCTTCTTTATTCTCTGTAATGTAGCATTTATTGCAAAATTCCACCATGCGGAAGGACATTCTTTGACACTGCATGAGGGTCGGAGATGAACGAACTCTTGTTGGCGCTGAGCAGCTGAGAACTTGTCAGCAAGCTTCATAATCAGCTGATACTGGTCCTGCAATGATCAAGATCGAACAGTAAAACACTTCTGACAGGAGGTCACGGAATCTTAATTATGAAAAAGAAGTGTGCAAATTGTACCTCTGAAAGAGTAAATGAAATGCTGTCAAGAGTCACTGCCAGATCTTGCTGGGGAGAGCTTGAGAGCGCAGGGTCGTGCTTTCCTGCACGGCTGTATGACGCTGATCCATTCAAAGGCTCGACCAGATATTCAGAGGCTGAAACTTGCCAGCGATCACTTGGTGCAGTCTGTGCCATTGAGAGTTTAGGTTCAGTATTCAGGAAAGCAAAAGGAGCACGTAAGTTGAATCTAGGACACATGCCAATGCCATACCACGTTGTCATTCAATGTTGTCTGGCAATAAACTGACAATCCGTGTAGCTCCACTGCCTGAAATTCAGAAAGTTGAGTCAGCCTTAAGTAAGAACGTAAAGAACCTGTTTATCCAAAAACCACACACCTTTCGAGTGCAATCAAGCTTTCTGCCAGATACGTAAGTCTCCTTCCCATTCTTATCAACGGAAAAGGCAGCAAGTCTGTCAAGCTTGATTCCCACAGCTGCTGGTGCATGAAGCTCACTGAAATAGAACGGCCACCAAATAATGATCAGAGAAGCTATTGCACATTGATAATGAAATAATCACACAGCGCTGACCACCTTAGTGAGTCTTCGTATCGAATGTGTATGTTGGAGATGCTTAGCTTGAGGTTGCCTATCACACCATCGACGACTGTGCTGAGCCAGGTCCTGGTGTCTTCCTGCAGGTCATCCAGCAAACGAAGTCAGCAATAGGGGCTGAGATGGATAAAGTAGGACCACGTGAAGTCTTTGGCGGGAACGCCGGATACGTCGGATGGCACACATACGGTGGATTTTCCGGCGCTGACATCGCGGCGAGACATGATCAGCTCTTCTGCGTCCTGGGAAACAGGGAACCTTTAGGAGCACGGAAACATAGCAATAAATTAGAAACAATATGATGTGCAGGTGCTTACCTGAACGCGCTTGCGCTTGGCTTCAAGAACTGACGTCGGGTCCAAGTAGACAGACTCGTTCGGTCCGAGTAAGAGCTCGAGTCCGTCCAAATGAATGACAATTGACGACCGTCCGAGGCTCTTCCATGGTATCTGATATCATATGACGGAACACGACGCCACAATGAAGGTATCCGTGACATCTGATAATAATCCGTGCATAGGATCACGAATTCTTCCAGACTAACCTGGACGTGCAAGACCTTCACGATCCCTGACTTGACTACAACTGGTAACTGTAGGCGTCCAAGCGCTTCAGGTCGCAAGCTAATATTCTTGAGCTCGATGTCACCTGGAAAGGCAGGAATTGTCTATGGGGATCACTCAATATCTGCATCTTCTACGGTAAAGCTTAATCCACATGCATCCCACCTTTCCACACACTAACTTTCAGTGCTTCCTTCGATAGGCCAGAAAAATACTCGCCAAGATACTTCTGCAATATCGACGTCAGCTTATCTTCCAACATGGCTGAGGAGTCAATCGACAAACGTCCAGTTGAACGAAGGAGTTGCAAGGAAAATCATAAAAAGTCGGCTGAATTCGCCGACCATGGGGGCTAGTCCAAGGAGGGGAGGGAGCACTCGTTCCTGATCCCATCCACCAAGGTTCAGAATCTGAGGTTCAGAATTTGAAGAGGACGCAGTCTGGTAAAACAAGATGCTGCGCGGTTTAGTGTGGTGAAGGTTCAACAGCATCCTGGAGTTTTAGTTTTCTATAGCGGAATGTGGTTCAAGGTACAGTGCTACAGCGTTGTAGACTAAGGTGATGGTCCGAACAAGAGGAAGTCCAACCAGTGAATCCCACACCCTGACAAGCGGTCTAGTACGGTGCTGCACGTTGAAACTCATGCTTTGCAATTCGTGGATCACCCGAGATATTCCGCAGTAAGAAAAAAACTTATAAACCCAGACAAAATCCACGTTTTCGCTCAATACCATACTCAACCGTTCTGGAGTTTTAGTGAACTTTGATGAACGCAAAACCACCTAACGCCATCAGACATGCCATAGTGACACGCCCTGGTGCAGTAGGTCAGTACGGACATCATCATTTCAAAACGAGCAGTCAAGTAGGTGACCAGCAGGTTTCGTGGATTGTCGCTTTGGACCTCGAGTTCAACCACGGGAGATTCTGCGTGATAATACGCTTAATTGAACACCACGACATCATGGATGGTGAGACGGAGCGAAAGCTCGCAGCACTAATTCTAGCAGAGGCCCAGCGCCTGAAGGCAAGAGCAGCCGAAGAGGGCGTCAGGGCGTATTTGAAGCCACATGTTCGATATCGTCCGAATCCGCAGTTCCTCAAAGCCACCGTGCAGAGCGTTGAGTATGGTGAGCCTCTTTAGCCATAATCCCTCGCGTCTTACGTTATTTTCGTTGTCGGAACCCCGTTTTTGCGATTTGCCTGGCCGGAGTACCATCTGTGCGTGCTTCACATACTTTCAATCTCCTGGCGCTCACTGCTGCCTCGGAATCTGCCACCTGACGTTTGAACCCTGTTATGTATCCCGCCATGCATCCCGTGACGTGCCTTCCTTTTCCGAAACCTCGTCTTTGTGGACCCTGATTTCAACAGCTAACCGCCTGGCCGACGTGAACGAGATGTGGAAGGAGAGAGAGCTGGAGCTGGCAGGAAAGGGGCACGAGGCACAGGGGGAGACGGCAGAGCGGCCGCTGGCGAGCAGGGATAGTACAAGGGGAGAAGGCAGCGTGCGTGAAGTGTGCAGAGAGCAGAGGGGTGGCGAGTGGAGGAGGGAGCGGCGAGAGGAAAGGAGGGATAGTTATTGGGAGAGAAAGAGGGCAAGAAGAGATGAGGAAGAGAGAACTTGGCGAGGAGGAGAGGAGGAGCCAGCTTGGGAAAGAGGGGAAGAGGGGAAGAGAATGTCGTGCAGAGGGAGGGAGGAGGAAGGGAGGGCAAGGCGGAGAGGAGAAGGGGAAGAACGAGGCTGGCATGGGAAGCAGGAGGAGAGAGCCTCGCACAGAAAGGAGAACTTTCGAACCAGCAGCTGTAGAAGTGGGCGTGGTCAAGAGAGGCAGATATTGCCATTGCTGCGAGGAGAGAAAGGACGCAGTAGAGGGGGTAGCAGCGGCGATGAACTCAAGGCACGGGGAGATCGAAGGAGGGGTGCATCTGGGGAAAAGCGCAGCAGGAGTCCAACGAGGAGTGATTTTTCCAGGGAAAAGGGACGGTTTGGAAGCGAGGATGGCCAAGGGGAGGTGAGGAGTAGCAAGTGGGAGGATCTAAGTGGCGGAAGAAGGGACGAGACCTTGTGGAAAGGCGAAGCTAGTGGAAGAGATGTGAATGGTGAGATGTGGTCTGATGAAGACCACTGGCATGGAGACAGGCCAGAGGATCGGGGAGAGGATGATATTGAGGAAGGCAAGATGGACGAAGGACGGGGAGAAGGGAAGTCGATGCGAGTAGGGCCGGATGGAGAAGGGAGGCGGAGGTTGTGGGAAGGGAGTGAAAGAGGCAGACTGCCGGTTGGTGGCCGTGGGCTTCGGGATGCTGACCCTTCTCGGGAGAGGGGACAGCATGCTGTGGAGGATTGTAAGAGAAGATACAGGCGAGGAAAGGAAGGAGAGGAGTTTGCTGGACAAGAGGAGGGAAACAGACTGGAGAGGCGCTCTGGAGATGGTATTGGAGGTGGTGCGGCGAGGGAAAGGGTGCACAGGGAGGTGGAAAGGGGGAAAGAGCGCAAGAAGAGCCCAAGGGGGGATGACGGAGGGTGGACAGGGGAGGATGCAGAGCAGAAGGGCATTGATGACTCCGACCTTATTGCATTCCTCAAGGCTAAGTGCGCTCCTCCGTGCGGTACCTTTTCCCGTGCCCGCTTTTCTCTCTCTCACTGATATTTTCCCTCCAAATTTCCATGCACTAGATGTGGAAAAGAGGCAATGCTTCTCAGAAACGAAGAGGTCTAGCAGTATAGCAAACAGGGGTGGTGGATTGGTATTGCAGTTTAGTTACAGCAACTTCGGTGTGTGTTTCCTAATCCATGAACCATGACAAATCCCTCCCTCCTCAACTGTTCCATTCCCTCCCTTTTTTCCTCTCCGTTTTCTGAACTCTTGTTCCCCTTCCCCCCTGCTCTGTCTCCCAGGGCGAAGAGAGGCAGAGGTGCCATTGGCTCCCGAGCCGATGCATGGGGATCGGAGCCGCCTTCCTTACCTGCAGGCACGCAGGGAGCGGCTGAGCAGGCGAGTGGGGCAGTGAGCATGCTGCTGGCGCGAGTGCGGGAGGAGTGGGAGGATAGTGTGATGGCTGGGAAAGGCAGGGGGCTATCTGCCTCATGGGCTGCTACTGGCCCTCCTGCTGCCAGTGGTGGTGCTGGTGGTGACGCTTGTGGTCCACGTGGCACTGGTGGTACTTCTGCCGGAGGGACGGATGGCCGTTGGATTCGAGGTGCTGCTTTAGATGATTGGCCTCGTAGTGCTACTGCTGCTGGTGGCAGTGGTAGTAGTGGCAGTAGCGGCGGCAGTCTTGGTGATGGTGGGAGTGACAGTGCTGACACGGGAACTGATTCAAGCAGTGAGAGCAGTGAGAGCAGCTCAAGTTCAAGTGAGGAGAGGAGGGAGAGTAGACGGAAGGATCTCAAGAGGAGGAAGCGGAGCAGCAGCAAGCTTAGGGCAAAGGGGGGGAAACACGGGAAGCGACGGAAGAAGGAAGACCCGAGGGAGAACAAGAAGCGACACCGGCATAAGAAAGAGAAGATCAGGAAGCACAAAAAGGCCAAGGAATAGATCGCAGATGTTTGGGGCATAGTATAGTGCCTTTCAAAGAAGTTTGAAGCAGATGGTGGCAGCCTGAAATCAATACCTACATCAACTTTTTCAAGAATATCATCCCAAATTCTTGTGGCAATGGCCTAACCTATCACTCTTATCCAAATTCTGACGAATGAAAACCTTTATCCAAAGTTAACTGATGGTTTTGGTCCTGAAATCTCCACTTCGTCGTGGGTTTTTTGCTAGAGTGAACGATGGCATTTGTGAAGTATCGGTGGTTAAGGTAGCATGCAAAGTAACTGGGAACTGAAAGCCGCTTTATTTCACTCTACGACAACGTTTTGACGCGTATGGACGACTTTCTTTGAGAGGTTGTGAGGCCTTCCTATCTCTCCCTTTCTCTGCCATTCCCTGGAGAGGCAGCATCCTTCTGGTCGCGTCCCTCACACGTAACGACGATAACGCCTGATCCATCTTCTGGATTCGCGTTCTCAAGGCTAGCCCTGTTGCGTCGTCGGATCTTCTCTTCATAGTACGGTAATCATTCTATTCGATTCTTGAAAAGATCCGCAGCCATGCCGAACGTCGACTGTAGAATGTACGAGGCGAAGTTCCCAGAGGTAGAGGAGGTGGTGATGGTTCAGGTTAAGAACATCGCCGATATGGGCGCGTATGTGTCCCTTCTCGAGTACAACAATATCGAGGGTATGATCCTTCTATCGGAGCTGTCCCGGCGTCGCATTCGCTCTATATCGAGTCTGATCAAGGTCGGCCGGCAAGAGCCCGTCATGGTGGTCCGCGTGGACAAGCAGAAGGGTTATATCGATTTATCGAAGCGGCGTGTATCGGAGGAGGAGGTGGCGGCGTGCGAGGAGAAGTACAACAAGTCTAAGATGGTCCACAGCATCATGCGCCACGTGGCAGAGACGTCCGGCGTCGATGTCGAGGTGCGATTTCACGGTTCAGGCGTCCGTTGACCACATTTAATCCGTTGTCCCTCGCTCTTGACAGATTGACCCGCAGGCAATCCTTCCTGGTGTCTGCTTACAGGGTCGTCCTCGTTAAACCCATATCCCTCTGTCGACGTAGGTCTTTTTAAGAGACTCGTGCAACCTCCTCCTGCCGTTTATGCCCCCTGCCCGATCAGCCACACAAGCTCTAACCCTTTGGACTCTGTCGCTCCCACGCACTGCTCGTGATCGCGGCTTCTCCTCCTTGTCTAATCTCCCTCGTCCCTTACGTCCCCTATGCCCCTTCCGTTTCCACCCCGTGACGGTGTGACGGTGTGGCGGTGTGGCGGTGTGACGGTGTGACGGTGTCACGTCTTGATCGCGCAGGAGCTCTACACGAACGTGGCGTGGCCGCTGTACCGCAAATACGGACACGCGTTCGAGGTGAGGGAACAGTCGATGGGGTTTTTTTTGGAAGAGCGGCTGTTACAAAGGCTGTTTCAATTCGTTGCGGACAAAATGGAATCCTTCCACGTGAATTGGGGAGAGTTGCTGGAATCGGGAGGAAGGCTTCTGCGTTGGTTCTGGGAGGACCTGGGGGAATGAAGATGACAGACATGTAAGGAGCCCCGTAAGTGCCGCCTCGATTCCGCCATGCCTCCGTTTCTGCTCGTTAACTCGGCTAAGAAATGCGCCGTTCCCATGCTTGCTGCTATTGAATTTGGTAGTGATGGGCCAACTTGCCCGCCATCCGTGCTTTCCTTTCTGCCTTGCCCTGTTCTTCTCTCATGCAACGTGCCCAACTCTCCATGCTTGCTTCATGGTGCTTGCCACATGGATGGTGCATCATGGTGCATGGTGCATGGTGCTTGCTGCATGGATGGCGCATGGTGCATGGTGCTTGCTGCATGGATGGTGCATCATGGTGCGTGGTGCATGATGCATGGTACATGGTGCGTTGTGCTTGCCGCATGGTGCATGTCGCATGCCCCATGATGACCCAGGTATTATCACTTACGTTCCATGGCAGGCGTTCAAGCTGGTGGTCACGGGTCCAGAGGCAGTCCTCGGGGAGGGGGGGGGCTCACCAAGGAGGTCACGCGGTTTTTTAGAATTTAAATAGACGGCCCATGTTGCATGCCCCATGACTCGTAGCCCATGACCCACGTCTCATCTCCCACGTCCCATGGCAGGCGTTCAAGCTGGTGGTCACGGATCCAGAGGCGGTTCTCGGGGGGCTCACCAAGGAGATCACGGAGACAGGAGAAGATGGCAAGGAGGTCGGTCATTGCTTGGACAATTGAGAACCTGGTCTGAAAACCAGGGAGCCAGATGAAGGAGTTGTGTGGGTGAGGGTTTAGGGTCTGTTGGAAGCCACCTTGGGTTCTGTCCCTTGGTCTTTCGGTGCTGAATGCCATATTAGGGTTTCTGGCGTTGGCTCTCACAATCCGCGTCAGAATCGTTTTCTGCCATTCTCACATCCTGTTAGTTTCTTATCGTTTTCCTGTTTGTCATCTTCCCCTTTCTTTGTTGATGTTAAAGTCCTATGGCGAGTGTCCCGCCAACCTTACTCCCTCTCCTCGTTTTCCCTCCCCTCCCCCTCTTCCCCCTTTCTTCCACCCTACCAAAAAATCTCCCCTTCTTTCTCTCCATCCCCCACCCCCCGCAACCCCTCGCCCTCCCCTCCCTCTCTGCATGTGGTAGGTAAAGAGAAAAGGTGCCAGGCGATGCCAGAGGACGTGAGGGCCCACCTCTTGCCAACGTTTGCAGTGGAATAACTCCTCTTCAAATCGACTAAAAAGGTCATCTCCTCCCTCTCTCCTCCTACGCCCCCCCCACCCCCACCCCAACCCCCCCCCCCCCCGCCCCCGGGACGCCTCACCGTCCCCTCCCTGCATGTGGCATGTGGCAGGTGAAGAGGGAGGTGCCAGCAATGCCCGAGGACGTGAGGGCCAACCTAATTGCCAACATCCGGCGCAGAATGACCCCCCAGCCGCTCAAGATCCGAGCGGACATCGAGCTCAAGTGCTTCCACTATGATGGCGTGCTGCACATCAAGGTAGGATGGCATGCTTGTATTGAAACAGCATAGCATGCTGCAGCACCATGCACCCCCATCGAGCTCAAGTGCTTCCACTGCAATGGTGTGCTGGTTGGTTGTGCATATCAGGGTAGAGTCACTTTGTTGGGTTGCACGTATCAGCATATCCATTTCCTTACGATAGTGAGGATGGCCGTGCATTTCCTCGCATGTTCCTTCTCGTCTCACTCCCCCCCCTCTGCCGGGGCCTTTCCTGTCAACCTCCTTTCCTCCGAAACTGATGTTTCCCTCTTCCAGGACGCCGCGCACAGGGCACAGGGCGGAAGAGGAAGGCATGATCTCTTGAGTCCCAATGGGAGTGTTTTCTCCTCTTATGCTCCCCACCCCCTCCCAACCCTCTCCCCTCACCGTCCCCTCACCCTCGCCTCTCTCCCTCTCCTCCCCCTCCTTGCCAGGACGCCATGCGCAGGGCGGAGCAGGAGGGCGAGGAGGACTGTGCGGTGCGCATCGTGCTGGTGGCGCCGCCTCTCTACGTGCTCACCACATTCACTCTTGCTAAGGTGTGTGGCTAAGGGGCGTGCGGTTTTGGTTGTTTGGGGTGTGTGGTTTGGGGGTTGTGGTTTGGGGTGTGTGGTTTGGGGTGTGTGGTTTGGGGTGCGTTGTTTGGGGTGTGTGGTTTGACCAGCAGCTGTGCAAATGTGTCTCTTCACCGGTCGTGTTTTCTGTGCATGATTGCACACTGTTCTATGTTCTCACCTCATTCACTGTCGTACCGGTGTGCTGGTCACTTCCCCAGGGACCCCATTCTGCCCACCTTTCACTCTCAGCCCTTTTCTCTCCCCCACCCCCTTCCCCCCGCCCATCCGCTCCCTGAAATATATATGCTTTCCTCAGGAATAGGCCATGAAAGCAGCGAGCAGTCTCCAAGGTGACTCTGAGTCCTTGATGTAACGGACAACACAACCCACCCCCCACACCCACATGCATGCTGTGTTATCCTCAGGACAACAAGGGCGTGGTGGTGTTGGAGCGGGCTATCAGAGGAGCAAGCAGTTTCCAAGCTGACTTCTGAGTCCGTGTTCTACCCCCGCCCCCCCAAATCCTCCATCCCTCTCGCCGCCACCCATTGTACAAACTAACTATGTGTGGTTCAGGACAAGGGCATAGCAGTCCTGGAGCGGGCCATCAGAGCAGCTAGTGAGGAGATTGACAAGCACAAGGGCAAGCTCACAGTCAAGGAGGCGCCGCGAGCGGTGAGTTTTCAAACAAGCCATCTTTACATCCCTTACATCCCTAGAGAAAGGGTGAGTGCTGAGTGTAATCTAGTGACTCCATGAGATAGACAAGCACAGGGACGAGTTAATGCCCAAAGAGGCTCCACAAGCGATCAGTGAATGGATGATGGCTGATTGTTACTCACCCCCTCGAACACCCCCCCCCCTCTTCTCCCCCGCTTTCCCTTGCTGTACTCCCTCCCTCCCCCCCCCGCCCTGCCGCTGCCAACACACAGGTGACTGACTGTGAGGATTGGTTGCTGGCAAGGCACTTGAAGAAGCTTACAGAGCTCAATGACAATTGCTCTTGCTCTTTCCACTCCCTGCTCATCCCCCTCTGTACTTGTCTTCCCTTACCTTTGCTGCTCTCCCCCCTCCCCTTGCATCAGGTGAGTGACCGTGACGATCGGTTGCTGGCGGAGCACATGCAGAAGCTGACAGACGCCAATGCTGAGGTGGACGGTGATGTGGACAGCGAGGATGAGGATGAGGGCATGGGCTCTGCTGATATAGACAATCCTGGGCTCACAGAATAGATTGGTTGAGAAGGGGGAGGAGGGGGGAAGGGGATGTATGCATTTTGGATTGACGTTTCCAGTATTCCTACGCGTCAGGAGGAATTTTGGAGCATTGTTAGGTTGCACTTGCAAGAGGCAGTAGAGTTGTGCTTTGAGCCACGTTTTGCTGAGTTTTGTTTGCTGTGTTCTGAAGCATCCAAAACCCAGAGCACTTGGCGTGAAGACCCTCATTTAGCAAGTTGTGTGGGCTGGTGGGTAAGCATGAATCTTATCTTCCATACGTCCAAAAGTGTTTGGGAGTGGACACTGATGTTGTTTCCATAACGATGCCCTCACTGGTGAGTATTTTCCGAGTTCGAGTTGACTCCACAGATGGGAAACGAGTCAGCGGCATTAGGCCTTCTCACCGCACTGCCACTCGTTTCACCAGACCGTATCCCACCTCACCTCATCTCCGCTTCCTTGCACCTTCCCATTCCGTGTGTCTGCTGAATCCGCGGAACTGCTCATCAGTCCTCGTGGTTTGGAATTTCCAAGGGAAAGCTGGTCCAGAGGGGAAGGATTTCGCGTAGGAGCTGAAGCTGCTTGGACCTTACGGTTCTACTTATTATTCTCGTATAGATACCTGAAAAGTGGACGAAAGTCGACTTGTGCTCCTGGCAGTCAGTTCCTCAACTCCACCTATTCACGGTCGCTATCATTCTCTAGGGTTGGCCGCAGAGCGTAACTTTTTTTGTGGACATTTACGGCCCTCGAGTTGAAGTCGAATAGCGTCTGTAGCGAAGCCGCTCGGCGACGAGCAGCGCTCCTCGTCCACCCGCCAATTCGCCAGTTCCATCCTCGCGCCGGTGGCCGCTGACTCACCTTTTTTTCCGGCACTCATACCAAAGCTTGGCGCCATGGATCTCCTGTTTGGAAAGAAGAAGACGCCAGCAGGTACCGTGGCGTAACCGTGCCGTAACGGACCTCTTCGCAGTCCAGCATAGAGCGAGCGGCGGCAGGTTCTGCCCTTCCGGCAGTGTTCGTCCGTGCCTCTCCGGCCTCCGCACCTCGCATGTTTCGCCACACATTCCCCGTTTGCTTTTCTCGGCCTGCGCCTCTGCCGCGGTTTGTGAAGCTCCTGGACGCACGACGGTTTCTTCTCATAAGCTCTCTTCCTTTCCCCACTGCTGTCTGAGCGGCTGATCAGAGATTCTGGGGAGAACAAGCGCATGCTGGACCGGTCGATACGAGCTGATGTCTGAGCTTTCTGCCGTTTCCCCCACGGCTTTCTGCTTCTTTTCCCACTGCTCCCTGTGCGGCTGGTCAGAGATTCTGCGGGAGAACAAGCGCATGCTGGACCGGTCGATACGCGAGCTGGACCGGGAGAGGGCGCAGCTGCAGCTGCAGGAGAAGAAGCTGGTGGCTGATATCAAGAAGTCCGCCAAGCAAGGGCAGATGGTGAGAGCACGGGCAGATGGTGAGAGCACGGGCAGATGGTGAGAGCAAGGGGAAATGGTGAGTGACCAACATGGGGTTAATGTGAGTTCTCTAAAGATAGGGAAGTGAGAGGCGTAAAATCGGTTAAGCATACCGGTATGTGAAATTCTCGAGAAGGCATTCCTACTTATGCAGATGCAGAATGCACGTACCATTGTCAGTCTTAGGCTTAGTCCACCATGCTCCACGCACCATGAGGGAGCAGTCTTCATTAGCTGGTGTGCTGTTGTACCGACAGTCCAACTATTCGTGGCTCTGTCTCTATGGAGTCATTCGCATGCCTCTTCACCATCTGCCCGTGCTCTCCACCAATGGTTGCCCAGCCTGTGCACATGCCATGGCCGCACTCCCCGTCATCCCTCCTTTTCCGCTCCATGTCTCCAATTCTGCCGTTTCTCAGTCATCATTCTCCCGTTTCCTCACCCCTGTCCTTCTCCCTCCCTCCCTCTCCCCCTCCACCCACCCCCCTTTGTCCTGTGTGAGCCAGGGTGCAGTGCGGGTGATGGCCAAGGATTTGATTCGCACGCGCCACCAGGTCACCAAGTTCTACGGGCTCAAGTCTCAGCTGCAGGGCGTGTCGCTGCGGATACAGGTGGGGCCCTCCTGCCACGGTGTTCTCTGCTTGTTTATTTGTTGAGGTGCCATACATGGCTCTTCACATGCTGCCTTTTGTCCATTGCCGCTCCCTTTTGCCTTGATCCGAACTGCACCCCTCTCGCGCTTCCTCCCCCTCACCCCCTGCAGACCCTCAAGTCGACCCAGACGATGGCGGACGCCATGAAAGGTGTGACCAAGGGGCGCCATGATCAAGCAGCTCAACCTGTCTCCCCCCGTCTCACTTTCTCTCGCGCGCTTCCTCCCCCTTGCCCCCTGCAGACGCTCAAGTCCACCCAGGCCATGGCGGACGCCATGAAGGGGGTGACCAAGGCCATGCGCTCCATGAACAAGCAGCTCAACCTCCCCGCCCTGCAAAAGGTGTGCTATGAACTGGCAAACCAGACGAATAACTAGGTAGCAAAGGGTGCGCTGCAAAGGGTGTGCTGCAAAGGGTGTGCTGCAAAGGGTGCCTGTGCTTTGATTCGAATCAGCATCATTGGAGGTGGCAGCTCAAGGCTGTGTAAGGTGGACTATTCAATGAGATTGTGTGCTGAAAAGGGCCATGGCTGTGAGAGTGTAGTCCAGTTTGGGTGAAAAGGTGTGCATGCGCATATGGAAACCCAACCCCATTTGTGTTATCAGGTGATGCGGGAGTTTGAGATGGCGAACGGGCGCATGGAGACAACTCAGAGATGATGGGCCGCATGTGAATCTTGACTCTTTCCTTTTAGGTGACTCAGCCGATTTTCATGGTCCCGTGTATGGTGCTTGCAGGTGATGCGGGAGTTTGAGATGGCGAACGAGCGCATGGAGATGACGTCAGAGGTGATGGGGGACGCCATAGACGATGCGATGGAGGGCGATGAGGAGGAGGAGGAGACGGAGGAGCTGATCAGCCAGGTGCTGGACGAGATTGGCATCGACATTGACCAGCAGGTGCGTGGGGCGTGCTTCTCAGGAGGGTGGTTGGGAGGAGGCGGGGTGCCACTCTCACGGTGTAGCCAGATGACGTATTGGAAGGGAATGCGGGAGCTTATTAGCCACGTTGTGGAGCAGATGGGCATCGACATCGACCAGCAGCAGCAGGCGGGTGCTCTCCGGTTGAAGAAACCGGTGCGTACTGTAATTCATGTTGACCCCTCAACTTCCGTGGCGGTGAGGGGTCAACACCATCATCATCCGCACTTGTGATGAAAGTTGAGGGGTGCTCAACCTTCCATGGCGTGGATGAGCACATGGGATGCTCACATCCCTCTGTGCTGCTGTTTATCATCATCCGAGTTTGTGTTTTTCTTGTTACAGAGCTGCTGCTCATGCTGGATCCATTCCTTCCCACTCACTCCTCTACCGCCACCCTCTTGTACCTCCCTCCTCCCATCCCACTTCCCCACAACTCCCCGTTTCTATCCTTACCAGCTCGTGAGCGCACCAACAGCAGCAGCAGCCCCCCAGGCACAGACAACAGGAAAGGTGGCACAGGCAGATGCGGTGGGTGGCGGTGGGGGCGGGGGAGGGGGAGGGGGACTGGGTCGCGGTGGTAGCAGCGGTGGTGATGGTGCTGCTGGGGGCAGCAGTGGCGGTGGCAGTGGTGGTGGTGGTGGGGGGGGGTTGCCGAGTGCCCCGTCAGGGACTCCGTCGGTTGGTGGTGCGTCGGATGATTCAGGGATTGACAGTGACTTGCAGGCACGGCTGGACAACTTGAGGCGGTTGGGATGAGTTTCTGTAGCATGTATGTTTGTGCATTTGCGAAAAGCCTAGATCTAGTGTGGTACATATCATACATACCTCATGTGTATGGTGATATGCATTTTCGCATGCAGTAGGCCATTTGTAGGAAGTCAAGTATTATTGGTTCGTAGAATTTTTTTTTAAGCACCGTATTCGTGTGTCGTGGCGAGTTATAGGGGCTTTTGTGCCTTGCATGTGTGCTTGGATTAAATTGTAGACTGCTTTCAAACTTCATACCCGGTTGTTTCGTTAATGAAGTTTCAATCAGCCATGCTAACCAACTCGGAGATGGCCTTCAAAACGAGGATGTCGTCCTGGTGACGTGAGCTCTAAAAATTGGCAGGAACCGGAAAAAACAGTGACGGGGTGTGTTTGGCTTGGCTTGCCTGGCAGGACATCTCTTCAGTGTGCTTCGCCCTGGAATGGCGTGTTTCTCCCAGCTCCCAGCCCAATGCTGTAGCAACCACTCAATAGACCAAAGCTTGAGACCACTGCAGGAATATCTGTGTAGGTATCTTAGGTTAGGATGGCGCCTTGACTGGCTGTCCATGTCGCCAGACCCAATCTTCACAATTTACGAAGCTAAGAGCTTCGGAGGCTAGGGGACGATTCTGTTAGGATTATCGGTTTAGTCGGAAAACTGATATTCCCAGCCTGTGAGATCACGTTTCGAGTCATCAAAACCGTCTTCAACCACCCCGCTCATCATAGAAACACGTTTCGCGTTTCGTTGCGGTTGTGAAGCCATGCGGCCAGCGACGCAGGAGGAGGAGGAGTTTCTGGAGATGGAGGAGTGCATGGAGGAGATGCTTGTGGATATCCTCGTGGAGTGCAAGCTCGATGAGGACAACTGCCGCCCACCGTGGCCCGATGTAACCGAAGAAGCGGAGGTCAGGGTTGCTCAAGATTGCGCCAATGCACTGTTTCAAACGTGAAGGCTTGTAGATAAACGGCAGTCTTTTGGTCTTTTCCCTTTTCTAAGAGGAAATTTGTGGGGGACTACTGGGATAAGACCGCATTCTGGCTTGGTTCTTTCTGAGTTCGTCTGTGGTTCGTCTGGCCCTGAAAGTTTAGGATGATTTTACAGGCTCTTGTGTACGGTCTCGTCCAGCCATTTTGTCGGCGTTCCTCTTTTTTTGTGGTGTCACCTCGTCACACACACACATCCCTTACACTTGACGTTTTCACGGGTTGAGGATGGCAGGTGGGAGGGCAGTGGCTACTTTAAGCCGGATGAGTCTGCTCTGCAACCAGGCACTGCTGGCACTGACAGCAGCACTAAGGATGACATCAACTCTGCGTTTGTCATCTCCATGCCTCCTCCCAACGTCACTGGCGCTCTGCACATGGGCCATGCCATGTTCGTCACTCTTGAGGTGTGCTACGCTGCAGCTTTACTGCATATCCCAGCAGAGCAGAAGCATGTGCATCCATGCGCTCTGCTGCACATGGGCCATGCTATGCTCATCACTCACGAGGTGTGTTCGTGATGGGCCATGCCAGCCACTTACCGGAATACTTTCACCCTCTTCCTCGTTTGCCCTTCCGCGTCCTACTGATCTTGTCAGCACATCGAGACTTTGAGAAATGTCTGCTCACGGTTATTCCCTGTTGCTCGCCCTCTCTCTCCCTCCAACCTTCTCTCCACTACCCCTCGGAGCCACCAGGACATCATGGCTCGCTTCTGGCGCATGAAGGGACGTCCCACTCTCTGGCTGCCAGGCACGGACCATGCTGGCATTGCCACACAGGTATGTAATGGGCATGCAGGGCAGGCGTTGCTGCTCAAAGTGTGAGTTGGGTCGGATACAGCACTTACTGCACTTTCTGCGCTGCCAGGTTACCGAACTCAACTGTAAACTGTGAGACCTCGTGGACAATGGACAGCTGTTTGCTTTCAATTCAATGCCCCCCCTCCCAGTTGGTGGTGGAGGAGAAGATGCTTGCCGCAGAAGGCATCAGCCGGCAGCAGCTGACTCTCGAGTCGGCTTAAATGGCGTCTCAAATCACCCCACTCACTCCAGGTGTATTTTAGAATTCTTAAAAAACAATGGCATCTCAAATCATCCCTCTCACTCCTCCCCCTTTCCCCCTCGCAGCTGGTGGTGGAGAAGATGCTGGCGTCAGAGGGCATCAGCCGGCAGCAGCTGACGTATGAACCCAATTCACCCCATCTTCTCCACGCCACGCACCCCCCCCCACCCCCCCTCCCCCCCCCCCCCATCCTTCCCAGTTGGTGGTGGAGAAGATGCTGGCGTCAGAGGGCATCAGCCGGCAGCAGCTGGGGCGAGAAGAGTTCGTGAAGCGAGTGTGGGAGTGGAAGGAGAAGTGAGTGTGGGAGTGAAAGGAGAAGTGAGTGTGGGAGTGGAATGAGAAGTGAGTGTGGGAGTGGAAGGAGAAGTGAGTGCGGGAGTGGAAGGAGAAGTGAGTGTGGGAGTGGAAGGAGAAGTGAGTGTGGGAGTGGAAGGAGAAGTGAGTGTGGGAGCGGAAGGAGAAGTGAGTGTGGGAGTGGAAGGAGAAGTGAGTGTGGGAGTGGAAGGAGAAGTGAGTGTGGGAGTGGAAGGAGAAGTGAGTGTGGGAGTGGAAGGAGAAGTGAGTGTAGGAGTGGAAGGAGAAGTGAGTGTGGGAGCGGAAGGAGAAGTGAGTGTGGGAGCGGAAGGAGAAGTGAGTGTGGGAGTGGAAGGAGAAGTGAGTGTGGGAGCGGAAGGAGAAGTGAGTGTGGGAGTGGAAGGAGAAGTGAGTGTGGGAGTGGAAGGAGAAGTGAGTGTGGGAGTGGAAGGAGAAGTGAGTGTGGGAGTGGAAGGAGAAGTGAGTGTGGGAGTGGAAGGAGAAGTGAGTGTAGGAGCGGAAGGAGAAGTGAGTGTGGGAGCGGAAGGAGAAGTAAGTGTGGGAGTGGAAGGAGAAGTGAGTGTGGGAGCGGAAGGAGAAGTGAGTGTGGGAGTGGAAGGAGAAGTGAGTGTGGGAGTGGAAGGAGAAGTGAGTGTGGGAGTGGAAGGAGAAGTGAGTGTGGGAGTGGAAGGAGAAGTGATTGTGGGAGTGAAAGGAGAAGTGAGTGTGGGAGTGGAAGGAGAAATGGTTGAGGAGTCTTGAGGTGCGTTCAGTGACATTCATGTTGAGATTGAATCGTATGTGTTGCTGAATACGTACTTCAGTTATTGTTTTTTCTTCTGAGTCGACAGACTTCGTGAGTCGTGTAACTGTCATTAAACGATGCAGATTTGAGAAGGACACTCGAAAATAACGACCCGACTGCTGCCTGAGGTTCAACGTCAACGAGGCATGCCAGATTAGAGTCAACTTATACATATGCATTGTCTGTAGAAGTTATAGGCTAGACAAGGTTGTGTTCTTAGGGGGTACAACACCAAGCCTATATCTCTCCTGTACTACCTTATTCTAGTCACTTTGCTACTCTAAGATGGTATCACGCTAGTCTATTGTAGTGCGCTCCGCCCTTGTCCGCTGCGCTGCCCTTGTCTTGCCGCGCTGCCCTAGTCCGCCGCGATGGCCACGTCCCACCACGCTGCCCTAACCCGCTGCGCAAGCCCCGCCGCGCTGGCCTCGTTTTGCCACGTCACCCTAGTTCGTCACGCTGCCCTAGTCCGCCGCGCTGGCCCCGGCTTGCCGCGCCGCCGTAGCATGCTGCACCAGCTCCGTTCCATCGCACTGATCTAGCCTGCCGCACTGGCCCCGTCCCGCCGCGCCACCCCGGCCCGCTGCACAGGCCCTGTCTCGCCGCACCGCCCTAGCCAGCCGGGCCAGCCCCGTCTCACCGCGCTGCCCTAGCCCGCCGTGACGACCTCGCCTCGCCGCACCGCCCTAGTTTGCCGCGCAGCCCTAGCTCGCTGAGGAGATCCCTGCTCACCGCCGGCCCGCCGCCAGCCCTCAGCTCGCCGTGTGCCAGCAGCTCGCCGTCGGCCTCAGTTCGCCCCACGGCGCCTTACTCGCCGCCGGCCTTCGCCCGCCGCGCCGGCCCAAGCTAGGCGCCAGCCCCAGCTCGCCACCGGCCCCAGCTCGTCGTGCCGCCCAGCTTGACGCCGTCCCTAGCTCGCCGCCGGCCTCAGCTTGCCACGCCGCCCAGCTCGCCGCCGGCCCCGGCTCGCCGCGCCGCCCCAGCTCCTCTTCTCGGCCCCTACACGCCGCCGGCCCTGGTGCCCCTCTGAGCCGGCGCTCCTGCCGGCTGTCTCCTCTCGCGCGGCTTCACCGCGCTCCACTACACACTACCGCACTCCACCGCACTCCACCGTAACCCACCGTACACTACCGCACTCCACCGCACCCTACCGCACCCCACCGCTCTCTACCGCACTCCACTGCACACACCAAGCTCACTGCCCTCACAGTCCCTTGTGTCTTTCTTAGCTTCCCCCTCGATGCGTCTGACTGGCACTTCTACCACCCGCCGTCTCACTGCTTCTTTCACTCGCGTGACGCCACCTTTAACGATTCTATGTCCTTCTACACCCGCTTTCCCCAACGAGGTCTCCCGGTTACCCCGCCCATGTTCCTTGTCCCCACTCCCTCGGTAGCTCCCACTCCCCGTTCTGCCCCGTCCAGTGTGTCTCACATCACTCCCCTTCCCTCGGTTGGCCCGGTGGAGGAGACTGTTGACTCTAGAAGCTCTGAGGCTCAGGGTCCACCGCCTTGTGCTGCGGCGCCTGCCCCCTTGGCTCCAGTGTCTCCTCCGCCGCCGCAGCAGCAACAGTCGCCGCCGCAACAGCCGCCACAGCCGCAACCATCGTTGGTGCTGCCGCCGCAGCAGCACGGGTCCGTAAGCTCTGAGGGTGCTGGCATTGGGGGTGCCGATGCTCCAGAGGGTTCTCGTTGTGGGGGTGTTTGTGCTAGGGGTGCTGGTCCTGCCTATGCTGGTTCTGAGGTTGCTCGTCTTGGAGGTGTTGTCGTGGCGAGTCCGGGAGGTAGGCGTGGTGCAGCTGGAAGTTTTGGTGTGGGTGCCGAGCAGCAGCAGCCGTAGCAGTCACTGCCGGTGTCTGCCCTTTGCCTCCTCAGTCTTCCTGCCCCCGACCGCCCGCCCACGCCTCCCCCGGGGTCGCCTCCTCCGCCTGTCTATGGCCCTGTGTTCCCTCCGCCAGACTCATCTCTGGCTCATTTTCCCCCTCATTCTCCTCCTGTGTCTCCTCCGCAGTCTCCTGGCCCAATACCACCCTCTCATTGGTGGTCTCACCGTGTCCCTCGTGCTCATCCTGTCTCTCCGGTCTCACGAGTCTCGTGCTCCTCCCGCCCCGGTTCTCCTGTTGCCTCCTCAGTCGTCCCTCTCTGTCTCCTCGCCTCCTCTTTTTGACTTCCTCCGTGCTGCTAGTGCTCTTGTTCCTCGGGTCCTTGCCTCTCTTGTTACCGACCTGTCCGATCACGTCTCCAGTCTCTTGGCTCTTGTCGCTGATGTCGCTGACTTTGCCTCTACCTGCCGCCTTAACTATGCCACTGCTCTGATCTCTGACCATGCCCGTCCTCCGTTCGTCAGCGGTGCGCCTGCCCTTGGCAGTGACGTCCTAGAGGACAGGCAGCACAAGCTAGCCTTCCTGTCCGAGGCCGCTCCTCAACTCTGTTCCATGCTGCTAGCCCCTAAGGGTGACCCATACGCTCTTGACATCCCGACCCTTCGCACCTACGCTGAGGCGACTTTGGGACCCTGTGCTTCTCAGTGGATAGCAACCATGGACGTGGAGATGGCAACTTGGAGATCCACCGGCACGTATTTCGACGCAGTTCACCCACCTGGGGCGAACGTAGTCGATGGCCGGTAGCTCTTCAACGTGAAGCGCTATCCTGGAGAGCCACCGGTATTCAAGACGTGCTATGTTGCTAGAGGCTTCGGTCAGCACGAGGGTGTTGACTTCTATCATACCTTCGCCCCAAACCCAAAGATGACCACTCTTTGGGCGTTGCTTCACATAGCAGCACAGTGCGATTACGAGCTACACTCGTTGGGCTTCTCCACAGAGTTTGTCACAGGATCGAATGACTCGAGGATCGATTGCACTATCGATCAGTACAAGGTGCTTTTATACTTCCAGAGTACATCAGGTAACCAGGTTTATCTTATCCTAAGGGAATAGACCCTTCTAGAAGATAGAATCACCCTGCGTATAGCCACGCGAGGCTATTGGCTTTAAGGGATTACGGCAGGATTACGCTGGATAATGTGCCAGTACATCCCAAGCCTGATTGGTGATATAATAATAATAGCAGGATCAACCAAAGGATAATGGAAGAATGGAGAATAGGAAACCAAATGAGATGAGATAAAAAGAAGAATGAAATAGGAAGGAGATAAGAATAGGACAAGTGGTGTAACGGGGTCGTACTCTCACACTTCCCCCCCTCAAAGCTGGGTGGTAGAAGTAACACCCTGCTTGACAAGGTAGTCATGCAGAGGACGACGGGCGTTACCCATGTCGGTTTCAGAGACCCAGCTGTCCTCGGAAGGATCATAGCCCTTCCAACGAATAAGAAGCTCCACGGTGCCATTCCGACGTCGACGATGTGCAAGCACGGACTCGACCTCGTACTCGGGTTCGTTCTGGACGAGGACGGGCGGCGGCGGCTGGCGTCCGGCGAAAATTGTGTTCGGGTCCCGATAGGGCTTCAGAAGCTGGACATGGAAGGCGTTGTGAATCTTCCAGGTAGCTGGCAGGCGTAAGCGGAAGGTAACAGGAGTGACCTGTGCTTCAACGAGAAAAGGCCCGCAGAAGCGAGGTCGAAGTTTAGATGGGAGATGGCTGATGTCCGGGTTGCGGGTGTCAAGAAGCACCTGGTCTCCCACCGTGATGGTGTGATCGTTGCGATGGCGATCGGCTTGGCGCTTTTGTTGCTGTTGAATGTCAAGGAGGCGCTTATGGGTCCGATCCCAAAGTTGATGCATGGTTGTGATGAAGTCGTGTGCAGGTTGGACTGTTGCTGATGTTGTCGGTTTCTGTGGTGTGAGTGGGTGGCGTCCGTAGCAGAGGAAGAACGGCGTCTGTCCAGTAGCGGCATGTGTAGCATTGTTGTAAGCAAACTCGAGTACGGGCAGGTGCAAGTCCCATTTGGAGATGTCGTCCTTGCAGGCTGCTCGGAGGAGTTGCTCAACAATTTGGTTGAGGCGCTCGGTCTGTCCGTCTGTCTGCGGATGGTATGCGGATGACATGGCGAGTTTGGTGCCGAGCAGAGACATAAGTTCCTTCCAGAACTTGCTAGTGAACTTGGGATCTCGGTCGGAGATGAGTGTAGTTGGGATGCCATGCTGTGAGATGATGTGACGAACGAAGAGCTGTGATGTCTCCTCGGTGCGTGCCGTCGTGTGTGTCGGGATGAAGTGTCCCATTTTGGAGAACTTGTCAATGACGACAAGGATGGCGTCATGACCGCTGGAGGTAGGTGGTAACCCGGTGATGAAATCTAGGCTAACCACTTGCCATGGTTGTTCTGGGACAGGAAGAGGCTGCAGTAGTCCCGCCTTTTTCTGCTTGCTGCTCTTCATCCGCTGACATGTATCACACGAGGTGACGAATTTCTGGACGTCGTCTGCCATATGGGGCCAGTAGTAGTGTTTGGCGATACCGGTGAGCGTCTTGTTGCTACCGAAGTGTCCGGCGTACAGGACGTCGTGGTATTCTTCGAGTAGTAACTGGCGCAAAGGAGGGTAATTAGGTACCCAGATTTTTGTGGATCCCTTCCGGTACACGATGTCACTGTCCCACTGTAGCAGATGTCGCTTTTCTGCCAAGGGAATTTCGGGGTCGATGGCGTACCCGTGGGTGAAGAGTCCCTTGAGTAGTGGATTCATCCCTTCGACCTGAATCGCGGCAACGTGTGCAGGCCGGCTGAGAGCGTCTGCTTTGTTCTTGTGGCCGGGCTTGTACACGATGTCGTAGTGGAAGTGTGTCTCGAGGAAGTCGATCCACCGGACCTGCCGCCTGGAAAGGTTGGGTTGTGTCTTCAAATATTTCAGGCTGCAGTGGTCGGTGTAGACGGTTGTTCTTCGTCCTTCGAGATAGCATCTCCACGCTTTGAAGGCGATGATGATAGCACGAGCCTCTTTGTCGTGTATCGGGTAGTTGCGTTCTGCCCCGTGCAGTTTCTTGCTGAGGTAGGCAATTGGTTGCAGTCCATTTCCCTGGTCTTGCATTAAGACTGCTCCCACTGCCTGGTCGCTGGCGTCAGCTTCGATTACGTAGTCGCGTTCGGGATCTGGCAAGATGAGCACCGGTGCGGACGTTAGTGCTTGTTTCAGCTGCTCCACGGCTTCCTGGTGCTTCGTCTCCCATTTGTAGGGCGTGTTCTTCTTCAGCAGATTTGTGAGTGGTGCCGCGAGTTTCGCATATTGTGGCACAAACCTGTTGTAGTAATTAGCGAAGCCTAGGAACTGCTGCAACTCCTTCACGTTCTCGGGTGTCTTCCACGTGCGTACGGCTTCGATTTTCTTGGGGTCGACGTGAACTCCTTGAGCGCTCACCATGTGTCCTAGAAATTGGACTTTCTCCAGGGCGAATTCGCTCTTGGACAGTTTGACGTAGAATCGTTCTCGTCGAAGAATTTCGAAGACGCGTCGCAGGTGTTCGACGTGCTGCTTCATGTCGCGCGAGTAGATGAGTATGTCGTCCAGGTACACCACCACGCATTCATCCAAAAGTGGTCGTAGAATGTGGTTCATTTCGGCTTGGAATGTTGCCGGCGCGTTGGTGAGCCCGAACGGCATGACCAAATACTCGTACGATCCGTACCGAGTTCGGAAAGCAGTTTTGTGGATAGAGTTGTCCGCCATCCGTATCTGCCAGTATCCGGACCGCAGATCCAGTTTGGAAAATACCGTGGCTCCCCGAAGCTGGTCAAGCAGGTCATCGATTCACGGTATCGGATATTTATTCTTGATGGTCTGCTTGTTAAGAGCTCGGTAGTCGATGCACATGCGCAGGCTTCCGTCCGGTTTCGGTGTGAAGAGTACTGGGGCACCGTATGGCGAAGTGGATGGTCGGATGAGTCCTTTGGCTAGGAGATACTCGATTTGTTTTTTCATGTCGGTCAGCTCCGTAGGGCTGAGCCGATATGGTGCTCGGAAGGTCGGCTTCGAACCCGGTTCCTCCACGATCTCGTGTTGATGCGTTCGATATGGCGGTAGCTCGTTCGGAAGATCGTCAGGAAGAATATCTTGGAACTCCTTCAGTAAGTCCTTGATTTTTTCTGGAGTTTCCGAGGCTTCCTCTCTGTCATTCTCCACCTCTGTTGTTATCGCCAGGAACCCGGTGTCGGTCCGCTTCACGTCCTTCTCGAATCGTGCGAGTGTCTCCACTGGGATATCTCCAGTATCGTCCCAGTTGGGTAGCTGTACTCTCCGTCCATTGTTGTAGATGCTTGCGGTGCGGTTCACCCAGTTGATCTCGGGGTTGAATTTTTTCAGGAAGTCTCGCCCGAAGATCAAGTCAAGCCCTTTGATGTTGGTGATGGGGAGTGCACGTCTCCAGCGCAGTGGTCCGATTTGTAGATGTAGCACTGCTTCGCCGTGTACTGGTAACTTGCTGCCATCCACCATCGTTGCAGAGAATTCTGAAGGCTTGTACTCTTCCCGAAGTCGGTCGATCACTGCCTTGTCGCAGACGGTGTGTGATGCTCCGCTGTCCACGAGTGCTTGGAGGCGTCGTCCTTTGCAGATGACCTCAAGCACGAGAGGCGGGCGTTGCTCGGAGTACCCAAAGATAGTTTCATTAATGGGGTCATAGGGTACATCCCAATAATCCGTACACACCTTTGTGTTGCTGTCTACTCCTGAGCTGGCAGCTGGCCGAGGCTGCTTGGAGAACGGCTCTTCTCCAGGGCCCGGAGTTTCCCTGACGACTGTGCGCGTCACTGATGCCGAAGAACTGGATGCATCCGTAGGAGGAGTTCGGGGTTTGTGCAGCTTCTTGTAGACCCCCAGCTTCCTCTTGAGCTGCTTCAGCTCCACCGACGTCTTCCCTGGGGAGCGGGTAGTCGTTGTGGGCTGGTGTCGGGAGAGGACGTTGACTCCGTGGAAAGGTCGGCTTCTTTCCACACTCCTTAATTTGGTCCCCAAGTTGTCCGGTACCGGTATAATCTCCACAGCTGTCTGCTTCTTTTGGAGTCCCTCCCGAAATTTCTCCAAGGCTCTAGCCCCTCGAACATCATAAGTTTTCATTAAAGCATCTTTATAAGATAACTTTAATGAATTCTTATAATTTCTTGGGTCTTCAAGGAGTTTCCCTGTCTCGGCAGAGTCTTTTTTCGCGGAGTCGTATTTTTCCTCGGCGATTTTCCCTGGCGAAGACTGGTCGTGGGGTGGAGATTTTCCCCCATCATTTCCTCCTTCTCGCGTCGAATCAGCTTCGTCGAAGTTGATTTTCCCGGAATCCCGCGGCCGTTTTCGGATCTTTACTTTTTCGCCAGCTAGATCCGCAATCACTGGCGACTCCCGTTTTTTGTCTTCTGATTGGCCGAAAGATTTCCGCCACTGTTGCGTGCCCAATACTCTGCGCGTGCGGCCTTCATTTTGTTGCAGTCGAAGATTCGGTGGCCCGGCACCCCGCAAAAATCACACGTGTAGTTGGTGTTTTTCGGACGTGGCCGCCCCTCGAATCTGTCGACTTCCATCGGATCGGCGAACGTGGGGTGAGCCGAGCGGTCGCCCTGCCGCGTACTGCCGACGTGCGTCCGTCGTGTCCCGGCGTTGACCATGTTGAAGCGCTCCGCTGCCGAAACGACGTCACTGTAGCTCGCGTAGTTTGACGCTGCGACTTGTCGTTTGACTTCGGTCTTCAGCCCGGCGAGGTACGATTGTACTTTTTCCCCTTCGGTCAGGTCGGGAATGCAGTTATAAAATTCTTCCATCTGCTGCGTGTACTGTGCTACACTCCCGAACTGTCGATGGTGATGAATTTTTTCGCGGGCAAGGAAACTTGAATTTATCGGTTCGAAGCGTTTCAGCAGGTCGGCGCGGAACTGCTGCCACGTGGCTTCACCGTGGATGAAAGTACTGTTGCCGCCAATCCAGTCGAGTGCCGGCCCTCGCATCAGTGTCGCCGCGAGTCGTACGCGTTGACCGTCCCAGACTGGCGAGCTCCATCCGACGGCTGCGAAGTAGATCTCCATCCCGGCGATCCATCTGCGGGCGTCGGAGTTTCGATCGCTCGGATCGAACGGCTCAGGTGGGCGCGGTTTCGGAGCCTCGAGAAACTGCTGCGACTGCTGCGTCGTCGCCGTTGTCGTCTCGTGCTGCGCTCCGGCGAGTCGAGTTACTCGCTCGAACTGGTTTCGCCACGCTTCGCGATCCGCTCGCATTTCCTCCTGAAGGGCTGCGATGCGCGCGAAGAGCTGCTGGGTAACCTCGGCGTTGTCGAAGGTTGCCATCCTGTTCAAAACACGCACGGAGGGGGTAATTCGAAAATCGCGGAGCTGGTGCTTACCAGAATCGGCGTCGAATTGGTCGCCCCCGGCGGTTTTTCGAGGCAGGATCCCTACTGCTGCTGCTTAGCTGAGCGCGGCCGAGTGACAAAAGCTCTGATACCAAGTGTCACAGGATCGAATGACTCGAGGATCGATTGCACTATCGATCAGTACAAGGTGCTTTTATACTTCCAGAGTACATCAGGTAACCAGGTTTTATCTTATCCTAAGGGAATAGACCCTTCTAGAAGATAGAATCACCCTGCGTATAGCCACGCGAGGCTATTGGCTTTAAGGGATTACGGCAGGATTACGCTGGATAATGTGCCAGTACATCCCAAGCCTGATTGGTGATATAATTATAATAGCAGGATCAACCAAAGGATAATGGAAGAATGGAGAATAGGAAACCAAATGAGATGAGATAAAAAGAAGAATGAAATAGGAAGGAGATAAGAATAGGACAAGTGGTGTAACGGGGTCGTACTCTCACAGAGTTCCTCTAGGACAGTCTGCACGAGCAGATCTACCTGCGTTGCCCGCCAGGCTTCTCTGGCACGTTCCCTCCTGGAACTGAGTGGTTCCTCACGCGCCCCCTGAGTGACACGCCATGCTGCTAGGTTAGGAGACCTGCAGTTCTTCCCATCCTCTGCTGACCCCTTTTTTCATTCGCTCTGGCCAGACTCCGTTCCAAATCCCGGTCTACATAGACGAATAAAGCAGATAGAGGCGCACTGGCCTCGGTAAAGGCCGCGCTGCTGAGGAGACACATCTGCACTAACCTGGGAGAGTTGCGCCGCTACCTGGGCCTGCAGATCTCCAAAGACTGAGCAGCGCGCACCATCACTCTTACCCAGTCACACTTGGTGTGCCAGGTCCTTCTAAGGTTCGACCTTCAGTTCTCCTTCGTACAGCCTACCCCTTTGCCAGTGGAACACAAGCTCTCGGCTCCAATCCCTGACGAGCCAGTCGACTGGCAGACACCGACCCCAGCACTAGTTGGTTGCTACGAGGGTTTTGCGATATCTAGCAAGTACATCAGGCATGGGGAGAGTGTTGGGAGGACGCATGCCCATGGTTTTCATAAGGCACACAGACGCTTCGTGGGCAGACGACACTGAGACGCTCAGGTCCTCCCAGGGCTACTGCTTCAGCCTTGGTGCATGCGCTATCTCGTAGAGGTCCACCCGCTCGTCATCTGTTGCACAGTCCAACTGTAAGGCTGAGATCTACGCTGGTGCCATGGCGGCACAGGAGCTTCGCTGGCTGACGTTCTTGCTCACAGACTTAGGTGAGCAGCCTAGCTCTGCCTCGGCCCTGTACGCTGACAACAAGGCCATGATCCTCCTGTGTAAGGAGCCTCGACTAGAGAGCAGAGCGAAGCACATCCTGCTGTAGTACTTCCTCCTGCGCGAGCTTCAGCAGCGCCGCCAGGCACGCGTAGTACACTTGACCTCCGGTGTCAACACAGCTAATATCTTTATAAATGCACTTGCGCCAAAAGATCATCAGCGGCACTGCGTACAGCTTGGGCTAGTTCCAGTAGCTCCTTACTTGCTAGAACCCTGATTGTGTACTACTCCTTATATCATCTTGACTGGTCTTGTGGCTCTTGTCCCAGTGGCAAGACTAGTAGTGCTGCCCTGTGTTTCACTTGTTTAGTTTGTACTCTTGGTGACTGGTCTCCCGACCGTTGCCGCAAAGGTTGGACTAGTAGTGCTGCCATGAGTTGCGTGTCTCTTGTTAGGCACTGCCCCTTGTCTAGCCTAGGGGGTGTGTCAACTTATACATATGCATTTTATATAGAAGTTATAGGCTATATAGGGTTGTGTTCTTAGAGGGCATAACACCAACCCTATGTCTGTCATGTACTGCTTGTTCTAGACACTTTGCTATTCTGAGAATTACAGTAGGGCTGAGCGCGTTTCAGAAGGTGGTCACGTGGCGTCTTATAAGGGGTTGAGGCTTTGGAGGTTTGGAGATAAGCTTTAGTTTGAGGCTCGGGTGGATGCTGCTGCACGAGAATGACGATGTAGAAACCACTCCAGGTGTTACGCAACAGAAAAACACATCTAAGCGGAACTTCCTTATACTCATTGTATAGTCTCAAAAATTTGCTAACTTTGTTGACAATCGTTATCTGGCTCCAAAATTATTATTATTTAATTTGTAAATAATAAGACATCCAAGGGCTATCTTACTTCTCTAAATACTACATAATGGTTCCCTAAACCCTGTAGTCTATTTATAAAGATTCCAAATACTTACAATAATTTAATGTTTAATAAACAGCATCACATGCCCAAGGATCACATTACTAATGAGCATCATATCCAAAGATCCTTTTTCTCATGTTCAAAACAAGTTAAAATGTGTAGGTCTCTAGTCTACAGGAAGCCTAGACGTCATATAGGGGTCGAGGTCAATTTAGGGCCAAGCGGTAGGTCACTTTTCGAGGAGTGGGTAAGCGTCTGACCCACATGTGACCCGATTGTCACATTGAGGTGACCTGAAAGGTACATAAAGGAGATGCCTCCGAGGCGGTGAGGTCTGGGTCATTCCCTTTCTGGAGATGTAGAGAGCATAAGGCAGAAAGCAGAGAGCATAAAGCAGAGAGCAAAAAGCAAAAAGCAGAGCACAAGAGGCAAAAAGAGAAGGCACACCCACCTGCCAGCAGGCGGCATCATGAGGAGCAGCAGCAGAGGCTCTCTTGAATTAGGAGCAAGCAGCGCTCAGATTCTTCACAAAAGCTTCCAGGAACATGCATGACTACAAAACTACAGGGCTCCGCGGCTGAATCTTCTCTGCCTGCTCCAGCAAGTCCTAGGCAGCCTGTAAGTTTCCAACGCACATCTCAGCCATGGCCCAAGCCTGCAGGCCAATCACCAGGCTTCCTGCCTCCAACTGAGACTGCCCTGATTGCTTCGTCCCGTCCATCCACAGCTGCTTTTGCTGTGGCTGCTGCTCCTGCACCTAAGCTAGCACTGCTGATGACCGTTGAAACAGGTGTCTGCTGGTAACCATGTCACCCTGCTCTGTCTCCATCCCCGCCCATGCCTGCAGACACTGGCTCAGATGATTCTGCAGGTGGTGCCGACCCCTCAAGTGGCTTGTCTGCTCCTTGCACTGGCCTACTTGGCTGTAGCTCCAGTTGCACCTCTGCTAGGTCCGCTCCTTCAGAGTCTTGTCTCATAGAGTCACTCCTTATCGAGTCACTATTTAACAATCCTCTCCCAGCCGCCAGTGCCACATAGCCCTGCATGCTACGGCGATACCACGCCCTTTCAGAATGGGGGTTGACAGCACTCATCTTGGCGAGTGCTATGAGCTCTTGGACATGGGGGTCCCAAGGGCTGCTGGGATATAACGTTTCCCAGCATCCCGGTCCTCGTTCCCTAACTGTCACCTCACCGCCTTCAGAGCACCTGCCATCTCTGCCTGCAAGGTAAATGAAATGGGGGAGAGAGGTGCTTGACAAATCTCAAACTGAGAATGGCGTTCAGACTGGTAAATTAAACCTTGCATCATGTTTGCACCAAGTCTCTCCTCCTTTAATCTCCCTCCTATCCCCACCCACCTCTCCAGTGCACTTCCAGTTCTGCAGTGACTGCTTGGCTCAGAACCGCCGGCAGCACAACAACTGCCCGCTCTGCCGCTCCCCTCTTCTGCAGTGCCATCTGCAGCGATAGGGCCTTTGACCTTGGCAAGCTTGGTGTCAGTGTCAGATGCAGCAGTAGGGCCTTTGACTTTGGCAAGCTTGGTGTCACTGTCAGTTGCAGCAGTAGGGCCTTTGACCTTGGCAAGCTTGGTGTCAGTGTCAGATGCAGAAATATGGGCTCTGTCAAGCCTATCACTTTCAGCTGCATCATTATCCGATTTTCATCATTGGTAATGTCGCAATTACAGCAGTTGCTGCTTTGACAACTGCAAAAGGTGGGCAGCATTGGACGAGCCTGCCTGCTGTTCTACTCTCCTGAGGGCTTCCAGTTTTGCAGTGAGTGCTTGGCTAAGCACCGTCAGCAGCATAATAGCTGCATGGATGGGCGAATTAGTCATCATCACCTGCTGGTGCCACCTCTCCCCTCTGCTGCCTCTGCTGCTGCAGGCTCTCTGCTCGCTCCTCACTCTCTTTGCCCCTCCTCATCTGCTGTCCTCTATCGTGCTCTGCTTCCTCTTTGCTGCTCCCCGCCCTCTCACTATCCCAGCACACGTCTTCACTTCAACCCATCCACACCTCCAATGCACTACCCAGTTTACATCATCTGCGGTATAGCAGCTGCCGCCATTGACTACTCTAGGTGGCTAGCAGTGGAAATCATGTGAGGGACAGTTGTCGTGTTTGGTTCACTTGAAAATTGAGGTGGTGCCATGTGCAACACAGGCCATGCGTGCAGAACTTCAGACACGTTAACCACAATCCATAATCATAAACGAGTCAACCGCAATCCCGTACTTTCCCGCAGCTTGCCGTGGGATATCAACTCAGCACAAAATACCCTCAAACTTTGTCTCTTCGAATTAAACTCTCTCTTGAAAACAGAATCACAGAAGAAGCACCCACCCAGAAACCGTCACCATCACGCCTTCCCCACCTTTCCACAACTGCTAGCCAAGGAACAGAGAAAATACGGCCATGCTCGTTCCGTTTCCAGCCTTTCTGATCTTCTGCCCTCGTGAGACCTGTGCCGCACGTCTCCGGCCTCTTTGCTCACTATCACAGCTACTTTTTCCTGAACAGTTGCTTGAAAAACTCCACGGTTCCAAGAGCTTTAGCTGCAAAGACCACAAAAAGTTCCCAACGGTCAAGAAATGTGATGGTAATGCGGGCCAGTAGATTTAATGACATGGGGGCGTGGGCGCCAAGCGGAAGTGTGGCCGGGAGGCAGCTTACGTTCCACCGGTCGTTTGCAATCCTCGATGTAGTTTTTGACCTTGGTCTTGCACTCTTCAAAGCTCTTCATCCGCCGGTACCTAACTTCCGTGGAGCAAAACGAGTCGCTCTGCATACCAGTGGCGCTATTCACGTACTCACACCGGTACATCGCTGCAGCCCAGGGGGAGGGGGGGGGGGGGGGGGGGGGGAGGGAGGGGTTACGTCCCAAATACCAGGATCAGAAATACGGAGTAGGTATACAGTAGGTACGGCATAGGTACGTCTGCTACGGAGTAGCCTTGCTATACGAACAACTATACCTACAATATAGGAGAGATGAAGGACAAAACGCGGAAGGGTAAGTAGCGGATGAGGGAGGTGGGTGGGGTGGGGGCTCTTACTATCAGATGTCAACGTGGCGGTAGCGGCGGCGGCCGTGGAAGCAAATGAAAAGAGCGCCAAAGTAACGGCGAGCAGGAGAACGAGAGTGGTAAATGAGACGGCACGCGCCATTGGGACAGGTAGTAGCTGACGCTGATGGTATGTAGCAAACTTGCTGGCAAGATTTGCGAATGAACGGCTCACTGAAACTTAGACTGGCAGTTGTGTGAATGAACGAGGAGGGAAGCCAGGGAGCATTTATAGGGCTCAATCGGAGGTGTTGGGGGTGTGTGGTCGCGCTGCTTGGGGAAATAATCTCGCATTATTGATGTGGGACGCGGTGCATTCGAATAAGAAAGGTCGTTTGAACTCCGTTTTTGCCATTTCCAATCGGTTGGTGTGGTTGACTTCCTACCGGTTCAGAGCAATAAATCAAGGTCGCGAACGAATTCCGAATGAAAAACATTTCTGCCCGCAACCCCGAGACGTGGTATAAGAGAATTGCGACATGGCGTCAAGCAACTTTGACTACCAGGTTCGTTGAGTTGCGGTCAAGCAAACTAGGAAGTTCGTTGAGTTGCTTGAAGCAAGCTTTGCTTCACCTGAGAAATCGTCCCGCCAAGTGATGCGGTCTCAGCAATAAACCAACTTCGACATTTGAACAGGGAGATTAGACTGAACCGCCGCAGCGCATCCAGGTGACGCGGTCCCAATGACCGTCAATCGAGTTTGATGTCCCAGGCTTCAAGTTTCTTGTGCACCCCCAAGAAACGGGAGTTGGAACCCTTGGCTGTATGTCGTGCGGTAACCCTTGGGCACCCGAAAACCACCAGACGTTTGGGACAGGACGGGACGGGACTCATCTCCCACTATCGAAAGAGTGGCGAGGGCGAAGTAGGCGGAGCGAAGACACGTGGGAGGCTATTGGGGTTGGTGGCGGGAGAATGAGCTGCCTAAGAGTAATTAGGGCACAAAAGCTCACCTCGAGACTCTGTACCCCAGATTCGCAGCAAGTAGAGCATCGACTTCAAACTCGATTTCGTAGCGTGGTGGAATGTGACTATCGCGGCTGGGTTACCCTCCTAAAGTACATGCAGGTTGGAGTCTAGTCCCAAAACTTCAGACTTACACCTGAAATTTCATGTTTGTTCGGGCACAATCACCCAAAGTCACGTGGCATTTGACTTCTGTGGACCCGTGCAGTAAACACTGACTACGAGGATGCACTAAGGGCGTGTAGCAGACTTACCAAAACCTGTAATATTCCCTTTCCATGCACCATGTACTTCTTCACATGCACCTCGTGCATGTACTCATTTGGAGATATATTTACATGTGGTGGACCCCGCACACATCAGACAATACATAGTACCGTGGAAATTAAATTCCAGTGTGCATGGACGGAGGGAATTACAAAGCACATTCAAATACACAGCACTAACACGAAACACCAAGTTAAGCAAGCAAACGGCACTTGATATAAGCTGTACACAAGCTGCTCACAAAAGCAGAGTCCATAGCAGGAGGTATTCCACAGCAGCTCCATATTCATAACCAGAGTCAAATCATCAGTTTCTTTTCAACTCGTCCCTCTTCCCCTCATCTTTCCTCTTCACCCGCCTCTGCTGCATCTTCCCCACCACCCATTGCGGCACCCCCGATCTCCCCTGCAACTCTCTCCTCTCCGCCTTCTTTGACTCAAACATGCCCCGCCTTCGCCTCGCCGCCACTCTATCGGCCCGGTGGGTACGCACAAACAGCTCATGCGCTAGGGTGGCGTTTCCCAGCGCCTCCTCTACCTCAGCTGCTAGCTGCAGCGCTGCTGCATTGTCCGGCTGGGCTGATAGGGCGACAGCCAGAAGAGAGCGGGCCTTGGATAAGTTTCCCTGCTGCCGCTCCAAACTTGCGTATGCCTGTGGTGGTAGTTAGGCAGCGAAAAGATCGTGTGGGTGAGTTGGTTGAAGAACAGCGCATGTGAGGGAGATAATGCAATCCTGGATCGACGGGCAAGGGACAAACCGGTGAGATGAGACACTGGGCCCACGGGAGTTAGGGGGGGAAGGGCATGCCTGCGGTCGAAACTCATGGTCGGAGACAGTGACAAGGAGAAAAAGAAAGAAAAAGACCATGGGTGGACAGCTGAATGCTCTCATCACGAGCTGGCACTGTGAAAAAAAAGCACATGCTGTGCCCGACCCAAGGCTAGCACAACCTCAGGACATTGGCCGAACAGCTTCTTAGCGGCCTCCACATCCCCCACCCCATCCTCCATGACAGCCCATGCCTCGGCACATGGCTCAGCACACACACCCCGCACACCCGGAATGCATGGCCAGACATGAAATTCATCTGAGGGACTAGAGAGCATACCTGGAGCGCTGGAACAGACGCAGGAGCGACCTCAAGGCATCTGTCAAATAGCTTCCTGGCCACATCGACGTCCCCCGCCCCATGCTCCATGACCGCCCACGCCTGCAGCGCGCGCACACACCCCGGCTGCACCTCCAGGCACCGCTGGAACAGCCCCCTCGCCACCTCTCTGCTGCCTGCCATGCCCAGGCGGGCCTCCTGGCAGGCCCACGCGTGCAGGGTGGCAACGGACTTGGGGTCTGCTGCTAGTGCTGACTGGAAGAGCGTCCTCATGTGATCCACACGGCCTGCCCGTGCCTCCAGAAGGGCCCATGCCTGAATTTGGACACATGAGAGGGTGTGCCCATGGGAATCGAAGATGGCGTGTTAATGTTGGCGCGTGAGGGGGACAGGATTGAGAGATGGATAAATGGCTCACTGGAGACAAGCAGAAAGCAGAGTGCAGAATCCAGAGAGCGCACCCACCTGCCAGCAGGCAGCGTCATGAGGAGCAGCAGCAGCGGCTCTCTTGAAGTAGGAGCGTGCAGCGCTGAGATTCTTCACAGAAGCTTCCAGGAGCGCGCGTGACTGCAGAACTACATGGCTGCCCGGCTGGAGCTTCTCCGCCTGCTCCAGCAGGTCCCGGGCAGCCTGAAAGTTTCCGGCGCGCTTCTCAGCCATGGCCCAGGCGTGCAGGCCAATCACAAGACTCCCTTCCTGCTGAGACCGCTGTGAAAATTCTCCCTGAGACCGAAGCTGCAGCTGCTGCTGCTGTTGCAGCATCTCCAACTGCGATGCCACAGCTACTGACCGTTGGAACATCTGCCTGCTGGCGACCATGTCACCCTCCTCTGCCTCCATCCCCGCCCATGCCTGCAGGCACCGGCTCAGGTGATTCTTCAGGTGTTGTCGATCCCTCAGGTGGCCTGCCTGCTCCGTCGCTCCGACAGAGGTTCGATCCTCAAGTCGCCCCTCCATTAAGTCCCTTGCTGCATATGCTTGCTCTGCAGATGTTAGCTCTGCGGCTGTACGCTCAGCATCTGTAGCCCGTGTGTTGGACTCCCTCCCAGCCACCAGGGCCTCGTAGCCCTGCACGCTGCGGCGGTACCACGCCCTGGCAGCCGCCGGGCTGCCTGCCTTCCGCTCCAGTAGCGCCATGTGCTCCTGGACTTGCGGGTTTGACGGGTGCTGAGAGAGAACCTGGGAGGAAGGGGCGGAAACGGAAAAAATAGAGTAGGGCGGGTGTGAGACGGCTGCAGACAGGTTGCCTGCCTTCCGCTCTGCCAGTGCCTATGTGCTCCTGGACTCGGGGGTCTGACGGGTGCTGAGAGAGGATCTGGAAGGAAGGGGCGGTTGTGGAAGAAACCGAGTAGGGAGGCTGCGAGACGGCTGCAGACAAGTTGCCTGCCTTCCTCTCCAGTACTGCCTATGTGCTCGTGGCCGGGGGTCTGACGGGTGCTGAGAGAGAACCTGGGAGGAAGGGGCGGTGATGGACGAGAGGAAGTGGCTATGAGTGGGAGACAGCAGCAGAGGCGTTGCCTGCTCTTTCCTCTGCTAGCGCCGTGTGCTCCCCTTTACTTGGTAGTTTAGAAGGGTGCTAGCATAGCGGAATATCAGTGGAGCAGAAGACCAGTGGAGCAGAGGGAAAGAGGAAGAAGAGAGGACCGCATGCACTGCAGGTGGGAGACTCCACTGGGAGAGGAGGGAGGGAGAGGGTGGGAGGAGTGGGAAGGGGAGTGGATGGAAGGAGAGAGTGAGGGGACATGTGTGTGCCCGCTTACCTTCTCCAGCGTTTCCTTAGCCGTCGCCATGGCGCTCCTCGTCCCTCCAGCTACCTGCCGCCTCACTGCCTTGAGAGCACGAGCCACCTCCACGCCACTTCCTCTCTCCTCCTGCATCTCCTCCCCCATCTCCTTCTCCTCCTCCTCCCTTCCTCCCGCGCTCGCTCCCAATCTGTCAAGAGCTTCTGCCTTTTCTGCCCGTCCCCGCCTCATCGCTGCGGGCGGACGCGCCAAAGTCAATCTCACTACTCGCTTATGTGGTGTCCCCCGCCAACTTACCCCCCTGCGCCCACTCTCCCCCTCTTGCTCCCCCTGCCTTCCCCCTTCCGCCTCCTGCACTGTAAGGTTCTCTTTCCGGAAGGCGTTCGCCGCTGGCGGCGGCGCGAATACGGGCAGCGGAGTGCGGGGAGGGGCGGGAGTGGCGGGAGCGAGTGGGGGAGGCGACGAGGAGGAGGAGCGGGGGAGGGCCGCGGGAGTCGAAGGCGCGGAAGGGGAAGCTACTAGCGAATCGGAAACCAGCGATGTGGTCAGGGGCATGGGGGGCGAGAACGGGGGGGAGGAGGAGGAGGCGGCGGAGGAGGGTGTGGATGGCGCAGTGTAAAAAGCCTCTTCCGATTCAGTCACAACGGATCCAGTCACGCCGTCCCGCACCTCGTTACTATAACCCTCTGGCGCCCCTCCTTTGTGCTTCTGCTGCTGCTGCAGCTTCTTCCTCTCCCGCCTCAATCTCACTGCCGCTTCAGCCACGGCTTTAGCGGACGGCTGCCTGCCACGTGGCGCCCCGCGAGAGGCTGGGAACTGGGAACTTTCAACTGACAGCAGCTCCAGACCGTCGCTGCTGTCTACGGACGGCCCGGATCGCTCGATCACCGCCGCCTCTGGCGGCTGGAGAGAGGCGGACGGAGGAAGGCTGGATGGAGAGGATGGGATAGAGGCGTTGACGGCGGGGGGAGCGTGAGTCTTGGAGCGACGCTTTCGCGGGTACTGCCGCTTGCGACCCGACGTCCATAGCAGGGTCCAGTCGTCCTGCGCACACGGAGGCAGAGACAGGGGAGTAAAAAGAACAGAGATTAGGAACCAGGGAGGGGAACAGGCGCACACAGGCGCACGCAGACGCGCACAGGCGCAAGGCGCCAGGCGGCTCACCTCGTCCACGGCGGCGAATCCCTCCACCTCGCCGCGCAGGATCTGCGCATCCGACGAGTACGCCTCGGGAATGCCGCGCCCCGACAGCGACTCCTCCAGAGCAGCAGCCGCAGCTGTAGCTGTAGCGGCAGCAGTAGCTGTAGCTGTAACGGCAGCAGTAGCTGTAGCTGTACCGCCGCCTGTAGCGGCTTGTCGTCGGGACGACTGAAGGACTGACTGAGTTCTAACGGGAGTGGTGTCCGTGTCAGCTGCTGCGATTTGGGATGTCTTGCTGGTTCCACGCGCCTTGTCTGTCGGGCTTGTGAAGGCGCGACACGCGGACGGGAGTGCGTGTGCGGGTGTGCGGCTGCTGGGATTGGCTCTCGATATAGTCACCCTTACGATCCGGGCAAGCTGCGGACGGCGGTACCTACAGAGCCCGTTGTAGCGAGGGAGTGTGCTCGCCTCGGGCGGGTCTGAAAGCACGCAGGAGATGAGACGAAAGAACAGCAGGAAGGACAGGGTCAGAAGATAATATTACTGTACGCTCTAGATTCGGTATTTATGAGACACAGAGAAGAACGGAACGTGAGGAGTGCAGCGGCGGCGCGACAGTACGGAATCAGGGCAGAGATGCAGTTACACCAAGTACAGCGCGCCTGAAAAGGAGACTAATCAACGGCGTGGCACGGCAGCGCGCACCTGGTAGCGGAGCGTGCTGACGGGAGGAAGTTGGAAATCCCGCGGGTGTGCAGCGAGGCGCTCGACACAGCTCGGTCACGGCGGCAGCCGCCATTGCTAGCCTGAAGCGGTTTTGCTTATAACTAGTCAGAAAGATCTACGCCGCTAAATTTAGGCGGGAACCGAGTGGGGGCGCGGACCTAACGCCAGCTACATATAATTTCAAATGACGCGAAATTGGACACGTGTATTTGGCGGGGTACTACTGTGACGGCGTAGAAGGCAAGAGGCGGAGAACAACACTTGGGGGTATGGAGAATTGAGACTGCTGCTAGGAGTCAAGTAGGATGTCAATGTCTATCGTCCGCGACAACCCAGTTCGACATCTGCTGTTCACTGGAGGAGGAGGAGCCAGATCAAGTTTATGGAGACTGGCAGTGTCTAGGAAGCGGTAGATCGCGGCGAAGCGCGTGTTGCATCTGGCCGCCATGGCTGATGAAGCGAAAGGTAAAATCGATAATGAAGCTTCGAGGAAAGGAAGTTGGGCGTTTACGGGCAGACGAGAGAGAAACCTGGGCAGAGTACAAGATTATGTCCCGCATGTAAAGTTTTCTTTCAGCTGCAGGGGTTCGGGGACTCCTAAACGTATTTCGCTGCATATTTCACAACTAATACCCAATGTGGTTGAATCCGGGCAGATTGGGTGAAATGAAAAACGATTAGGTTCGGCACTCAAGCTTCCCTATGAATGGGCCACGACGACAGATGGTGCCTCGCGACTGGCTCGAGAGGAGACCACGTATCCCCCTGACATTCTGAGCCCAGGTGCGCTGACGCATGAACCGCTCGCGTGGCTCATTCAAAGCCCTTGATCATGCGTGCATCCTGGGTCGAAGATCTCGTGCTATAGCGAGACAACTGGACAGGCTGAACATGTTGACCATGCCCTTAAAAAATGTATTACATGCTCAATATCAATTTGTACCTAAACATCTTCAACGCATGTAGAACAAGCACCAACACCGCGCTAGGACAGAATCAAGAGGGAGTCAAGGGGCACCAAAGGATGCCTGATGATTGTTGCAAGCAGCACTTGTACCGCCACTCATTATAGTCCATAGTGCTCCAGCATATGGAAATTTTACACTACACCCTCGCGTGCCAAGCCCAAAAATCCAGCAATGAACCATAAAAACAATGTAGTCACAACCCAATTGAGCTGCAAACGTGACTAACAAAACACATTTACATATCTATTCAAGCATAGGGCTTGTCGAGCATGGCCCACTGGAAGATCTGCTCGTACTGCTCCGCCGCCTTGTTCCACGACATGTCCTGCAGCATGCCGCGCTCCATCATGCGCGTCCATGAGTCCCGGTGCTCCCTATACGTCTGGATCGCCGTCCATAGTGCCTGCATGGGATGTTGAGGGGGGGAAAGGGAGGGGGGGGTACGGCAATTCACAACTCAATGATTCTGCCTTTGAGAGGACTCAACACTCCATCATGCACGTCCACTCATGAATAACTTCCAAGGAGACGTGGAACAGAGCATGCAAGACCATATAATACTGGAAACAGCTAATGGAAGCTACAGCTCGTGAGAACTGGGAAACTCACCCCCATCATGGCTTCCTTGGTGAGAGGAGAGAAGGTCCAGCTGAGACAAGCAGGGAGAGATGGATGGGGAGGAGTGAAGAGGAATAAAGAGGTGTAAAGAGGAGTAAAGTGGAGGAAAGGAAGGGTGTAGAGAAACAAGAGGGTGTAACTGGGAGTGGGAGAGAAGAAGAGGTGAGCAAGTGTAGGGTGGAGGAAGGCAGGCTTGTGTGGAGGAGACGAATGGAAAAGGATAGATGGAGGCACTAAGGCCTTAACACAGAGGTGCGTCGCTTCCACCCCCTTCCACGCATCCTGTCCCTTCCTTCCCACACCATGGCCCTCCCATGCACTCCCCACCCCACCCCATCCGCTCTACACTCCCCTCTCCACTTCCCTTGTCCCCCCCGCCCCCTCCTGGCCCGCCCATAGCCCCCCAGCCCATCCTGGCCCCCTCCCCCCTTCTCACCCGGTGCCAGCTCCGTTGCCCTCGTTGGCGAATGGGTTGAAATCCTCCACCGTGTCCTGGGGGAGACGGAGGGGGGGAGGGGAAACGGAAGGGGGGAGGGGAGAGGGAGGGGAGAGGGACGGGGCGTCAGGGAGGGGACGGAAGAGGACAGGACGGGAGGGCAGGGAGGGGAAGGAAGGTACAGTAAGAACAGGTAGAAATTTCTCCACCGTTTCGTGGGGGAGAGGGAGGGAGAGGGGAGGGGAAAATGGGTATGAAAGGGCTGAACCACGTCCTGCACCGTATCCAAAGAAGGGGAAAGGGGAAGAAAGGAGAAGAAAGGAGAAAGGAGAAGAAAGGAGAAGAAAGGAGAAGAAAGGAGAAGAAAGGGGGAGAAAGGAGAAGAAAGGGGGAGAAAGGGAGGGAACGGGGAGCGAGCGTCAAGGTTCAAACCCTCAACTCCATACATGAAAGCACTGGATTCACACATACATGACACACATACATGACACACATACATGACACACATAGCATGACACACATACATGACACATATACGTGACACACATACATGACACACATACATGACACACATACATGACACACATAGCATGACACACATAGCATGACACACATAGCATCATACACATAGCATGGCACACATAGCATCATACACATAGCATCATACACATAGCATCACACACAAAGCATCATACACATAGCATGGCACACATAGCATGGCACACATAGCATGGCACACATAGCATGACACACATAGCATGACACACATAGCATGATACACATAGCATGGCACACATAGCATCATACACATAGCATCATACACATAGCATGGCACACATAGCATGACACACATAGCATGGCACACATAGCATGACACACATAGCATGACTTGCACCCACTTGTGCCCATGCCTTCATCCACCATTCCAGCCTCCCCTGTTTGCTCACCCTCCGTTTCCCCCTGACATGGTTAAAAACCTCAACTCCAGATACACAAAGCAGCAGTTTCACAAGTACCATGACATAGACCTGGCTGAGCGCCCCCTCGCCCCCCCCCCAACCCCCTCCATCCTTCCCTTGTTTGCTCACCCTCAGTCCCCCCTGGCATACACAACGGGAATGGTGCCGCCTTGCATCGCATAGACCTGGTTGCACCCCTGTCTCTTGCTATCAATGAACCCTTCCCCCCTCTTTCAACTCACCCCAAACCTACCCATGGCGGCGTGCACAACGGGGATAGTGCTGTATCGCATGGCATACACCTGGTTTAGTCCAGGTCCTCTCCCCCTCCTCCCACCTTCCTCCCATTTCTTCCACTCACCCTGAGCCCCCCTGTGGCGTGCACGACGGGGATGGTGCCGTATCTCATGGCGTACAGCTGGTTCAGCCCACACGGCTCAAAGCGCGACGGCATGAGCAGGATGTCGCAGCTGAGTGGGGCAAGGGGGACGGCAGCAGGCAGAGCGAAAGGACCAAGGGCGGGGGAGGGCAAGGAGGAAGGCAGAGGGATGGACGGAGAGAATGAGCACGGAGGGCTCAAAGCGCGATAGGACTCAAAGCGCGATGGCATGAGCACGGAGGGCTCAAAGCACGATGGCATGAGAAGGGAGAGGGCTTAAAGCACAACAGCATGAGCAGAATGTCGCAGCTGCAGACGACACAGGAGAGGGCAAGGTTGGGGAGGAGAAGGGTGGGGAGGAAAAGTCTTACTCAGCACCACACAATCACCAACACTATCTCTTCCTCACCCAGCAAAGACACGGTGCACCACGGGCCCACCCTGCCCACCCTGCCCACCCTGCCCGCCCTGCCTGCCCTGCCCGCCCTGCCCACCCTGCCCGCCCTGCCCGCCCTGCCCACCCTGCCCGCCCTGCCCGCCCTGCCCGCCCTGCCCACCCTGCCCGCCCTGCCCGCCCTGCCCACCCTGCCCACCCTGCCCGCCCTGCCCACCCTGCCCACCCTGCCCGCCCTGCCCACCCTGCCCACCCTGCCCGCCCTGCCCACCCTGCAGCTGTGTGTTGGGCTTTAACCACTAACCACTAACACTATCGCTTCCTCACCCGGCAGTCATTCTGTGCGCCACGGGCACGGAGAAGCCCACCCAGCCGCGGAACTTGTCACGGTACTCGCTCTCCGCCCACGCCATCCACGACTCGTACTCCGCGTCGCCACTGCCCAGCATGATCTGAAAGGTGGGTGTGGGGGAGGGAGAGGGGGGGAGAAGGGGGGGAGAAGGGGGGGGAGTAGAAGGGAGAATAGTGGAAGGGGATATGAAGGGGGCATCTCGGTACTCGCTCTCCGCCCACGCCATCCACCACTCATACTCCGCGTCGCCGCTGCCCAGCATGATCTAGAGGGGGGAGTGCAAACAGAGAGATTGGGGGGGGATACAGACCTCTATGTATACATAGGGGCCAGACTCATATTCGCTTCCCCCCCAAGCCGTCCACAACCCGTTCTCCGTGTCGCTGCTTCCTTGTGAGAGATTTTTTTGGATTCTAAAAAACCCGCATGATGGAAGAGAACGGATGGTGGGACGGAAGACTAAGAAGTGGGGGAGGGGGAGAGACAGGGAGCGAAGGAGAAGCAGGGTCTCCATTAACCGGCTCCCTCTTCAGCAAACCATGTCAATCCCATCCCCACTATAGAATCCCTTCCACGCACGAGAGGCACGTCATCTATCACGAGCGCTGGCAAGCAACGCCTGCCTCTGTTTGAGGCGCCTAAGATATAGACTCCAGGCAAATTGCGCCAGTTACGACTGCAATAAAACCTTAAACCTCGCAAACTGCACCTATAGCACGTGCTACCATCCCATTCCAAACCATCCAGCACTGCTATCACCGTTATAAGCTGCTCCCACCCACTCACGAACTGCACGTCGCCCGTCATCATTTCGGGCACGCCCGCTTGGATCACATCCGGGCCCTTCTGCCAGTCCAGGCGCCCGATAAACCCAATCTGATGGGGGGAGGGGGGAGGTGGGGGGGGGGAGAGATAGGTTTTGTGGTGTGTGTGTGAGGGGTCGAGGGGGAAAGAGACAGGCCGAGCTCTGGCACACCCACCCACTTAAGCACACCCGCTTAAAGCACACCCGGGCCTTTCTGCCAATCCAGGCGACCGATGAACCCAATCTGAAATGAAACGATACGAAAGTACGAACAAACGGAGAGTGAGAAGGAGAAGGGAGGAGGGTGGGAGCAAAAGCGGAGGCTGAGAAGGCGCAGCTTATAGCTGAATGTGCAATGACAAGTTTCAGCTGCAGTATTCGAGTGCAGGTGCAGCAAGCAGGTCAGCCGTGCCGCTGTGGCTGGGCCTGGGTTTACACGTGCCACAGGCATAGCAGATGCCCAACCCAACCACTAGTCAGGAACCTCCTCCTACAGTCACATTCGATACAGGTCCAAACTCTCACCAGCAGCACATCTCTCACAAGTGGGGCGTTCTTTAGAGTCACACTCACCAGCGGCACATCGGGTCTGACAGGGAGTCCCAGCTCCTGCTGCAGTGCCGCCTTGCACGCTGCCTGTGATAGCAGCAGGACGGAGGGAGGGTGGGTAAGGAGACGGAATGAGGAAGGGAGGGGTTGGGGGGAGGGGGAAGGTGTTGGGGGTTGTTGTTTCTAAGGTCCAGCCATGATAGGCGTGAAAGGATGATGATATGGCATGGCGAGATGGCGAGATGGGATGGGGGCCAAAGAGCAATCTGACCCCAAGCAGCAGAAGAAAACGTCCACGGGGCTTCCCCCTCCCCACCATCCCCCCCCACCTGTCCTCCGCAGTGCACTGCAACGGCATATACTTGCTTTGTCAGTGGCCGGGGTCTCATCCACCAGAAGGAGAACAGGAAAAGAGGGAGAAGAAGAAGAGGAAAAGAGGGAGAGACAAACCCCTGTGCATCCCACAAAGCAAGCCTTCTCACCTTGCCCGACATGTCCTCAGCAGTGTACTGCGAGGGAATGTGCTTGTCCGTGGCCGGGTTCCAGTCCACCACATCCACGCCATTCGTCACTCCTGCACGGATGGAGTTGGGGGTGTTAGAAGGGGCACAAGTTTAGTGCGAGTGACATGGCTGAAAGGCCATGGGTCGCTGTGAGTCACTTGTCCGTGGCCAGGTTGCACCCCACCACGTCTGCTTTTGAGTCGACTCAAAAGCAGACCCCACCACGTCCACGCCGTTGGTCACTCCTGCACGGACGGTATGGGGGGTGTTGAGGGGGCATTTTGAGTCGACTCAAAATACAACGGGTGTTGAGGGGGCATTTTGAGTCGACTCAAAATACAACGGGTGTTGAGGGGGCATTTTGAGTCGACTCAAAATACAACGGGTGTTGAGGGGGCATTTTGAGTCGACTCAAAATACAACGGGTGTTGAGGGGGCATTTTGAGTCGACTCAAAATACAACGGGTGTTGAGGGGGCATGCGTTGAGTGCGAGTGACATGGTTCAAAGGCCATGGGTTGGGTCGCCATGTGTCACTAGTCCGTCGCCGGATTCCACCCCACCACACCACGCCCACTCTGTTGGTCACTCTTCCATGGCACGATGGGTGTTGAGAGGGGTTAGGCAGCATGGAAATGGGGGGATAAGGTGGCGAGCCCCACATCTGCGCCGTTGGTAACTCTTGCATTGGTGTGGGAAGTGGTGGTGGTGTAATAAAAGGGGGTGGCAGTGCTCTTGCTCTTACCAGACAGTCATGCCAGACCAGACCAGACCAGACCAGACCAGACCAGACCAGACCAGGCCAGGCCAGGCCAGGCCAGGCCGACCAGACCAGACGAGATCAGATGCATAGGCAGCTTCCTACCGTTAAGCAGGAAGCTTCGCCCCCTGAGCAGCCCATCCAGCCCCCATCCGCCCTCCACAGTTGTGATCTCCCAGGCATAGCCCTGCCAAGACAGGGGCGGGCAGCGGGGGTGACGGGGGGGGACGGGGGGGGTGCGGCGGGGGGGGGAAGGGGGGAATGGCGAATGAGGGAGACGATTGTGGAAAGGCAGCCCATCCAGTCCCCATCCGCCCCCCACTGTTGTGATCTCCCAGGCATAGCCCTGCCGAGGAAGTTGGAGGAAGGGAAAACGATGGGGCAGGGAGGTGTGTGTGTGTGTGTGTGTGCTGCATGTACTTACTGTTCTGCTTCAATCCGACCGACTCGTGCTTGCACTCATGTGCAAAGTCACAGAGTCACAGGCTCAGCAGCACAGCAGTGAAAGCACTCACCGGGCTGACGGTGACGATCCTGTCAGCGGTCACGGTGGCCCCCTTGAGAATGTTGACCGCCTCACCCGTGACCACCTCGTGCTTGCACTCAGGTGGTCACAAAGTCACAACCACAGCAGCACGGCACGCCGCCCCACTCACCGGGCTGACGGTGACGATCCTATCAGCTGTGACGATGGCCCCCTTGAGGATGTTCACCGCCTCTCCCTTGTCCAGCTCGTGCTTGCGCGCCCACTCCGGGAACACCCACTCCAGCGACCCGTACCAGTCGCCGGGGACGCCAAGGCTGCCAAACGTGTATCCGGGCTCCACGCCCTAGACGTGTGGCGGGAAGGGGGGGAAGGAGAGGGAGGGGAGAGGGGGGGGGGGGGGGGGGAGGGGGAGAGGGGAGGAGAAGGGCGAGAGATTGGATTACTACCTTCTCGGGAACACTCACGCCAAGGCGCTGTACGAATCATCTGGCATGCCAAGGCGCCGTACGAATCATCTGACATGATGACATGCCAAGGCTGCCAACAGTGTAGCCGGACTGATCTGGGGGCGTGCTTGTCTTTATTGGTGCGGGAGGCTGTGGATGGCAAGGATTGTCCTCACCTGGTGCGAGAGGTTGTGGATGGCAAGGATTGTCCTCACCTGGTGCGAGAGGTTGTGGATGGCAAGGATTGTCCTCACCTGGTGCGAGAGGTTGTGGATGGCAAGGATAGTGCGAGCATCCTTGTAGACGCCATGGGGGCGGTAGTTGGACGCCACCAGGCTGAGAGCGGTGGAGGAGAGGAGGCGGGGCGTGGGGGGGGGGGGGGGGAGAATATGAGGTCAACAAGGATTTAACTGTACACACCGTGGCCTGTGGCCCGTGGGGGCGGTAGTTGGATGGCAACGGTTGGATGAATGGATGAATGGATGAATGGATGAATGGACGGATGGATGAATGAATGAATGGACGAATGGACGAATGGATGAATGGATGAATGGACGAATGGACGAATGGATGAATGGACGGATGGATGAATGGATGAATGGACGAATGGATGAATGGATAAATGGATGAATGGATGAATGGACGGATGGATGAATGGATGAATGGATGAATGGACGGATGGATGAATGGATGAATGGACGAATGGATGAATGGACGAATGGATGAATGGACGAATGGATGAATGGATGAATGGATGAATGGACGAATGGAGGAATGGATGAATGGACGGATGGATGAATGGATGAATGGACGGATGGATGAATGGATGAATGAATGAATGGATGAATGGATGAATGGACGAATGGATGAATGGACGAATGGATCTGAGAAACGACTGTAGTAGGCGTCGTGGGGAAGGCGGGGCGGTGGTTGGATGCCTTGTGAGTCAGTTGGCAAAAGCAGTCATTGGAAACTGCCCAAATGCCCCACGCCATGCCCCATGCCATGCCACATGCCATGCCACATGCCATGCCACATGCCATGCCACATGCCATGCCACATGCCATGCCACATGCCATGCCACATGCCATGCCACATGCCATGCCACATGCCATGCCACATGACATGCCCCATGCCATGCCACATGCCATGGCCCATGCCATGCCACATGCCATGCCATATGCCATGCCCCATGCCATGCCCCATGCCATGCCCCATGCCATGCCACATGCTAGTCCCTACGTCTCTCCACAATGGTAGCCCCTCTCCCTCCCCTTCTCACGCACACGGGCAACAGCCTCGCATGGTAGTCAATCGCCGCACGAGCAAAGGGTGGACAACAGCCTCGCATGGCAGTCGCTAGCAATGAAGAGCGCCTTCTTGCTGCAGGTGGACGTGGAACCACCCGATTCCACCTGCATTTTACGGCTTGCTGCTCCCTCTCCCTCTCACACATCACCAGGCGTGTTCTCCCCCTCTCTCCCTCCCACTCACGCAGGCAGCAGCCCCGAGTGCCAGTCGTTGGTGATGAAGAGCACCTTCTCCCCATAGGTGAACCCCTCCAGCTCCAGCTGTATTTAGCGGCATGACATGCCCCTCCCTCCCCATGGTGTGTGCCTTCTCTCCCAATCAGTCCCCCCCCACCCCCACCCTGCCGCCATCCCCCCCTCCCCACTCACACGGGCAGCAGCCCCGCGTGCCAGTCGTTGGCGATGAAGAGCACCTTCTCCCCGTACGTGAACCCGCCCAGCTCCAGCTGCAGAGGCGCCTCGCACGCCGCATGGCACAGCAGCGTGAAGCGGAACTGGTCGAGGGGGCATATAAGGGGAAGAAGGCCGAGCGGGGAAGAAGAGGAAAGGCGGGGGAGGAGCACTCTCTGTGAATGTGTCTGCCCAGCTACAGCTGTAGCGAGGCCTCGCACGCCGCACGGAACACAGAAAGAAACGGAACTGGTGGGTGGGTGGGTGGGTGGGTGGGGAGGAGGGGGGGGAGGAGGGAGAGAGGGAGAAGCGTAGGAGGCAAGCGGTGAAAGCAAAGTGGGCGACGACGAAAGGACATCGGAAGTAGAATGGAGAACGACGGGGCGAGGGTTGGAACCGCAAAAAGAGACATCTTGCATTCCAGGGACCCACACACAGGGCCACACAACCCTCGTGTGGTTACCAAACACGCCAATGCAGTAACCCAACATCCCACCCGGTTGTCTCCAAACGTGCCGTTCTGGAGACCCACACCAGTAGCCCTCACATGGTTACCAGCGTGCGACAGGAAGCAAGCAACCCACTGCCATCTCACCTGGTTGTCTCCAAACGTGCCGTTCTGGTCGCCATAGGGCGTGCCAGGGCGGTGGTATGATGGATGGTCCACGAACACCTGAGGGGGAGAGAGAGAAAGAGAAGGACCGACCGAGAGAGGGGCATGAGAAATAAGGCTAGATGAGTGAGGAGGAATGGGAGAGAGTGTTGGGGTATGGGATGACGGGAGGCTCTGGTCACAGCACAAATGGAGAGGGAGCGAGGGAGAACGTGGAGAGGGAGTGAGAGAGTGGGTTGACTTAACATAGTCAACGGCGGTAGGAGGGGCATTGGCCCACAGTTACCTGAGAGGCAATCAGGCACGGCAGGCAAGGTACAGGAGGGGGAGATAGAGAGGGAGGGGTGGGAGGGGGGAGGAAGAAAGGTGGAAGGAGAAGGGAGAAGGGAGAGAGGGAGTGGGGAGAGAGGGGGTCTGGGAGGACTCTGCAACTTGCAAGAAGGGGAATCATGAGTCGACTTGAAGCTTGCACAGTGAGCGAAGAGCCCATGAGAGGAGAGACGGGCCGTGTGAGAGACGGGCCGTGTGAGAGACAGGCCGTGTGAGAGAAGCGAAAAGTAGGTTCGACTCGGCCGCGTGTGCCACACCACGAGTGACGTGAGAGAACGGAACGTCTCACAGGTTCGACAACGGCGCCTCTGCAATCCTGATGCCTGATCATGATGCGTGATCATGATGTGTGATCATGATGTGTGATCATGATGTGTGATCATGATGCGTGATCATGCGGGAAAGGTACCTGACACAAACTACTGACTCGTCGCTCACGAGGTCAACGCAGGTCTTACAAAGTCAACGCCGTCTCTGAACTCGTGGAAGAAAGCCACCTCGTGAGCCCCCTCGAAGCAGAAGCACTTGATGCGGCACTGGAGCGCAGGGACAGGAATGAAGTAATGGGGAGGATGGGACAGGAATTTGGAGGCAGGTAGGTAGGAGACTTTGCGAAGCAATGAGGGCGGGATAGGAACGAAGGATGGTGATGGCAGGATAGGAACGAAGGCATGCAATGCATGCAATGATGGGGTGATGGGGACGACAGACAGATGAGAGGTCCTTTTGAGTCGACCCAGAGGACCGAGGTCCTCACCTCACCTGCATGCCCAAGGGCTCCGCGCAGAGCTCGCCAGTCACTCCGTTCAACGGAGTACCGTGTTTTTTATAATTCTCAAAAAACACCTCTCCAGTCACTCGCCGTTCAACGGAGTACCCTGGAGTGGAGCCACCACCACCATCACCCGATGCGGCTGGTGCTAGCGCGGCTTACCCGTGACCATGTGTTACTTGTGTGTTACCAGATCGTAAGTCTATATACCTGCATGTCGAAGGCCCCTGCATACAGCTTGTCTGTGACGCCATTCATGTACCGCGGAGCCACCACCATCACGCGGTGGCCCCTCGCCGCCAGCGCCACAGGCAGCGACCCCACCACGTCCGCCAGCCCGCCGGTCTTGGAGTAGGGCGCCACCTCCGACGCCACGAACACAATGCTGCGAGGAGAGGGGAAGAGGGGAGGGGGGGGGGGGGGGGGGGGGGGGGGAGGAGGGAGGGAGGGGAAGAGGGGGAGTTTATAAGGAAGGTCATACGAGGGGGAGAGGATGAGGCAGCGACCTCACCACCTCCGCCAGCCCGCCCGTCTTGGAATAGGGCGCCACCTCCGACGCCACGAAGACAATGCTGCGAGCACTGAAAGGGGGGAGGACGGGAAGGTAGCATTGGAGGAGGGATGGCGTACGCAGGAGAGATGAGGAGCAGTGGAGGAAAATAGGGGAGTCAAACCGCCTTATAGGATTATCACGTCATAGGGGTACCACGTCATAGGGTTACCACTTCAAGGAACTCACACCTAGGGTTCTCACCTCATGGGGTTCCGAACTCCTAGTCTTATAGCCTTCTGCGGTTTTCCCGTAACGGGGTTTCCATCGCTCAGGAGCATTACTCTATGCGGGCCTCACGTCATCATAGGGTTACTACCTCGTGAGGTTATGGCCCCCATATGGTTATCTCGTCGTATAGTTCTCACCTCATGGCGTCTCACCTCATGGCGTCTCACCTCATGGCGTCTCACCTCATGGCGTCTCACCTCACGGAGTCTCACCTAATGGCGTCTCACCTCACGGAGTCTCTTCTCACCTCATGGGGTTTTCTGTCTTATGGACAACCTCAATCCCCCCTGCCGCGGAAATCTCGATACTGCCATCCGCTGCTGCTGACGTGGCAGCCTCCTCCACCTCCACCGCCTCCTGCCAGCTCCTCGCACCCATCGCCTCTACAGTCACAACAAGGAAGGGTATAGAGTCGCACGGGGGATAGAGTCGCACGGGGGGTAGAGTCGCACGGGGCATAGAGTCGCACGGGGCATAGAGTCGCACGGGGGATAGAGCCACACGGGGGATAGAGCCACACGGGGGATAGAGCCACACGGGGGATAGAGCACGGTCACGTCACACGGGGGAATGCGGACGCACGGCAGGCACGCCACGGACAGGAGTCACGCCCAGAAAGAGCGGCACGGAGAAAGGGGGCAATGAGGGATGACGTTAGTAACGTAACTGTATAGTCACCAGGAGCAAATGCACACTCAATGAAGCGCGAACGCAGCATACAAGCACGCATGCACACATGCCCACAAACCCTCCCCCAGCTCCCCCCAAACCCCCCCCTCCTCCTCCTCTTCTCCCCCCCCCCCTCCCCCCCCCCCAGCCCCCGTAAGTCCTGGACTTAAAATAACAAACCTTCAGCAAAGCTTTCCGTGGCGACTGGAGCCGCCTCCTCTACAGCCACCTCCACTCTAGTCACAGTCGAATATCCCCCGCCAACAGCCGGCACGAAATCCGGTGGCGGAGGCGGCGGGACAGCCCCCCGGCGCGGCCTTGTCACGTCAGCATCCCCTTTATAAGCGGCCTCGGTAGCGCGTGCGTTGGCTGCTGCGGCCGCGGCTCGAGCCCTGAGCTGCTCGTTCTCCTCCGCGATTCGGCGAATAGTCTCTTCGAGCTCCTCCAGACTCTTTCCGGAAGTTACGGAGATGACGTCATCATCGTTCGGCAGCGCGTAAATCCTGGACGCGCGGCTCGACGAGGAACGGTTTGAGTTCGACGGAGCAGCCTTAGAAACTGACGGTAACGACGACGCTGGTCCGCTGCGAGAAGACGCTTTGACGGCGACTGACGGCTGGCCGGTAAGCGCCGAGGCGCACAGCGGCGGACGGATGAGAGACTTCGTAAGAGCCTCCATTGTCGCTTGATTAGGCGACGTGAGTTAGTGGTAGCGAACAACCAACCCAGGAAGTCTAAGGCGTAATGAGAAGAGGCGGGCAGGCCAGGCCCAGAAACAATGAATGCTCCGCAATGGGAGGAAAGAAAATGAAGACGGGGGAAGTGGAGTAAAGATGGTTGACGATGTTTTAAGATGGGTGTGCAGTGGTGTGCGCAGCTTTGAGCAAGTAGGTGGGTGTGGGAGGTAGGGGGACAGCTTCGGCTTGGCAGGGTAATTTTTGTTCGGTTGCGCGGGCTGCTTTTGGGGAAACGGGCACCGAAACGCCCGAAATGGCAGCACACTTGGCTGCGGAGACTCGGTCATGCTCCTGCTGACAGGAGCAAGCGGGTCATTGTAAGGGCAGAATTTGGCCAGTTCAGTGGCGGGAGAAATTCTCGGTCACTGCTGTAATCGTGTGTTCCACAAGGCCAAGCGCCGCCGAGCCATGCTGGCGGGGTAACCCCAGATTCCAGCCACATGCTGTGGATCAGAAAGCGCGTGCTCACGTGGCAGTAACCCTGACCAAGGTGGCACCAGCACAAACGAAACAGATGTCAATAAAAGTGATGAAGTGTAACTAACTATAGCCACTATCTTTGGACTTATGGCCATCGTCCTTTGCTTGGCCGGGAAAACCTATCATGCACACATTCGTATAAACATAGCTCACATTGTGCATATTCATGCTATTAAGATATTTATGAAGGCTTTTTCAGTGATTTAACCTAATAAGGATGCTTACCTTGTTATTTGCTCCACCAGTACCGTTTACTCTTTGGGAGGTACATTCCACTTGCACTTGTAGTCATTCTACTGGCACTTGTAGTCATGGAATCTTCTAAGTGTGTACCGCATCACTTTCCCAGGCGAATCGCGCGCCGCTGCCGCCAAGCCATCAGAGATTCAAATTTCTGCTCAAACGGCTTGGCGGCAATACCTGACACAGACTTTCACAACTATCATCGTGGCCGTCGAATCCCATTGATTTGTCAATCGTACGGCTAGCGAATCACGACCAGCCATTTCTCTTCCACCCTCATCTGCAAAACTCATCCCCTCTGGCTTGCTGTCTGCTTTGTGCGGCTTTCCTGCTTTGCTGCCTGTGAAATGGTCGTTGAATACCGTCGCTCAAATTTCGCAGCTTGATTCCCTGAGGCGCAAAACGTCTAAGTCCTCAACCTTCTTAGCTTCTTCTAGTTTGCGCTCTCTCGGATTTCCGTCCTTACCTCCTGATTCCTCACACCTCCGGTATTTCTTAGCCGAACAGCAGCCAACCCCGCATCATCATCCTCGAGCTGTCTGTCAGCTGCTCGTTCCAGTGCCATCCATGATACGATCGCAGTTAACGCTCGTCGTCAGCTCCTGCCCCAAGCTTAGACTCAGTAGCGAGCCGGTCATTTGGCACACGCTTATTCGTCGCTTAGGACGATCGTTTTGGCTCGCTTTATTCACCGTGGCCTTTCTGCCGATAACGAGCCACTGAATCCATCAGTCGTGTGTCCGCACTCGTAGCAGGAGTGGTCAGTTAGTCGGTGTCAGTGATTAACGCGGATAGCTTTATCTACAGAGGTCTTTAGGGAGCTATATACGTCAGTCGTAGTGTACCCACTCGTAGCAGGAGCCGTACCTGCAAGCAACGCCATAACGCGGTCAGTTAGGTCATTCTCTCTCAACGGCATGGCTGCGTCCAGCAGTACTCGAAAGCGGCAGGCTGCTGGAATCTCGCGATCGGCTCTGTCTGATGTCACCAACGACCCATCCAAGAAGCTTCGCACTCCGTCGCCTACCAGTACCAAACCCACTACTGCGAGGAGCAATCCCGCGACACCTGCGACGCCTGCGACGCCTCCAACGGACTCTCAGAGCTCGAAACGCGTAGAATCGGGCGTCACACTCGCCCCGTCTTTGCCGCCGATTCCGCGCTCCGCATCATCACTCGACGTCGACGGCGCGGCAGTCGCTGCAGGGGGACGAAGCGGCGGAGGAGGCGGCGAAGGCGTTGGAAAGCGGACGCGTGCCACGTGGCAGATTAGCAGCGAGATCGGCGCTGCGCTGGAGCGGCAGCAGTCGTTGCCTGCGCGCTACTGGAGGTTCCATACCAGGGCAGCTCTGCCCGCTACGCCACCAGCAGCAGCAACGCCATCATGCCTCCTGTCCCGGCCGCTCTCCTCCTCCTCGTCGCTTCCCCTCCCTCGCTCCTCCTCCTCCTCCTCTGCGCCTCCGAGGCGTTCTCCCTCATCATACGCCTCAGCTCGAGTAGGGGGGTATCCCATCCCCTCTTCCCGCTCTACCCGCTCCTCCCGTTCCCCGCCTTCCGCCAGCGCAAGAAGGGCGTGCGCCCACCGCCCTCCGCGTGCCCCCTTCCCCTTTCAAGGGCGGGGCTCTCCCCCTCCCCCCGCTTCCCCGCTTTCCCCGTTCCCCTTCTCCCCATGCACACGGGACGCAACCCCACTAGACTGCGACTCTCTTCCCCCGTTCTCGTGGCCCCTGATCACCGTTCGGCAGTGTCTTGCTGCCAGGATGAGATCCCAGCCGTTGATCTTGCTGCGGCCTCTTGTCCTGCTGGCAGTGGGGGCAGGCGCAGGGGCACGTGGGCGGACAGGATGGGGAGCAGGGGGGCGGAGGGGGTAGTGCGGAGGGCAATGGGGGGAAGGATGGGGAAAGGCAGGAGGACTTTGAGTGCAGGGCTTTTGAAGTGCCTTGAGGAGATGGCAAGAGGGGGAGGGGGGGAAGGGGGGGGGAGAGGAAGGGGAGAGGAGCAGGCAGAGGTGTAGGGGTAACAAGGGGAACTGTCTGGAGGCGGGGTACTGCAGATGACGGCAGGGGGAATAGTTGGGAAAGGTAGGGGGACTTCGAGTTCTGGGCTTTTGAAGTGCCTAGAGGAGATGACAGGGGGGGGAGTGGGGGAGGAAAGGGGGGAGGGGAGCAGGTAGGGGGGGAGCAGGACGCGGTAGAGGAGCAGGTAGCAAGGGGAACTGTCCAGGGGTGGGGTACTGGGGAGGGCAATGAGGGGAAGAGCCAAGAAAGGCAGGCGGGGGGTTGAAAGCAAGCAGAGGGGTCAGATGGGTAGAGCGAGGTGGCAAATGGCGTCGGGAGGATTAGTGGGGACTGGTAGGGGGGTGTAACACCTGAACGGACCGGTAGGAGAGTTTAGGGAGGGGAAGGGGAAGCAGAGGTTAGGAAAGGCAAGGAGAGGAGAGGAGGGGGGATTAGGGGAGGGGGGATGATGAAGGGGGAAGTTGGAGAGGTGGTGAGAGATGGTAACTGGACGCAGAGCAGAGAGTGGTTAGAGGGGGGTGAGGAGTGGCGGGCCAGGAGATGTGAAGGGGCAAGGCTCGACAGCGGGGCAAGACTTGGGATTGGGAACAAGGGCGAAGAGATGGAAGGTTTGCATGAGGGGGGGGTGAAATAAGGCATCCAGGCGAATGTACAGGAAGACCTGGGTAGTGAGCCAACATGGGGTGCAGTACGGAAGAGTAGGGTTGGCACCAAGAGTAGAGTGCAGTACACCTGAGTTTCCTTTTTGGGAACTGTGTGGCGGGTGGTGATGGTGATTTGATTTCTAAGGGTGGGTTGGGAATCCAGGCTGTCAATCACAAGCCAGTGTACAGTTCCTACTAGTTCTGATCTCTGTTCTGCTCCATTTTTGTCTGATTTATCGAGACAAGCACTACAATGTACGGTACCTTTTGTACACACAAAGATGACCAGCCATCTTTATTGCTCCACAAATACCTGAAACTTACACCTTTTAAAGATTAGTATGCCTTCAGTAACACATCTGTTGTCGTGTAATCCATATCTAGTCGACACATTTATCTGTTGTCGTGTCTTTTGGCATATGCGGAGTGTCAGAAACCCAGTCACTAACCACTGGGTTAAAAGGGCTTGTTGAATAGCGGGTAAGTGCGCCCATAGCCCCCCAGGCTCTGCACCTGTGGCCCTTCCCCGAGGATCTCAAGGGCAACCCCAGCGGGTCACTCAACAACCCCCCCCCCGCTGGGATAGGTGGAAGACACAAGCGCCTCTGCAGCGCTGGCACTGGGAGTTGAACCCAAGACCTTTGGCTCTGATACCATGTCAGAAACCCAGTCACTAACCACTGGGTTAAAAGGGCTTGTTGAATAGCGGGTAAGTGCGCCCATAGCCCCCCAGGCTCTGCACCTGTGGCCCTTCCCCGAGGATCTCAAGGGCAACCCCAGCGGGTCACTCAACACGGAGGACCACAATGCACCCTTGATTCCGTGGATACAGCAACCTCCCATTTCCAAAGACCAGCCCTCGACTGCCACCAGCATACAGGTGAACGATTCTAGTCTACACATCCCTAACCTAGGGCGGATTATTATGCCCTGCGGAGGACCACAACAGTCACAACTCAGCCACTAACCACTGAGTTAAAAGGGCTTGTTAATAGCGGGTCAGTGCGCCCATAACCCCCCAGGCTCTGCACCTGCGTGTTAAAGTAGCACTAGGCTAGGAGGAAGTGAAAGAAGGCAGCCATGGTTGTGGCGGTGGGGTTTAGCTAGGAGAGTAGGAAAATGTCGAGAGGAAAGAGAGTTGGATTAGGAAGAGAGAGGAGTACAAGGAGGGGTTTGTACCCTCTACAGAAAAGGTTCAGTAACAACCTACCAAGCCTATATAAATTATAACTTATATAATTTTAACACACCCCCTAGGCTTGGTAGTTACACACCCACCCAACACACCACACACCCCCTAACCTAGCACCCCCATTCCAGCCACAGGGACAGCGACACTAGGTCGGTTGACCCCACGGTGCGTGAGGCGGCGACGTCGACCGCAGGGGCTGCGGCGGCGACGGCGGCGTGCGGCTGCGTGGCCCCGACGCAAGTGGCGACAGCGGCGGCGGCGGCGGCTTCGACAACAGCGGCGGTGGCGGCGGCACCCGCACCTCTCGGTGACGTGGCCAGGCCCCGCGACGGTGGGACGGCCGGCGGGAGTCAGCCGTCGGCTGCGGCAAGATACAGGACACAGGGGAAGGGGGGTGGGGCGTGGTCCAGCCTCACGCTTGAGGCTGGCGTGCGGGCAGCAGGTGTGGCGGCGCAATGAACGTCGCGCGGCAAGCTGCCGTCCGACGACGCTGCCACGGCACCGTTACGACGCCGACACATCGCGGCGTCGATGCAGCGGTGGGACGTCGCCGCTGCGACGGTAAGCACGGCGCCGTCACAGCAGTGTGGCGTCGACGCCACGCGTCACGACGCGACGGCACGGCAGGAACGGGCATGGCCGCCACGGCGGCACGGCAGGAAGGCAGTGAACGAGAACGCAGCGGAAGCACGGAGGGGAGCAGGCCCAGGCAGGACGTCCTGCTCTGATACCATGTTAAAGTAGCACTAGGCTAGGAGGAAGTGAAAGAAGGCAGCCATGGTTGTGGCGGTGGGGTTTAGCTAGGAGAGTAGGAAAATGTCGAGAGGAAAGAGAGTTGGATTAGGAAGAGAGAGGAGTACAAGGAGGGGTTTGTACCCTCTACAGAAAAGGTTCAGTAACAACCTACCAAGCCTATATAAATTATAACTTATATAATTTTAACACTGTGGCCCTTCCCCGGGGACCTTCTCAAGGGTAACTTTAGCGGGTCTCTCGACAACAACAACCACAATCCATGCATCTTCGTAGCAATCTTCCATCTGACTTTATGACATGGTATCAGATGGTTCCAGGGTTCAAATCCTGGTGTACATGCTATCCCAGCGGGGGGGGGTGTCGTGGCACTTGGATATGTTCAGATAGGGCTAGAGCATAGTAGAAACCAGGCATAGAATGTCGAAAGGTTTAGCTAGGAGAAATATCGAGAGAGAAGAGGCTTGGACTAGAAGAGAGAGGGATACAAGAAGGGGGATTGTGGCCTCTACAGTAGGATCCAGGATATGCAGTACACCTATCTAGCCTATACACATATATATGCAGTATATATAATATATATGTTGACACTGTCAACTTATACATATGGTTATACCATATTTGCCCGGATTTTAGACCCTGCGTAATTGAAGCCCCAGTGGGGCTTACTTCCGGCAGTTCTTTTATTTGGGTACGCCACTGAATGGACCCCTCCAAATCGTTGTAGACGGGATAAGACCCCCCTTCTTATTTTTGCAGGGGTTTTAGACTACTAATTCAGCCCAATTAGAAATAACAGGTTACATGATCTAGCTGCCTCTAGCAGCACAAAGTCGAGCCACAACTTTAACAATTATCCAACCTAACATCTGTACCATCCTAGAGGTCCTAGCCTAGGCAAACACCGACCTAACCACTGCCGTCAATGCCATTGTCAGTCTGCCTCATCATCAGAGTCTCCATAGTCTTCAATTGTGGCAGAAACACGTTGTGCATGGGTGAGGCGTGGGAGGGGCTCCCACTCATCTGGGACTTGCTCCCACTCTTCCTCCCAATCTTCAGTGGCTACAGCTTCTGGCTCCGCCTCCGCTGCAGACTCTGGATCGGCGGCATCCTCGCCTTTTTCGTCGTCTGCCGAGATTTCCTCCACATCTGCCTTGTCCTCACCATCCTCACCATCCCGCCCATGGGCATCGATGTCATCCGTCATGTCGACCTCACTTGCCTCCTCCTTCAGATGGCGCAGGATGAGGTTGTCCCGGCTCTCGTCCACGGCGTTTGAAATCCCGCACGTCAGGAATGCCTTGATGATGAGCTCCGTCAGCACTGCTGCGCATGAACGGCTGATCCACCGAATGACCTCCTCTGGAGGAGGTTTCTTGAGGTTACCTGCACACATGCAAGGGATGGGCAGATGAGGGGAGTGTGTTAAACCGCTTGTCATTCAAAGGAACACAACGGGTTGAGGTAGGATTCACAGAACTCTGTGCATAAACTCACCCGCCCGCATGAAGGTGTTGATCCCGACAGTGCCGAACCACTCCTGGTACTCGTCTCGAACGTTGGCTTTGAACGATTTGTTGATGGCGACGTCGAGCGGTTGGAGAATGGATGTGCAACCGCCTGGGATCACGGCAAGAGTGATCTTGAAGAGCTTGAACGTCTCGCGCACGGCCGATGTCAAGTGTCCTCGATACGAATCCACCACCAGCATGCTCGTTGGACGAGGCTTCCCTGGAGCTGGCATGACTCGTTGTGCGAGAATCTTCACCGTCCAATCGCGCACCAAGGTGTCGTCCATCCAGCCATTGGGATGCGCTCGGATGACGACATCTGAAGACGCAGAGGATTGGGCAGAGACAGAAGAGAAGTGCAAGTTTAGGATCAAGATTGTGAGTAGAATGTGGTTAGAAAAACAAGTGTGGCCATAGTGTGAGAGCAAGGCTACACTTCCATGCATTCATATTCCAGCGTACTCACTGTGTGGAAATTGGATCTTGGGTGGGTGCTTCCACTTGAAAATCACGTAGGCCGGAAGCTTCTCGCCCGAGGCTGAGCACGCCAGCATGACAGTTAGCCTTTCTTTTTCGTAGCCGGCCGAGCGGACGTGAACAGTGTGGATGCCCTTGTGATCCACAATTCGCTCGGACGGCATCTCCAGGAATAGCGGTGTCTGATCCGCATTGAAGATGAGTTGCGGGGATGCCCTTCTGGAAACGGTGCTTGCGGACGAAGCGCCAGAACAGCTCAACCTTCGGCTTCAAATCTGTGGGATAGAGGTGGAGGGGAAGGAGGGCAAGAGACAAAGGATTGAGTAGTGTATGAAACCATAATGCACAATGTATACACCAAACTCTCTGGAGCAAAGGGTGAGGTGTGAAACTTACCGTCGGCGAGTTTCTGCCCGATCTTCGTCCTCACCCGAACTGACAAGCCCCATCGCTTACGGAAGCGCTGGCTCCAATGGGCAGACGCCTTCCAATCCACGCCCGGATGGTTCCTCTTCATGTAGTACAATGACCACTTACGGATCAGTGTCACCGATACCCCAAGACCCTGCCTACAGTTGTTTAGAAACTTGCGGTAGACCCACAGCTCCATCTCGGGGTAGAGGGATCGGCGTCCAGCACCATGGAGCCTCTTGCAGCACCCAGCGGCTTTCTCGAACTTCTCCTTGTCGTTCATCCAACGGCGGATGCAGCTGGGCTGAACTGCAGCTTCCTTAGCAGTGGCGCGAATACTCAGCTCCTTCGCTTCCATGTACGCCAACCACTGCGGCGACTATCAACCAGTGGGGAAAACAGAGACGTTGACATTCGGGCATTCCTCAAAATCTGCTTCGCCATCGCTGTCAGCCTCCAAGTCGCCGTCGTACAGTCCGTCGGCGCCGGGTCCTCCAAAGCCGCAAGTCGCCGCCGCGCTGTTTGCCGCTGCGCCATCTGACTACGCCACATCCGCTCTGGCAGTGTGGGAAGACTCCCCCACCTCGGCAGCGTTGAAGATCCCTTCAGCGTTGACGTCGGGAATGAGATGACGGGAGGGGTGACTCGGACCGGCGTGGGCGAAAATCAGGTAGTTCTTCACCTCGCCATGATGAAGAACAATGGTTTGACACATCGCGGAAGGAGCAGGTGGCGCAGGCGGCGCGGGTGGTGCTGGCGGTGCAGGGGGCACAGGTGGGGCTGGAGGTGCAGGCACGGCAGAAACGAAGGGTATTCCATGCTGGCGACGGGCCCTAACTCTAGAATCTGGCTTAGACTTCATAATAACGGCAAGGCCGCTCCTAGTTACGGTAGGCATGGTAGTGGCAGAGCCCGATGGACGCTCAAGTGTGGTGGGATGGCGGCATCAGCCATGGCCTTTCAAGGTGAGAGGCGAAAGAGCTAAATATGTGAGGGACTAGCCTGGTCGACTCGACACAACCACATCTAAAGCACGACGAGGAGCTGAGCGTAGGAGGTGGAGGACGTGCGATACAGAAAGAAGCGGCAGGGAGGGGGATGTGATGTGATGTCCTTACAGCAGTTGACGATGCAGTGGGATGGGACGGTGCATGGCAGCGCTCTGGTCAGTCAAGATGCTTCCAACGCACCTAGACAACCGAATATGCTTCCAAAGCAGCCCCCCCTCCCCCCCCCCCCCGAGGCATGAAAGCTGCCATCCAAGTGATGTTGGAAGGTAGCTGTCCTAGGAAAGAAACAGGATTGGCCAAAAACAGGCCGCACATTTGCCAGATGGCTGGGTATGGGCCCACCTGTGCAAATCTCGGCATATCAACCGAGGATGAACGTTTCCAGTTCGGCAACCTTGATGATAAGGCTGGAAACAGAATGTGTAACAGAAAAACACCTTTTTCTTACAATTTGGCCTTATTCATTTCAAAAGCCCCGTATCTTTTATTTATTCACTCAGTTAAAAGCAACACCCCAAAATTCTTCCTAAAACGATATAAGACCATGTAGTGCTATATTCGGGCAAATACGGTATGTCGAAGTTATAGGCTAGATAGACTTGTGTTCTTAGAGAGTACAACTCCAACCCTATATCTCTCTGTACTCTCTTGCTCTAGTTCATTCATGTATTCTAACATAGTATCATGAGTAGGTTAGGTCCGCCCACCCCCTTCCGCCCCTAGCCCTAGCCTACCGCCCCACTGGCCCCTAGCACGCCCGCCGGCCCCTAGCGTACCGCCGGCCCCTAGTGCACCTCGCCGGCCCCTAGCGCGCCGTCTCGGCCCCTTAGCGCCCCGTCGACCCCTCGCGTCTAGCCGGCCACTACCGCGCCATCCCTAGCGCGCCGTCCCTAGTGCGCTGTAACGGTCCCTCGCTCCGGGATGGCCTCACGCGCCTAGCTGGCCCCTCGCGCCTAGCCGGCCCCTCGCGCCTAGCCGGCCCCTTCTGCCTAGCCGGCCCCTCGCGCCTAGCCGGCCCCCCTTGCACCTAGCCGGCCCCTCGCACCTAGCCGGCCCCTCTCGCCTAGCCAGCCCCTCGCGCCTAGCCGGCCCCCCTTGCACCTAGCCGGCCCCTCGCACCTAGCCGGCCCCTCTCGTCTAGCCGGCCCCTCGCGCCGAGTCGTCCCCGCGCGTCTTGCCCGGCCCCTCACATACCCGCCCGGCCCACTCCGCGCCTCGCCGGCCCTTCGCGCTCGCCGGCCCCTCACGCGCCCGCCGGTCCTTCACGTGCTCGCTGGCCCCTCATACACTTGCCAGCCCCTTCGCGCGCGCCGGTCCCTTACGCGCCCGCCGGCCCCTCCCGTGCTCTCCGACCCCTCACTTACTCGCCGGCCCTTCGTGCGCGCCAGTCCCTACCACGCCCGCTTCCCCCTCACGTGCCTCGGCCCCTCCCTCGGCCTTCCTCCCGGTCTTCTTGCCAGGGAGTCCTGCCGCTGTGTCGCCGTGACGCTGTGCCGCCGTGACGCTGTGCTGCGGAGGTGGTACGATGGCGGACGCTATGCTTCGCCTGGACGCGGAAGGGCACGCGATCGACTTCGCCGCCTGGCTTGTCAATCTCTGCCGTCACCTGACAAGTCAGCGCCAGGATGGGCACTCCCTGGCTATGCATGTTGATGGCTTGCTTCTCCGCCCCTCCGTGCCTGATCCCCTCCCTGCTGACCCCACCACTGCTGAGAGTGAGGACTTTGCTGCTGCTGCGCTCACTTGCGCTGTTTGGGACTCTCGCGATGCTGTAGCGCAATTTGCCTACAGTTATGCACTTCCTCTATACTCTCTTGCTCCAGTTCATTCCTGTATTCTAACAGACACACCCCCTAGGCTTGGTAGGCGATACGCAGAGAATATACTAGGGCAGTATTACTAGCGTGTCCACTGGTTTTAGTAGTAATGCATGTCAAAAGAAAACACACCACGCACACAGCACACTAAGCCATACACCCTCTACGCCTAGCACCCCCATACTCAGCAGCAGCGACGGCTTCTCCAGCATGGTCAACCCCTCGGCGTGCGAGGCGGCGACGTCGGGAGCGAGGGCAGCGGCTGCAACGGCGGCGACGGCGGCAGCGACGACAACGGTGGCGGCTGCGGCGTGCGGTGGCGAGGCCAGCGGCACCAGCTGCGGCGGCGGCGGCTTCGACGACAACGGCGGCGGCGGCGGAGCTCGCAGCACTCGGCGGCGTGGCCTGACTCCGCGACGGTGGGAAGGCCCGCGCGAGTCAGCCGTCAGCTACGGCTAGGAAGAGGGGACACAGAGGAAGGGGGCGAGGCTTCAGCAGCGGAGCCAGGGAGCGTGCCGCCCCGTGTGGCGCGCTGGCTGCCTGCGGGCGTGCTGGCCAGCGCTAAGACCGGGCGCTGGCCGCTGCCGTCCGCGCGCTGGCGCGTCGAGGCCGCCACGGCAGCACGATGGCGCCGTCACGGCAGCACGACATGGCCGTGGCGGCGGCGCAGTAAGGACAGGAGGGAGGAGCGAACGTTGCAGAAGCGTGATGAGCAGGCCCGAGCTGAAGGACCTGATCTGATACCATGTTAAGATAGGGCTAGAGCCTAGTAGAAACTAGGCATAGAATGTCGATAGGTTTAGCTAGGAGAAATGTCGAGAGAGAAGAGGCTTGGACTAGAAGAGAAAGGGATACAAGAAGGGGATTGTACCCTCTACAGTAGGATCCAGGATATGCAGTAAACCTACCTAACCTATACATATATATATATATATATATATATATATTTTGATAGGATAGCCCTCTCAGGCCTCTTCTCTCTCTAGGGAGGGTACTAGGGAGGCTTTCCCTGGGGAAAGTGGATATGTGAAGCCTAACTCTAGAGAGGGAAGAGGTTCGACAGGGCTATCCCAGTGCCACAACACCATTCTCACCTCCCAACTGTCCCCGCATATACAGATAAACATGGTCTACAGATCTCTACACCTAGGGCAAATTATTCTGCCCTGCGGAGGACTACAATCCAAGCATCGTCGCCGCGACCTTCCATCCCCAGATAACACCTCCCAACTGCCCCCACATGTACATAAGTCTACAGATCTCTACACCTAGGGCAGGTTATTCTGCCCTGGGGATCACAATGCATGCATTTCCTGAAGCTCCACCCGTCCCCAGATAGCACCTCCCGACTGCCCCCACACAGTGTACAAATCAACGACTGCAGCCCATCGCAAGTCAAGCACGCTCGGCGCTTCTGCCTCGCATGTATTTTGGTAGCAACACGACAGGCGGTGACATTGAGCACACGTGCTGACATGGCACGGCTCATCCCACCGCCACTGCCACCTGGACCGACAGCAGCACAGCTGGCGGCTGCAGCATTCGCCAGGTCACCGACAGCAGCTGAATTGCAGGAGAGGGAGCGGGGTGGAAAGAGTGCAGCAGATCCCATGCTGCTGCTGCCGTCCCCAGATGTACCCCCATAGCCGTCCCCAGATGTACCCCCATAGCCGTCCCCAGATGTACCCCCATAGCCGTCCCCAGATGTACCCCCATAGCCGTCCCCAGATGTACCTTCCCCGAATGTACTTTTATAGACTCCTGCACAAGTACCTTCCCCCGACGGACCTCCATAGGCTTCCCCAGATGTACCTTCCCCGGAAACGCCTCTACAACCTTCCCCAGATGCACCTCCGCTGAGCACACTGTTGCTGCCACAGCTGCTGCCGTAGCAGCCAGAGTACACTGCCGTACCAGCAGCATCTGCAGCCACGGCAAAAGAGCCTGCAGCCGTGAGATTGCCATAAGCACCCCGAGCAGCAGCGTTGTTGCTGGCACTACTGTTATTAGCAGGCGCACCCCCTGTGCTGCTGTGAAACAGTGCCCTTCTTACCCTCGAGCTGCCAGCCACACCAGACGCAGCCACAGCAGAGGCAGCCACAGCAGATGCAGTCACAGCAGGACGAGTCACAGCAGGACCAGTCACAGCAGGGCCAGTCATGCCACGGGAATTCTCATCCCCTGCCAGTCTTGCGTCCCTGTGGTTGAGAGTGCCAATAGTTTGATCAGCGACTTCTGAGTTGCCTCTTGGCTGTTGGGGCGGTTGTTGCGGCACCTCAGGACCACTCCCCGCCAATCCGGTGTTGCTCTGACTGATGCCACTTACAGTGACTTGCGTTATACTGCTAAGAGTGGCACAGCAAGCGGTGTCTGCTGCATCTCCAGGGGCTTTAGTCGTCAATGCACAGGCAGCATTAGGTGCTGTTTCTGAGGCCACCGCTGCTGCAGCAGCAGTATCAACAGACGCAAAATCAGCAGCAGCTGCTGCTGCTGCTTCCGGAAATACTCCTCCTGCCTGTGCTGCTGCCCCTGAACAATCGGATGTTGAGGCCACTGCTGCTCCCTCAATGGCTCTGTGCGTTGCAGATTCTCCTCCTCTTGCCACAACTGCTGTTGCTTCTCCTGCCGCTGCTCCTGTTGCTGTTGCCACTGCTGCTGCTGCGCATGCTGCCATTGCTCCTGCTGCTGTTTCTCCTCCTTCGCTTGCCCCCCCTGCCACAGCAGCAGCAGCAGCATCCAGAGCAGCAGCGAGCAGCGGGAGCAGGAGCCCCTCATCCCTCAGCCGCAGCACAGCAGCATTGCCGCCGAGGTAGCGCCCGGCGGCAAAGAGGTGCGGCACTGACAGGGACGAGCGCCCCAGCAGGGCCCTCAGCTGGTGGCGGTAGGGCAGATGCAGAGACACGTCCCTCTCGTGAAAGGGTACTCCGTATGCCTGGGGAAAAGGAGAAAGGGAGTGAGCATAGGCGAGAGGAGGAAAGGAAGGAGTTGGGGGGTTGGGCGTATTGGCTTTGAGACGATGTAACGGTCTCATCACCGCAGCACCGCCGCCAAGGCAAGGTACCACCCGGCGGCAAAGAGGTGCGGCACTGAGAGCGACGAGTGCCCCAGCAGCGCCCGCACCTGGTGGCGGTACGGCAGATGCAGAGAGACGTCCCTCTCGTGAAAGGGGACTCTGTATGCGTGAGGGGAGGGTAAGCACGTGGGAGAAGCAGTGATTGCATGTGGAAACAGGAGAACAAGTTTGCTGTTAAGACGCTCAGAGAGGTGCGCCCTCAGCTGGCGCAGGGAGACGTCCCTCTCGTGGAAGGGGATGCTGCATGCCCAATGAGAAAACACCTGGGTACACAAGAAATCAACGTTCACCTGGGGGTGAGGTGTCCCTCACCTGGGGGTGAGGTGTCCCTCACCTCACCTGGGTGCATAAGCCATGGTTTGAGCCGGTGGAAGAAGGGCAGCGATGGGGATATTCTCTTGCCACTGGCTCTACCTCTGCCCTCCCTCTTGAATCTTTTCTTCTCACCTTGAGTGTCTGTCTGGCGGCGCAGCACGCCTCATGGTTGCGCCGCACTGCCCTCAGCGTCGTCACATACAGCACCACCCCCCTCTCCCCCCCCGGCGGACACCTCCTCTCAAATGCGGACAAAAGAGCATGCGTTGCTGCTGCTGCCTGTGCCTCTGCTGATAGCTCTGCTGAGGCAATCGGTGCTGCATTTGTTGCTGCATTTGGTGCTGCATTTGGTGCTGCATTTGGTGCTGCCTTTGTTGCTGCCTTTATTGCTGCCATTGGTGCTGCCATTGGTGCTGGTAATGCTGCTCCCAGCGCTGCTGCTGTGTGCTCTGCACTCGGTACCCCACCAACAACCTCCCCTAGCCCCGTCTCTTCCCTGGGCTCCCCGCGTCTCATTTGCTCTCCTTCCCCTGGGGCGCCTGCTGCTGTTGCATTTCCCTCGCTGCTACAGGGGGAGCGATGCACGGCTCCGCCACAGTTGCCATCCCTGCCTCCCACAGGTGGCTCTTCCGCTCCTGATTCTCCCCCCCTCCCTAGCGCCTCTCCGCCCAAGCCCACTCTACCCACTACTGCTGCTGACCCACACTCCACCGCTTCCCCTCTCTTGCTTTGAAACATCGCAAGATTCGATCCTCCTGCACGCCCCACTGCTGCTGCTTCCTCGCACTCCACCGCTTCTCCTCTCTTACTTTGACACGTGGCAGGATCCGACCCTCCTGCCCCCCTAACAGCTCCCTCAACAAAAACTGCGGCTTCTCCCCTCTCGCCTGCCCCTGCTGTCCGCGCCTCTCCCCCCACTTCCCCTGTCATCCCACCATGACGCACCACAGCACGCCCCACATCTCCCCTCTCCCCTCCATGGCCCACAGCTGCAGGCCCCGCATCGCCCCTCTCCCCACCAGTATCCAGGGCAGGGGAGGAGAGCAGTCGCCGCAGGGAAGCAGCACTCACTCCAACCCTCCAGCTGGCGCCACCAGCAGCAGCAGCAGCGGCACCACCAGAAGCACCGGCAGAATCCCCCCCACCAATGGCACCACCAACGCCACCACCACTGCCACCGCTGTCAGAGCCATCGGGCCTTGCAGCGGCAGAAGCAGAGCCGGCACTGAAACGGAGGCTGCTTATAGAGAGGTAAAGCAGCCTGCCTGGGCTGCCCTGAGTGAAGGCGCTGCTGCTGTGGGGAGGGAGATTCCCGGAGTCATGCTGGTAGTAGGGCGCGCCACTGTCACGTCGGAGGGGGCTGCTGGACTCATGTGCAGCAGAGTGGGACTCCTCGGAGGTTGCTTGTGTGCTCTGGCTTGCAGACACGTCTGACTGTAGGCGCCTGTGCTTGTATGGGCTGCCCTGAGTGTAGGGGCTGCGGTGGGGAAAGGGACTCCTGGAGTCATACGGATAGTGAGCACCACTGTCGTGTGCAGAAGCAGCAGGTGCAACAGCAGCAGAAGCAGCACCGGCAGCGCTGGCAGCACCGGCGGCAGCAGCAGCAGCAGCAGCAGCATGTGGGGAAGCGCGAGAATGACCGCTGTTGGAGGGAGACTGGAAAGGTCCGTGCAGGCTTTGGCTGCCAGACATGTCTGACTGTAGGCGTCTGTGCTTGTAGGGGTGGCTGCGCTTGTACGGACTTATGAGGTTTAATGGGCCGCTGTCGTTTAACGGGCCGCTGTGACTGTAAGGGCTCGTGTGCTTGTAAGGGCTTATGTGCTTGTTGGGGCTAATGTGCTTGTAAGGGCTAATGTGCTTATAAGGGCTTATGTGCTTATAGGGGCTTGTGAGGTTCTTCACTCCACACCTGGGGCTGGGAGGCCGCTTGGGACTCGTGCACTCCTCTGGGCTTGGCACCTTCTCTTGGCTCGGCATCTCTAGGCCCGGCATCTCCAGGCTTGGCATATCTAGGCTTGGAAAATCTACGTTTGGCATCCCGAGGCTCGGCATCTCTAGGCTCGGTGCATTCTGTACACTTAACGCATTCTCTGACATTGGCAAATCTGTTGCAACCCACACTTTGTCCAGGCTGGGCACTCTGTCTAGGCTTGGCACCCTGTCTAGGCTCGGCACTCTGTCTAGGCTCGGCACTCTGTCTAGGTTTGGAACCTTTTCAAAAGAAGGCGGCTTCAGAGTCGCCTCAAGACACACTCCATCCTGCGCTGCACCTGAAATATCTCCTCCTGGGGCTGATGCCTGTGCTGGGGCTGATGCCTGTGCTGGGCGTGCCTGCTTCCCGCCTCTATCATCCTCCTGCCCAGAACCAATAGCTTCCCGCGTACAGTCGGCTTTTTCAGGGCTGATGGGAGGGGTGACCTTGGACCAGTCAGCAGCACTATGGCGCGTAAAGACGTCCTCCATCGAGGCGAGTAGCTCTGGGTCAAACAGGGTTCGCTCTCTCTGCTGCTCTCCCTCACAGCCGCTGCTAGCCTCGATGCGCCTTGAAGAAGAGACTAGGTAATCCTCGTCCTCCTCCTCGTCCTTCTCCTCCGCTTCCCCATTTCCAGCTGTGTCAGAAACTATTCGTTTCTCTTCCTCCCCCTTGAATCTACCACCCTTGACGTGCCTTGAAGTAGCGCCTAGGTCATCCCCTTCCTCCCCCCCCTCCTTGACTCCAATCACAACCACACTCCCCCCACTCCTCGCCCCCACGCCCTCTCTCCACGCCTCCTCTATTCGGCTCATGGCCCGTCTGCTGCTCTCCAAGAGGGGAGTGAATCCAGCATGTTCCTCAGCTGCCTCATCCACTTCCAATCCCTCACGCACCAGCGCCACCCCGCTGCTCTCAAGTAGGGAGATCAAACCGTTCTCCTCCTCATCCTGCCTGTGCACTAGAGTCGACACAGAGCCCTCCTCGCCCCGCCCTTGCGCTTCAGCCCCAGCCCCTGTGCTGCTCGCCAGGAGAGTACTGAACTCCCCATCCTCCTCCTCATCCTCCTCCCCGTCCTCCTCCTCCTCCTCTCGTCGCACACCTTCATGCATTACCGCTCCTGCCACGCCTCCCCCTTGCTCCTCCAGAAAAGCATGCACATGCACATGCGCCACCGCCCCTGCCACACTCTTTCCTTGCGCCTCCAGCCCTTTATGTACTCGTGTATTTTGAGTCGACTCAAAAGACACTTGCGTTGCCGCTCCTGCCACACCTTGCCTGTGCCCCAGCAGAGATTCGCGCTGATGAATCCCCGCCCCTGCCACACACTTTCCTTGCGCCTCCAGCTCTTGATGCATTTGCGTTGCTGCTCCTGCCATGCCTTGCCTGCGCCCCTCCCCCTCTCCCTCCACTTCCCCACCCTGCATGTCCTCCCTCCCAGCCTCTTCCTCCCTCACTCCCTCCCTCACTCCCTCCCTCACTCTCTCCCTGACTTCCTCCCTCACTTCCTCTCTCACTCCCTCCCTCACTCCCTCCCTCACTCTCTCCCTGACTTCCTCCCTGACTTCCTCCCTCACTCCCTCCCTCACTTCCTCCCTCACTTCCTCCCTCACTCCCTCCCTCACTCCCTCCCTCACTCTCTCCCTGACTTCCTCCCTCACTTCCTCCCTCACTTCCTCTCTCACTCCCTCCCTCACTCCCTCCCTCACTCTCTCCCTGACTTCCTCCCTCACTTCCTCCCTCACTCCCTCCCTTACTTCCTCCCTCACTCCCTCCCTCACTCCCTCCCTCACTCCCTCCCTCACTCTCTCCCTGACTTCCTCCCTGACTTCCTCCCTCACTCCCTCCCTCACTTCCTCCCTCACTCCCTCCCTCACTCCCTCCGTCTGCACCTCGTCTCCCAGCCAAGACAGCACACTCATGCTCACCAGCCCCCAGTACCTGCCCTTCCCACCTTTCCCGCCAAGTGCCTGCTCCACCCTCCTCGATTGGTCCTTTGTATTAGGCAAGGGCAGGGAACAGGCATGGCAGCGGACAGCGGACACCCTCCTCTCATCCCCTCCCCACCCACCTGCTTCCCCCTCCCTCTCTTTCCTCCCTTCCTCTCCCCCTTCTCCCTCAACCCCCTCCTTGCTCCCTTTCCCGCTCTCCCCTCCTCCCCCTCTCCCTGCATCCCCACCATCTTGCATCCCCTCTCCTGTCCCTCTCTCCACCCCACTGCATCCCCCACCCTCCCCACTCCTCCCATGCTCTTCCCCCTCCCCGCTTCTCCCATGCTCTTCCCCCTCCCCGCTTCTCCCATGCTCTTCCCCCTCCCCGCTTCTCCCATGCTCTTCCCCCTCCCCGCTTGTCCCACCCCCTTCCCCCTCCTCGTTCTTCCCGGATTTCGAGCCATCGTGCCTCATTCCTCCCTCACCCTCCGGTCCCTCCCCCTCCTCCACAATCTCCCGACCATCAAATCCCCCCCTATCCTCTACTCCTTCCCCATCCGCCACTCCCTCCCCCTCCGCCATTCCCTCCCCCTCCGCCACTCCCTCCCCCTCCGCCACTCCCTCCCCCTTCTTCAAATCCCCAGCCGCCTCCTCTCCCGTCTCCCCTCTCCCCCCCTTCAACTGACTCTCCCCACCCGTCCCTCCATCAACCTCCTCCTTCCCCTCGCCCCCTCCTCCCCACTCCACCGCACTCTCTTCCGCCCCTCCCCTGCTCCTCCTCCTCCCCACCCCTTCCACCTCCACATCGTTAGACTGCACGCTCTCCTCCAAACACGCCACGTCCAAAAAAGCCTCGCCCCCCTCCTCTAACCCACCCATTGCACCACCTTCCCCTCCTCCGCCGCCTCTCACTCTCACGCTTCCCAGTCTCGCACCTCCCACACCGTCACGCGCGGCAACGCCATGCGGAGAGAAAATTGGGTTGCTAAAAATGGGGACCACGTGTGAGTAACCGACTCTTTTCTGAGCGATACTTCCAACCCTGCCCTCCTGTGCCTTGCCACCCTGCGCCCTATCCCCCCCCTTGCCACCGTGCGCCCTATCTCCCGCCTGGTCATAGTCCTTCCTCCCCCCCTCGCCTTTCCTCCCCCCCTCGTCTTTCCTCCCTCTCTCGTCTTTCTTCGGCGTGGCAGTGGTCGAGCAAGCCACGGAGCTCGAATCCGCGATAGAGCTCAAACCCGTTACAGTGCTACACTCCGTTACGGCACAGGGCGACGCTACAGCGCTGCTATCATCCACAGTGCCGATATAAGGGGCAGCGCGCAATGCCAGGGGCGGTTGACTCTCCCTAGTGAAGCCAGCCCCATGTGGAGAAAACTCAGGCAACTCAGCCAGTTCTCCCTGCTGCTCGTGACCGCCTTTGAGTTGCATGACATTGTGACGAGGTGACTTTTGAGTCGACTCAATAGTCGCCGGTTGACTCTCCCTACCGAAGCTCGCCCCGTGTGGAGGAAACTCTCCCCGCTGCTCGTGCCCGCTTCTGAATCGACTCAAGAGCACCCCATGCTCGTGCCCTGTACCACTAGTCAACACTTGTTCCCCCTCAGCCTCCGCTTCTCCTCCCACCTCACCCTTCTCCCCATCCGCCTTTCCTCCCACCTCAACCCCCCCACCCTCACCCCCCTCCCCAACCACCACACCCCCCACCTCACCCTCCTCCCCATCGCATTCCCCCACCTCATCCGCTTCCGCACCCACCTCCCCGTCCGCCTCCCCATCCGCCTCCCCATCCCCCTCCCCATCCGCATCGCCTCCCACCTCCTCCTCCCCCTCCCCGTCGCTCAGCCCCTGCAGCAGGCTCATCACGTCGATCGCCTCGGGGGTCGGGCTCCGTCGCCGCTGCTCCCATCGTCCCCCGTCCCCCGACTCCTGAGTCGGCTCTAAGACTCCCCCAGGCGTGAGGCTCATCACGTCGATCGCCTCGGGGGTCGGGCTCCTTCGTCGCCGCTGCTCGCACGGCTCTTCATCCTCCGACTTCTCTGTCCTCAGCTCAAAGCTTCTCCCGGGCGCCATGCTCGCACCATCTATCCCCTCGGGGGACGGGCTCCTACGCCGCTGCTCGCACGGCTCCCCCGTTATAAACGGCCCCGTCAACCCCTCGTTATCGTTCAACCCGTCATTCTTCCCTTCCCCCTCTCTGTCGCTCTCCCCGTCCCTTTCCCTATGACTCTCTTCCTCGCGGGTCGCACCCCTTTGGACCAATTCAGCTCCTACTATCGCTGCCTCCGCACAGCCCGCTTCCTCCAGTGGACGAACGGGTTCGCACAGCTCGCGAACGTCGCATGCTTCGCATGGACCAGGATTTTGCGAAATCTCTTCCTCGATGATGTCGCCTGCTGGATCGCCGATACCCTGCTGGCCGAAGGAGGGGGCATGAGCGACATCGCAGCTGCTGGCATGCGACAACGGCGGAATTGCCTGCGACGCATGCGACTGGTGTTGCGACACTGACAACGACGCGTGCGACGATTGTTCCAGGAAGCCGCTATCCAGCAGCCACCGGCCAGACGTCTTTTGAGACGTCTCCACATCTGTCGCGCTCTCTGGATGCACTGACGACTCTACGTTCGGTCTGCCGGATGCCGTTACATTCAGACGGCCGCCGTCCGGGACCGGGGAACTGGTGATGGAGCTGACGTCAGCAACGGAACCTCGGCTGCCGCCGCTTCGGCAACAAAACAACCGAAGAAAGCTCCCGCGTTTCTTCCGTTTCCTGACCTTCCTACCGTCGTTACCGACCCACAGCCCTGGCGAATCTCGGCCGTCCGACCTGGAGCTGCGAGATTCCCTGGGCATGGGTGGCGATCTGGAACCCGACCGGTGGCGGGAGCGCGTGGCTGATTTCTGGTCGTGACGGTGAGAGGGGGAGTGGAGGCTGAAGGGGAGAGACAAGGCAGACCCCATGATGCTGAGGCGATCCCGCGAGAACGTCACCGGATCTTGACGCGACTACGCGGGATGCAAACCTTAGAACCAACATTTGCCAAATCTAAGACGCTACCAACATTTGCCAAATCTAAGACGCTGGCTATAAATAGCAGACGAAACGCAACTCACGGGAAATTTGATACGAATGTACAAGCTAGGGAAAGGCTGTGCATCAGTCTCCGAAATGCGAAGACGACACCTGCTAGGTACGGTAAGACGAGCTGTTTGTATTCGTCCGCGTGGAATGACTTGCGTCGAGGTGCTCGAGATGGGCACCTGTGACACACTTCAACAGAGAATGGCTGTGAAGAGGTGAAGGTATTGTCGGGTCAAAGCATCAACCACCCGCCATGGCTCCTGACCACGGAACCATTCATCCGCCCTACTCTTTCGATTCTGTTCGCTGCCAATGGTGAAGCAAGGAAGGGTGGAGCGAGGGTGGGGGACGCAAGCAAGCAAGTCTTGCTTTGGCCTCGAACTTTGCCCCCCCAGTGGAGACCAGATTTGGCTCCTGGCCCGATTCCCAAAAATTGGGCCCGTCGAACGGCCCCTTGGGACCAGTTTTGCCTGGGCCTTGGGACTTGCTGCGATTGCAGATCCAAATCCAAACACTTCCGTCGAGAGCTGCTCCTGTCTTCTATGGCGCGGTCCCGTAAAATGTCGTCTGGAGTAGGGTTCGATTTCGTGGACGACACTCGATACCAGAATGGCATAGCCGTGGTACTTACACATAAACATGAGGTCATACATGGCCAGATAACACATAGGTGACGCCAGCGTGAAAACTATTATGCGGGTTACATGCAGACAAAAAATGTAACTGACATTTCAAGATGACTCGGATCCTGTTCTCCGGAGAAATGTACACGTCATGGAGGTACTTTTGACTGTTCTCGATTGGCTTGGCTCGATTGTTGCCAATCAAAGCTGGCGCACATCCAGCACACATTCATACATCCCCGCAGAAGCAGACAGACACCCTGTCACTTCCCATTCGCATCCCACACATACATCGCGCTTCGATCGATCTCCCCTCCCTGATTCAGCTTCTCGAGACTCCTGTGATCAGCATGCCTGACTACGTAGGAACTTCGGCCGAGCCAGGCCTGACATCGCCCACATCTATTCTCCAGGTATGACACGGACGGCGAACCTTAGGCTCGGCGTCTATTCACTCTAAAGAGTTGTTTTGAACAGCTCGATAGTCCTAGCAATTCACAAAGAATTATCATTCTCGTATGGTTCCTTGAATACGTGAAAGCACCCCCTTAGCTCAACTGGAGATAAAAATAATAATATAATATTCCGATATATAAAAGGTTTCATGATATGTATGTTTATTGTGATGTTCTGCTAGCACGCTTGATATTCGTATGGCTGGGTATGTATTAATATTTGTATATTCAGGGATATGGCAAAAAGCGAGTGGTTTCAGAACATTTTGGAGGTTTCAGCGCTTTGCAATTGCAGGCGGGGCGCGCGCGGCTGTAACGGGTTTCTCCTTTCACTTCAAATTCAAATGGCTTGGCGGCAACACAACAAACGGGCTCCCGTTTGCTGCACAACCAGCACATGTACTTCATCGTGGCCGTCCACAACTGGCTTTTCCACCAAACCCGCTCACAATCGAACGGTGCTTACAGCACGACTCGGACATCGCCGTCGTCGGTTGTGTCTCTGCAGCCTGGAGCAGGAAGGAATTTGTTGTTGCGTGCAGCGTCGATCATTTTCTCGACCCTTTCACTTCCATTCCAGCCATTCAGTTTCTTCCAGAATTCCACTGCAGCCTTTCCTGAGCCAATCACACCGCTAATCCCTGAGAGTGCTACTAGTAGTAGCTCATTCATTTCCCTAGTCATCACCCCGTTCTACCAAGTGCGACGTAGTAGTGGCTCGTTTGCCTTCATATTCATTGCTGTTCAGGCTACGTTTAGGGTTCACCACCTGCTGCTACTGACATTAGATACTTCTAGCTCTGTCAACGCTATTGAGCTCGTTAGCTAGGTCGGCTTTCTTCCGAAGTTTACAAGGCAGATTCATCATAAGAAACAGTACCGGCGATGGCCAACGATACTACGCCTGTATTTGGCATGCGTACTCGCAGCAGGGCCCGGGCTCAGTCGTTCTCAAGTCCCGTCCCACCAGGTTAGCAGCATCGCCTGGCCCCCTTGATCCCTTTGACCCCTTCCCTTTCTCTTTATCCCCTTACATATATTCCTTACCTGTTTTATTACCGCTTCTCTATCACTACTAACCTATGGTGTCTTATATTCACTGCAGGAACGACTACGCCAATGCCGAAGCTACTCCCCGAGCCGAAGCGACAGGCTGCGAGAACTCCTCGACCGCGACCTGCTCTGTCTGACGTCACCAACGACACGTCAGCAAAGCTCACTACCTCCAGCAAGCCTACTCCGCCTGCTCTGCCTGCTACGAAGCCAGCTCCCGCACCTGGTGATCCACACACTCCCGCACCCGCAGCTTCTAAGGGCTCGCGATTGGGAGAATCCGGCAGGAGGATCGAATCCGGCGATGGTGCGCATGATGACGGCGCTGACGCTCTCAGGAGCGAAGTTTCGAAGCTGCTACTCTCGACGCCGTGTCAGGAGGAGACCCCCGAGATTGTCGCGAAGAGCAGATCGAAGCTGACGCGGCAAAGCAGCACACCGAATGGCGTCAGCCCTGGGAGCCAGTCGACACTGACGAGGCAACCCACCATCGCGCGCAGCTTCAGCATCCACAGCCCGGTTTCTGCGATCTATGGCGACGTCCTTGGCGACGATGACGCCGGTCGCGAAGGCGTCGCACACCTCGACCTGTGCGACGCGCGCACCCCGGAGGCCGAAGCTCCTCTCCGCCGTCGCAGAGCTGCCGTTCTGGCGTCGCTGACCCCTAAGTCCGCCGTAAAGACTCCTACACCTGCGCTGACGTCATCGCCGTGCCTCTACGCCGCGCCCACGCCTTTCAACTCGCCTGAAGAAGCTCCCGCTCTCATCCGTTGCGCCACCTCCCCCATTCCCCGCGCAAAGTCCCCCATTCCCCGCTCCACGGCGTCGATAGACGGTGTGGCGGAGCGCGCGCAAGGCGGAACGGGGAGGCGGAACCGCGCCAAGTGGCAGGTGGGCGGAAAGATCGGCGCCATGCTGGGAAAGGACCCCGCGGGACTGCTAGCCGCCATTGCTGCCATTCGCGAGGTGAGACGATACGGGAGGACGAATGGTTCGCGGGTAGCAATCTCTGTAATTCTTGCAATGTCTTTGACCGCCCTTGCTTCTCTGACCGCCCTTGCTTCTCTGACCGCCCTTGCTTCTCTGACAGTTCTTTTTCGCTGCTCTCCTGTGTCGTGGTCTTTGCAGCATCGCGGCTCGCAGCAAAGCGATTCCGATGCCTCTGCTGATGCTACCGCAACGACAATTTGCCGCCTGCGATCCTCATTCGCCTCCCCACTGTCCTCCCCCGCGCTTCCCGCGGGCGTCACCAACTCAAGCCGTCGCGTCCCCATCTCCGCCTCCGTCGGAGCGCGAGGGCCGCGCATTCAGCGCCCCCGTTCCCCCTCCCCCTTGCGTCGGGCGCGCAGCCCTCGGGCGCTAACCTCCCCCGCCCCTGAGCGCTCCCTGCTGGTGTCTCGCTACCAGGAGGAGATCCCAGCCGTTGATCTCGGCGCTCCCTGCTACCCTGCTGGCAATGGCGGAGGATCTGGGAAGAGCAGCAACAGTGGCACTGCTGCTGTTACCGCCTCCTCTGCTGGGAGTGCTGGGAATAGCAGGGCCGGCAGCACCGGCACTCCGCTGCGCACCCCTGCAAGTCAACGCCGGTCATGCAAGTCTGGTGTGGACTCCTCCCCGCCTTGGTCCACGCAAGTCAACGTGGGAACGCCCGGGAGCACGCGGAGGGGTGGTTGGGCGTTGAGGATGGGCAGGGCGGAGGAGGGAGAAGAGGATGAAATGGAGGCTGTGAAGGGAATGGGCCAAAGGGAACGGCCTCTGAACAAGGGCCTGCTGGATGCTCTTGAGAGGATGGGATTGGAAGAAGAGAGGGGAGAGGAGCAGGACTGAGGAGTGCTATTGTCAAGATGAAGGGGAGGGGAGGGGGAGGGAGCAGATAAAGTGGAATGGAGTGGGAGGAGTGTGACGCAAGCAGCAATGGCATAGATATGTGGGAAATGCATCCAAGAAGTGAATAATATTGTTTACAAATAGGCAGGTTATGGATGGCGGGTTAGTGATAACACTGCAATCGTAAGTTCCCTCCTTGGGGACTGGGCCAACTAGCATGCTGGAGATTGCTTAGGCCATGGGATTGTTGCAATTTGCTCTTGCTTTGATTTCTTTATTCACGTTGTAGCTTTACGTTCAACCGATTTGTCATGTAATGACTCTTTGTTGCCCCCGTAACATAGGCTGCGAACTTCGTCGATGCTGGAACCAGCACTACCAGTTTCTCCCCTTCCTCCCATTTCGTCGTCGAAGTACAGCGACGCGCTTAGATTGGCTAGAGATGTCGCGAAGTCTCTTCGCGCCACATGATCAGGGCTGCCCCCATCGAATCCGCCCCCTCTGCCTCGTCATATCCACGTCAGCTCATCTGCGATTCACAGCGTTCTGCTTGCGTGTCCTTCGGGCTTTTCGCCACGCCGCCTCGAGAATTTCGAGAATGCCACCACCGCAGCGCGGAGGCAGCCCCACCAACTACCCCAACGGGGCAGACCTCATCGCCTCCCCTCCCATCCCCTCCCCATCCTTTCGAGACGCACCGTGTAAATTCTGATGTCCGGCTTTGACCCGTGGGGCTTGCGGGACCCACGGGACTTGCGGGAAGACCCGTGGTGGAAAAGAATTCCGTCGAGTCTTGCGACTTCTGACGGCTGTTTGACTGGATACGCACGGTTAGCTGACAAACTAAACGGGTACGGAACTGTTCGGAACATAGAACCAAACGTCGCCCGCCAATGCACAGTCTCATCTCACTTCTGCAACTCACATTGGCGACCAGGCGAACCTGTGAAGGTGCACGACCGTCAAGATCTCCAAGACCCACAGTCGGGTTTGTAAAACCCGCGGCTCCTTAGACTATGGGTTGCCTCCGGTCTGACATCCGCTCCAGAATGCTCTCGAAGTCCTTTCTTCCCGCCTCCCCTTCCCAATCTCGAATTTGCTCCATTCACCAATGTCCGACGCACAGTAATTTATTTCTTCCAGGTGAAAGCTGGTTCTCTCCCTGTGCCCAGTCTTGTCCATTGCACTCAGCGAAGCCTAGAGCAGGCTTGGAAAACCATAAACGCTTAGAAGACAGAAACTCAGCCTGTCTTTGTGATTTCAGTCACGAAATAGAGGCGGTACATACTCTACCGCAAGCCACAAGTTTCGCATTGTACTACGAGCTTCGTCGAGCTTCCCTCATGGCCGCGCGTGTCGCGCCGAGCACTCCAACCCTCTGTTCCTCGGGCTTCAGGCTCTCGCGGCCACGTCATCATCGAATGGTGATCACGCATAGCCTGTCGTTGATCAACAACGGAAGATCCGGCAGCCTCAGAATGTTTCACCGACAGGGTCAGAGCCATGGCGGCGTTTTTCATTCTCAATCGCCTTCTTCCTCCACTCGGACTGCAGCCGCATCTGCCGCCGCATCGGCAGCCGCGGCCGTTTCTCTCGAGCCGCCGCCGACGACCGCTACCGCTAGTACCGCCGCAGCTGCCGACGCCAGGGAAAGGCGAGCGAAAGGAACGAGGAGGCAGAGAAAACGCAAGACCGATTCGGACACCGAGGATTCAGCCATAACAGTTCAGGAACTCCTTAAGCGCTTATCAGGCAATCAGGCAGATAGTAGCGCCGCGTCTGATGCTACTCTCCTCTTGAAGCTAGACCCCAGTGCGACGGGACTGTCGCTCGTCGCAGAGGTCGCCGCGTTCCTCGTGCGACTAGACGCCGCGGAGTCGTCGTCGTCGTCGTCGTCGCCGTCGTCGTCGTCGTCGACGACGTCCTCGCAAGCTCCAAAAGGCCCCGAAAACGATAACGATGGCGACGTGGCGCCGTTACTAGAGGTCACGCGGGAGGTGCGCGAGCAGCTTGAGGCCGCGTGGAACCTCAGTCCCAGCGACTCCGAGAGGGGAATCGGAGGCGGGCGGGGCGGCAGACGGAAAGTAGTGGTCCGTGGGCGGCGATTTCTGTCCCCTTCCGCTACCAAGCGGCCAGCAAACGAAGGGATAGATGGGGGATTGGACGTGAGCGGAAGTGGAAGTGAAGCGGAGCTGGACCCTGCAGCGCGGAGGCGGGCGATGCGGAGGAGGTTGCGCGCAGCCGCGGTCGCGATGGGCTTGCGGATGAGCGGAAACGCGCTCGAATTGGCGGAGGACGAAGGGCACGCGGAAAGGCTCGCGGAAGGGCAGGCGGAAGCGGAAGCGGGTTCAGATTCCCCGCGACGAAGGGGGATTAAAAAAGCGGGAGCGGTTGAGGCGAGCGCGATGAGCGAGGCGGAGGTGGATGCGCTGATTCGTGACTATGGCGGGGGCGACACCGCGATGAACGTTGACTGGACCAAGGAGCGCTCGTTGCTGCCGGCGAGAGAGGAGATTCGCCTGGCGGAGTTGATACAGCGCGGAAATGTGAGTCCAGTGTGAGTCCAGTGTGAGTCCAGTGGATCAAGGGATTGTGAGCACGAGCGAATGGCGGGCGCCCGTTGCTGCCGGCGAAAGAGGCGCCCGGCGGAGTTGATACAGCGCGGAAAGGTCAGTAGTGATGAGTGAGGAGGGGGATTGGGGTAGCGGTAAAGTGGCAGGGATTACACGTCTTGTAGTTACGTCTGAGCTGTTCACACTAGGCCACCGCTACCTCACCACTCATATCCCAGTTTATTGAATCTCGCCCATCTCACTTTCATCAGCTCTTAACCGTTGTACTCTCCCGCTCCCACGGCTCCTGTTCCTTACCCTTATCCTCCCTCGTCTCCCTAAAATCGCTGTCTCGTCCTCTTGCCTACATTTCGTCCATACGTTATCCTCTTTTTACTGCCCCTCGCTTTCCAGAAACTAGAGGAGGAACGAGCTAGGGGACTTTTGAGTCAACTCAAAATTCATCTCGTCCTCTCACCTATCCTCTCGTCCATCCGTTATCCTCTTGATCACCCCTGACTCTCCAGAAACTGGAGGAGGAGCGAGCTAGGATCGCTGCAGCGGCTGCAGAGTCAGCAGCACCGGCAGCAGCTGCACCTACCCCTGAGCTCACTGTAGTAGATTCTGATTCAGAGGGCAGCCTTCAGGGGTACACAAGCCCAGGGGCCGTGCTCCTTCAACATCCCCAGAAGCAGCATCAGAATCAGAAGCAGCAGCAGCTGCTGCTGTCGCATTCCGAGTGGGCGGCGCATTGCAAGCTGACTCCCGGGCAGCTGCATCGACAATTGCTGGCTGCTCAGGCTGCCCGAAACAAGCTCATCCTGGTGGGTGCAGAGCGGTGCTGGTGGGTGCTTCTCACAGCGTCGCTGATCTCACGCATTTGCAGGTTCCAGCACAAACGAATGCACCTCCCTGGTTTTTCCACCTCCCTGGTTTTTCCACCTCCCTGTTTTTTCCACCTCCCTGGTTTTTCCACCTCCCTGGTTTTTCCACCTCCCTGCTTTTTCCACCTCCCTGGTTTTGCCACCTCCCTGGTTTTTCCACCTCCCTGGTTTTCCCACCTCCCTGGTTTTTCCACCTCCCTGGTTTTCCCACCTCCCTGTTTTTTCCACCTCCCTGGTTTTCCCACCTCCCTGTTTTTTCCACCTCCCTGGTTTTCCCACCTCCCTGTTTTTTCCACCTCTCAAGCCGTTTCCACCTCCCTTTCTGCGTCGTGCCAGATTCTCAAGTCACGTTTCCAAGAGGGGTGCAGAATCATCTGCGCATCCCTCTTTCCCCTCCCAACCCTCTTCCACGTTGCCATTGCCATTGCCATTGCCAGCACAACCTGCGTCTGACGCACAGCCCATTCCTTCCGCCTCTCCACCGGAGCTGGCCTCAGTGCATCGTTGCAGTGTGAAAGCGCAGTCTCCCCTTTCTTACCACCGCAACCTGCGTCTCGTTCTCACCTCCTTACCTTACCCCCCCCTGCCGCCCCCCCCCCCCCCCCCCCCCCCCTCCCCCCCCGGTCCCTCCCCTCGCCCTCCGTCCCTCCCCTCGCCCTCCGTCCCTCCCCTCGCCCTCCGTCCCTCCCCTCGCCCTCCGTCCCTCCCCTCGCCCTCCGTCCCTCCCCTCGCCCTCCGTCCCTCCCCTCGCCCTCCGTCCCTCCCCTCGCCCTCCGTCCCTCCCCTCGCCCCCGGTCCCTCCCCTCGCCCTCCGTCCCTCCCCTCGCCCTCCGTCCCTCCCCTCGCCCTCCGTCCCTCCCCTCGCCCCCGGTCCCTCCCCTCGCCCTCCGTCCCTCCCCTCGCCCTCCGTCCCTCCCCTCGCCCCCCGGTCCCTCCCCTCGCCCTCCGTCCCTCCCTCGCCCTCCGTCCCTCCCCTCGCCCCCGTCCCTCCCCTCGCCCCCGTCCCTCCCCTCCCCCCGTCCCTCCCCTCGCCCCCCGGTCCCTCCCCTCGCCCTCCGTCCCTCCCCTCGCCCTCCGTCCCTCCCCTCGCCCTCCGTCCCTCCCCTCGCCCTCCGTCCCTCCCCTCGCCCTCCGTCCCTCCCCTCGCCCTCTGTCCCTTCGTCACCAGCACAACTTGCGTCTGGTGCTCTCAATAGCCCATTCCTTCCGCCTGTCAACCGGGGCTGACTTCATCGCAGTGTGCCAGCGCGGCCTAGAGGGCCTCACCACCGCCGCCCAGCGCTTTGACCCCTCCAGGGGCTTCCGCTTCTCCACCTTTGCCACGCATGCTGTCAGGACGGCCATCATCCGCGCCATTCCTGCTACCCAGTTCGTGCGCATGCCTGCAAGGAGCTCCATGGTGAGTGTGTAAGTTCTGGGCACTTCCACTTCACGCCTCCGTGCTCCCTCTTCCCCCTTTCTCTCTCCCCCCCCCCCGCTTCGCTCTCTGCTCCACCCATCTCCCTAACACTCGATCCCCACTTCTCTCCGTCACAGCCAGTCCCTTGTTGCCTCAATCCAACCATCCCATTCCGCATCCCCCACCCCCCACCCCCCTCCTTCTCCTATTCCCCCTTTCTCTCGCTTTCTCTTCCCTGGCCCTCATCTGACCAAGGCACGCAGCAGTGGTGCACTCTGAGTTAACCCACGCGCCCTCCCCCTTCCCTCCACTCTTCCCCGTGTCCTCTCTCCATGCAGCAGACCCTCATCTCGGTGCGCAAGGCACGGGCAGCAGTGGTGCATTCTGAGTTAATCACCCACCCTCCCCCTTCCCTCCACTCTTCCCCACGCTCTCTATCCATGCAGACTTCATCTCGGTCCGCAAGGCACGGGCAGGAGTGGAGCAGTGGCTGGGCCGCAGGGCCACTGTAGCAGAGGTTGCTTGCGGCAGAAGCACTTAATGTATCGTCTTAACCGTCCCTCTACTCTTACCCATCTTCCCCTCTTCTATCCCATCCTTGCAGACCCTTATCTCGGTGCGCAAAGCACGGGCAGCAGTGGAGCAGCGGCTGGGCCGCAGGGCCACTGTAGCAGAGGTGGCGGCAGAAGCCGGCCTCCCTGCCGCCCAGTGCCGCGCCGCCCTCGCCGCCCCCCTCGTCACCCGCCCCGTCTCCCTTCACTCTGCCTCACGGCTCACTGGGCTTCCCCTGGAGGACACTATAGCGAGTATGGATGAAAGTGAGGGCGGTATTGTTGCCTCGCGCCCTGCTACAGCCGGTGCTGCTGTTCGCGCTACAGCTGCAGCTGGTGGTGGCGGTGGCAGTGGCGATGGCTGTGCTGGTGCTGGTGCTGGTGATGGGGGTGCGGCAAGCAGCATCAGCGCACAGGGTGGTGCACTGGACCACACAAGAGCATCCCTCGTTGCCGTGGTAAGTTGGGCTCTAATTCCCCTTTCTCCAATCTGCCTTTCCTTGCTTCTTTCCCTGCGGCTGCAGCGAGCCCACTGTGCTGAGGTGCCAATCTGGGCTAAGCTCCGATTGTAATTCGTTCCCATTCTATCTGCCTCTGCTTGTTACTTTCCCTGCAGTTACAGCTCAACGTTTTACATCCACACGAGGTTCCCGTGCTGAGACCGATATTCACGCTGGGCTCTGGATTCCCTTTCTCCAGTCCTCCCCTCATTTCTTCCCCTGTGGACGCAGCTGGACACGCTACACCCACACGAGACCACCATGCTGAGGTGGCAGTTCGGGCCGGGCTTGAATTTTCCTTTCTTCAATCTGCCCCTGCTTGTTTCCTCCCCTGCGGTGACAGCTGGACACGCTACACCCACACGAGGCCACGGTGCTGAGGTGGCGGTTCGGGCTGGGCGGCAAGGACGGCGAGGGGGTGGGGGAGGCGCTGACCCTGCGGCAGATAGCGGCTAAGATGGGTCTGTCGTATGAGATGGTTCGGAGGTACGAGGCCCGTGGGCTGCTCAAGCTGCAGGTGCCGGCACGGGCACAGGCACTGCAGGAGAACTTGCGCGGGGGTTTGTGACTGTATAGAGGGGGAGATAAGGTTATGAGGCGCTGACCCTGCGGTGGGTAGCGGCGAAGATGGGTCTTTCGTATGAGCTGGTTTGGACGTACAAGGCTTGAGGATCGCTCAAGATGCACGGGCACAGGCACTGCTGGAGAAAGTATTGGGGGATTTGTGACTGTATAGGGGTGAAACTGCGGCAGTAGTGGCGTACATGGGTCTGTTGTATGAGATGGTTCGGAGGTGTGAGGCCCGAGGGCTGCTGAAGCTGGAGCTGCCGGCACGGGCACAGGCCCTGAAGAAAATGTGCGCAGGGATTTGTGACTGTAGAGGGGTGCTGAGGCGGTCACTACACACCAGGAGCGAGGGGATGGATAGTGGAGTGTACTGCAGTGTGTAATGTACCAACCAAGGACAGTGGTACCTCCCAACAAAGGGGAGGTTCCTCCTGCTGTTTGCTAAGGCCTGACAGCTCGTGCATTGTGATGTTGCTGGACCAAAAGTCAATAAAAGGTCTGTGAACGCAAGTGATATTTGAGGTACATGTAGCATCGAAGATGCTTTCATGAACTGGGAAAACCATACTTGAGCTACCACAGGAGCAGACGATGCACTTATGATGTTTCTGAGATTCATGTTGCTTGTACACCCTTTTTCTGCATTGATCCCTCATTCTTGTACACATACCACACGGTGGAAGAAAAAAGATTAAATCATAATTAGCAACTCATAAGGTCTGATATGTTACAAGCAGTGTAACACCGATGTTTGGCAGCAGACTTGTCAAATATAGGCGCGGGCCTGTGATGCCCGCCTCGCGTCGAGGTCAAAGGTATTGCCCTGGCTGCCTAACGACATATTTGGCGATGCATCTGACGAGAGAGGCTGAGCGCCGTCCAGATTCGTCATCTGACGGCTGTGGTTGCTTGCGAGGCGTACTGCTTGAGGGCCTCGGGAATGCCGTAGCGAATGGCGTTGAAGGGAATGCGCATGTCGTCTCTGTAGATCCGCTTTGCACGCTCGAGCAAAGCCTGAACCGCACAGCATGTAAAAAGGGGAGGGGGAGGGAGGGGCAGGGGGTGGGTGGAGGTGTGGGAGCACTTGGGTTTGTTGTTCCGGAAATACCAAAACACAAATTATGCCCAGCTGAAGAATTTGCATGCTTCGAGTTTGCGTGATGGAAGATTTCAGATGCGACGAGGCAGCACTTGCTCCAGAGGGGGTCGGAGAGGACGACGATCTGCGGTTGCTCCATAGTGTACGAGGCAGCACTTACAGTAATAACACGCTTCTAATCGCACACTGCACTCGGCGTATCGCTCACCCACCTTTTCATACAACTGCGCGGATCGTTAGTCAGGTCCTGTGAGTTAGAGAGCGACCTTTTCCTCTGGAGTATAATGGCTTACACTGGCCCTTCTGGAGGGTCTTCAGTTTACCCCTGGGATATGGCCGATATATAGCATTCACCTCATCATACAAGTCTCAGCTTGTCGTACCATAAGGCAGCACTATATTCTCAACTTATCGTACCATAGTAAGGCAGCACTTGAGTCTCACCTTGTCATACAGCTGCGCCCATTTCTGGTCCGCTCCTGTGAGCTGGAGCGACTTGCCCTTCTTGGGGGGCGTCAACGTCACTTGATCCCTGATCCCTGAGATATGGCCGACACTAGCACTCACCTTGTCGTACCATAAGGCCGTATCGTACCATAAGGCCGTATCGTACCATAAGGCCGTACCATACCATAAGGCACCAGCACTTTAGTCTCACCTTGTCATACAGCTGCGCCGATTTCTGGTCCGCGCCTGTGAGCTGGAGCGACTTGCCCTTCTGGAATATTCCGAGATCCGACGTGTTGAGCTGACGCATCACCGCTCCCACGTCAGCCGACATGCTCTCGAAGCGGCCAACGAAGTCGTAGTGCACGCGATCCAAACCGCAGAGGCCGATCTGAAGAAGATAGGAGATGGAAGGGGGTTGTCAGATAATAGCAGGGGAGAGGGCGCTCAGCTGGCTTGCTCTTACAGCGGCCCACGAAGTGGTAGTGCACGCGATCCAAACCAACTGCAGAGGTCCATCTGCATGGGACGAGGGAGAGGGGGACGAGCAGATACAAGCGGGGAGCAATATTTCACATAGGATGATGCCATCAGCATCATGATATCATGCACTGCCATCACCCACCATGCATCACCATCACTCCCCATCCCTCACCTGATCTCACAACGACCCGCCATGCCTCACAATCTCTCATCAGCCGCACCTGCTTATCAATGTGATTCTCAACGGCATCAGCATCCCCCTTAAGAGCCTCCTCCACAAGCGCCAGAAACTCCGCAAACGAAAAGTTCCCGCTCGGATGCCGCTCCAGCACCGCACCCAACCGCGTTGTATTCCCAAACATGGCATCCGCCCAATACAGCCTCGGATCCCCCTCGTTTGTAAAATTCCTTGCGTGTACAAACTTGTCGAGGTACGCTGATGTGGCGCGGGTGAGGGGGTTACGGACAAAGGTGAACCGGAAGACGTCTCGCCGGGTGATGAAGCGGATGGCCCCCTCTTCGGTAAGCTGGGGAAGCTCCGTGATGCCGTTGAATCCGCGCTGGTGAATCATCTTGAAGTCTTCTGTCGTGATGTTTAGAGCTGCTGGCCCCTCTGCTGCTGCTGCTGCTGCTGGCGCTGGCGCTGCCGTTTCTGTTTTTTTGGCTGCTTCCCCTGCTGGTTCTGCTCCTGTTCCCCCCCCTGCGCCTGCTGCTGCTGCTCCATCTCCAGTCCCGCCCTTGCCAAACGAGTGGAAGGCGGAGAAGTTTCCGCGAAGCTTCATGAGGCGGAACCAGAGCTTCCAGCTGGTGTTGCCCACCTTGGGCAGAGCGCAGTAGAGGGCGTTGAGGGACTCTGGGGTGGGGGGGGAGGAAAGGGGAGATAGAGCACGGGCGGAGTGGAGCAAGTGTGTATGTGAGTAAACCAGAGCTTCCAGCTGGTGTTGCCCACCTTGAGGGGAGCGCAGTGGGGTGCATTGAGGGACTCTGGGGGGGCGTGGAGGAGGATGGAGAGGAGGATAGAGGAAGGAGAGGGCGAGGAATGAGAGGGCGAGGAGGGAGTGGAGAAGGAAGGAGACGGGGAGCTTTGAAGCATCTCAAGGCACTCACCGTCCACAATCATGTGCTTCGCGAATTTATTCTCCAACAGTGGCTTTGGGCACCCGGCTGTGCACAGCGACGGCTGCACGACGTCAAATGCCCGTGCCAGCCCTCGCGATTGCCGGGTTGAGCCGCGGGCAACAATGAAGGCGAAGGCGGGCGACTTGTGAGTATAGATGAGCGAAGGTGCGTCTGAGAGCAGGAAGAGCTCTGCCAACTGCAAGGAGGGGGAGGACGTGCAGGGGCGGACAGAGGAAGGGAGGGGCGACAATCGGTGAAGGCGGGCGACTTGTGTGTGTAGATGAGAGAAGGGGCGTCTGAGAGGAGGAAGAGCTCCGCCAACTGGGGTGATTGGGCGGGATTGGGGGAAGGAAACACAGGAGCACGGTGGGCGTGTTGATCCGCGGGTGACAATGAAAGTGAAAGGGACTTGTGAGTGAAGTTGAGCGCCGGGTCGTCGGAGAGGAGGAAGAGCTCGGCCAACTGCAAGGAGGGGGAGGACGTGCAAGGGCGGACAGGGGAAGGGAGGGGCAACAATCAAGGTGAAGGCGGGCGACTTGTGAGTGTAGATGAGCGAGGGGGCGTCTGAGAATAGGAAGAGCTCCGCCAACTGGGGTGATGTGGGGTGGGGGGATGTGGGATGGGTGGGTGAGGGGGGTGGGGAGGGGGGGTTTGAGTTGAGGACCATGGGACATGAGGTAGGGGTGTGATACAGCAATAAATGTCCAATAGAAAGGTGCCATTGTGTCAATACGTGGCAGCAACTGGTTGATGGGGAAGGTGTGCGATAGAGCGATAAATGTGCGGGCTGCGCCACAGAGCCACGGAGCCACAGAGCCATAGAGCCACAGAGCCACGGTGGGGGTGTGTCGCTAGGTGCACGAACTAGCAGCGGGCACTAGAGCCAGGCACTCACCGGTCTTTGGGAGCACGCTACTGCCACCCCCGCACTCCCTGTATCTGTCTCTTCACAGTAATTGGCGCGTCAGAGCCACAGACGGCAGCAGGGGCACGGAAAGGGTGAGCAGGTAGGGTGAAGGCTACCAGAGTGAGGGCACTCACCAGTCTTTGGGAGCACGCTACTGCCACCCGCGCACTCCCCTCCATGTCGTCCTCCCTGCAGTGCTTGGCGCGCCACAGAGCCACGGACGGCAGCAGGGGCGCACGGTTGGGGTGGAAGGCGGAGGAGACAGAGAGGGCAGGGAGGGGAGGCGAGGCGGCGGCTAGGGTGAAGTCGAGGGAGGGGTTGTAGAGGAAGAGAGTGGTGAGGTTGCGGGTGAGACAGGTGGGGAGGTGCTTGCTGGCGCTGGCGCATGGTGGGGGTGGGGTGGTGCCTGTGTGCTTGGGGTCCTGAGGGGCGTGGGAGGGAGGGGAAGACAGGCAGGGACATGAGGAGAGAGGGGAAGGGAGCGATGAGGGAGAGTAGCAGCTAGAGTGAAGCAGAGAGGGCGGGGAGGGGAGGGGAGGTGCTTGGTGGCGTTGATGCATGGCGGGGTACGTTGGCTCCTGAATGCTTGTGATCCTGAGGGGGAGTGCATGGGAGGGGAGGAAGGGCACGGGAAGGGGTGCGGAGGGGTGTGTTGGGTTCTGCGTCGAGGCATTGTGCGGGCTGCGTGCTTGTGGCCCTGTGGCTCCTGACCGCTTGGAGCCCTGAGGGCGCTTTTGAGTCGACTCTAAAGTCACCGCATTGAACGGGCTGTGTGCTTGTGGCCCTGTGGCTCCTGGGTGCACGCCAGAGTTACAGTATGCCATCATGCTACACCATGTCACACCATGCTGCAGCATGCCACACCATGCCGCACCATGCCGCACCTTGCCGCACCATCATGCTACACGTGCCACACAATGCCCTACCACGCCCCACCCTGCCCTCACCTCCAGCAACACTCCGATCGTCTTCCTCGCTCGGCCCACATCCTCCCCCTCCACCATCGCCTGCACCGCTGCTGCCGGCTGCAGCGACTGGTAGCACGTCATGGTCTCCTCGTACACTCCACAGGGGCTGGTGGCCGCCTGGAGAGAGAGAAAGGGAGTCAGAAGGGAGACAGAGAGGGTGACAGAGAGGGTGACAGAAGGGTGACAGAGAGGGTGACAGAGAGGGTGACAGAAGGGTGACAGAGAGGGTGACAGAGAGGGTGACAGAAGGGTGACAGAGAGGGTGACAGAGAGGGTGACAGAAGGGTGACAGAGACAGAGGCAGGGCGAGGGGAGTGGGATAAAGGGGCATTTAGGGGCACCGCTGCTGCTGGCTGCAGCAACTGGTAGCACCTCATTGTCTCGTCGTACAGCCCACAGGGGCTGGTGGCCGACTGGAGGGAGAGAGACAGCGACAGAGATAGACACAGATCCAGGGGGAGGGGAGTGGGACAGAAGGGTTCAAGGGCCACTACTGGTGCTGGCTGCAGCGACTGGTAGCACCTCATGCTCTCGTCGCACAGTCCACAGGGGCTGGTGGCCGTCTGGAGGGGGAGAGAAAGTTAGCGAAAGAGAGGAGGGGTGGAGGAAGAATGAAGGGAGGGGAGTGGGATAGAGGGCCACACATATAGGGGCACTGCAGCACCTCTTGTCGTATCGCACCTCTGCAGAGGAGCTAGACACATGAGGCACGCTGACAGGTACTGATACTGTCAGTAATCACTCATCATACTCACCATGGCTCAGGTACTCACCATGGCTCGGCCCAGACGTCGCGGCACATACACCGCCATGGGCAGCAGCAGAGGTGATAGGACACGCGGCATACGGACTATGATACCCGGTGATGGTGGTAGGTACGTATTTAGACTCACCATGGCACGGCCGAGGTGCCGCGGCACATACACCGCCATGGGCAGCAGCAGAGGGCTCCACGGCTCATTCTCCTTCTCCCAACACCGGCCCTTCACCTGCCAATAGCAACACGCCACGTCACCGTTACACCACACTGCACGCAGTTTCGCAGTTCCTACAGCGATGCTTTTTCACACTGCATTGCCAGTTCACGCAGCTATGCACATAGAAGCGGCAACGCGCGACTCACCGAGGCAATCCCAAAGTCCTCCCCCCCGTTCTCTGCCCCGCCTCTCCTCTCCACCCGAATGCGCCTCCCCCCTGCCGCCACCACCATCCCTGCAGGCAGGGACGTGCGAACCACCACCCCCTTGGGCGGCGTCAGGAGCGCAGAAAACGGCACCAGAGGAGGGTCGTTTGCTGCACCGCTGCCGCCACTGCTGCTGCTGGTGCTTGCAGGGGTGCTAGAGTGTGGGCGCACGTCCCACAGAGCCCCCACAGTGACGTTGTGCAGGGCAGCGAGAGCACTGGCCTGGCACAGGCGCTGCAGGGCCAGGGGGAGCACGGACGTCTGGGAGGGGTGGTAGCCGGGGGGAAGGGGGGGAAGGGGGGAAAGGGAAAGGGAGACAGAAGAGGAGTGTTATGCAGGGCAGCTAACGCACTGGCCTGGCACAGGCGCTGCAGAGCTAGAGGCAGCAGGGACGTCTGGGGTGGGGGGAGTCATTCTTGAGAATTCAAAAAAATGTCTGGGGTGGGGGGAAGAGAGGGGCAGTGCGGAAAAAGGCTCACATGCGCATGCACATGCACATGCACATACCGACCCTCACGCACCGTGATATGCACGATGGCTTGCACACCGTCCCAGCTATCGGCGCTATCTGCCGCAACCGTTTGTGCGCCCGTGTCTATCAACGCATCCACAGGCGGCAACCCCGCTGTTGCTGTTGTTGGTGCTTCCATGGCTGGTTCAGTTTCTGTTTCTGTTTCTGTTTCTGTCACTGTCTGTGTTTCTGATGCTGTTTCTGTTTCCGTTGCTATTTCCGTTGCTCCGCCAGCTGTAGCCCCTCTCATCATGCCTCCTGCGCCTCTCACTCCTGTTCCTGCCGCTACAGCCGCCGTCCCCTTGCCGCCCACCCCGACCTCCCCCGCCGCGTCAGGATCACCCTGTTCGAGCCGCGCTACAGCCGCCGTCCCCTTGCCGTCCTCTCCAACCTCTCCGACCTCTCCAGCCTCACCACCTGCCGCCTCGGTCTGCTCGAGTCGCGCTACAACCGCGATGCCACTTAGAGGCGCTGCTGCCGGCTCCAGGAACTTGGGAGCAGCTGCCGGCGCCATGAGCATTGCTGTCGCCGTCGCTACAGCCGAAGCCGAAGCCTCCACGGGATAACTACCGCCGCCGTCCCCTGCATTGGGTCTACTGCGGTCGCCGTCGCCCCCTGAATTAGCGCTGCTGCTATCACCATCCGCGTCGTCGCTACCGCCGCCGCCGCTACCACCGCCAGTGCCACCCCCGCCCCTTAAGCTATCGCCGCTGCTGCGGCTGCTCCTGCTGCTGCTGCTGCTGCTGCTTGGAATGCCGACAATGGCGGCGGCGTCGCTAGTAACGGGACTGCTACTAACGAGGCGTGCAGCGTCGGCGTTTCCCGGCGCAGCCGCGGGCACGTCATCACCACCACGATGATCACTGCCGCCAGTGGTCATCCCTGATGACATGGCATCATGATTACGAATGCGATAATCATCATGACGCTCGGCGATGATCTCGCGGCGAGATCCATTCAGAGAAGGGGCCCCCGGCTGGGACAGGTCGTGCGGCTGGAAAGCCGGGCTACTACTACCATTTTCAGCTTGAAGTTGCTCCGCAAGTTGCGGCGGTTGTTGGGTGGGGAGAGAGAGCACGAGAGCGAGGCATATGGCGGACATTAGAAGGCTCACGATGGCCATCAGTAGCACCATGGCGTGGCTGCCTAGGTGCGACGCGAGGGACGGCGGCGACGAGGCCGAACCAGCGCCGCCGCCGCTGCCTCCGCCGCCAGGATTCGCGGCGGACGAGGCGCCGCCGAAAAAGGGCGAGGAAATCGACGCGAGTTTCTCTTGAAAGGCGGCAATACCGTTTCCCAAGTTATCAACATTTATTGCGGCGCCGCGTGTTGCGGCGCCATTCGCGGGTTGCTGATGGGCAGCCGAGGGAGCACTTCCAGGAGCAGTGTTCTTGGCGTGATCGCCATGATGGCGATTCGGTGTCAAGAGACTCTCCTTGCCGCTTGGTTTGCACTCATCTCCGTGATACCCGCCGCCAATCACGGTAAATTCGCGTCTGTGAGTGCATTCCCCAGCGCAAGCGGCGGCGGCGGCGGAGGAGGAGTGAGATCGAGCGGGGGACCCTTCCCACGGCATGTCGCTCTCGTTAGAACCTCGCCACTGGCAGGACGACTCACCAGGGGTGCTGGGAATTCTTCTACGTTGAAAGAAATAAAAAATGTCGCGAAGATTGTTGCGCGCTCGTCGGGTTTCTATCGAAGTTTAACGATTAACGGGTACGCACTGCGGGGGACTGCTAAAGCAAAATAATTCTCGAGCGACAACGGATTTCTAAGGTGGGCTCCAGAAAATCAGTGATACGTGAATTTGCTGAGACACGCAGCTCGAGCAGGATTAGAGGATTGCTTCCTCCAGCCAGAAAAGGTCCGACAAACTAATGCGTGTTTTCTATTCGTCCTGTCACGCAAATTTCGAGTTGCATGCGAACCCGACATGGTTCTGTTGGGATAAGAAGGCATAACGCTGTGAATTCCCTCCCGAAGCTTCCAGAACCGCGTGTCATTTGTGGTATACGGACGACCTAAATTACGTTTCAGAATGTTACGGATGTCAGGAACTGGTATGAAGAAACGCAACGCACAAGACCAACCCTTTTTCGTTGATGGCAGGAAAGGTTGGGGAGGAGGGGATCTTGTTCACCCAACAACAAAATACTGTACCACGGGCCGACCTGTAGATGGCAAATGTCACGAGATCATTGGAAATCACATGACAGATGTCTCGGGTTCCTCCAGACAACGAGTGGGACGAGCGAACGTTTCAGCCGGTTGTGGGTGGTGGGGATCAACAGGGAGTTGATATCTGATGTGTCAACCTCAGAGAATGTCGGGTTGGAATGGAAAGTGAAGGCTGCACTTGAGCCCAGGTGGTGGGAGTTTCCGTGGGGTACTAGCCAAACACAATTTGTGTCATCAGGGATCATTGGCACTGTATCTCGCTCAGTTGCAAGTGTACACAACCTGTAATTGTGACCAGCTTGAGAAAGCTGCTTGCATAATTGGGAATGACCTGCCGTGCGAGTGCGACAGACTGAGGTCGTACGGGATTGGCTGGGTGTCCTTTCAGACAACCACCAAACGAAGGAGACTGGCTCTCTCCACATCGCATTGATACAGAAACCAGACCAGGCACGCCGCCACTCGACTCCACCCCAACCCAACCAACGTCCACGTAGACAAACCGACCGGATCGCACCCAGCCCGGTAGAACCACAGGCCCACTACCTGAACGAGGTGAAGCCTACCTGGAACAAGGCTGTGGCAAACAGGGTAAGTTCCCATTATGACGCGAAATTAGGAGTTGTTTCAAGCCTGGGCTGCTGAGTTTCCAGATTTCCTTACCTGACGGGCTACCGTCCCGTGTGATTCCTCGACATTACGGACTACTCTTCTCGCCTCCCTGCTCCCAACCTCCCCTCCCTGCTCCCAACCGTCCCGTGTAATTCCTCACTTAGCAAAACTAGCAGTTTCTCTCAGCTAGTTACAGTAAGTGCGAGGCTATGATATAAACGAAATATGTGCCTAAAATGTTTTGGGGACTTCGTATGCTAGCGGATATTGTAGTTTCGTAAACGATTCTGTCACTACTGTACCTGACCTGCAACGGACAAATGTGCTGGCTAGGTAGGATATTGCTCCAGTAGAATCCGCGTTCGGGGTGTAGCTGAACGGCAAAGCTAGCAGCAAGAAAATGTTTGTTACTATGTGTTCACTTCAAGCACGCTACTAATACTCTACTTACAAGTTTAGCAAGGATACTGCGATGCACTTATAGGCGAGAAGTGCTACGAGCAACATCTAGTGACGTGGCTAAGGTCGCATTCGTACGTTTGACCGACGAACGAATTTTACCCATGCGACTCGAAGCGCGAGAAATCGACATTGCAATGTTTGCCCACGCGCCTCGGAGATGTACCAAACTGCAAAGACCTCTTGGGCAAAGTGCGACGTGGGCCCACGACCTCCTGCGACCATTGCCGCCGTCAGGTTTGGAAGAGAGTTGATCCACGTGACCCCAAATTGACGCCGAATGTGTATGAAATCGTTTTCAAACTGCCCACGAGTGGGGTGAATGTGTCAATTTATACATATATTGTTATGTAAAAATTATAGGCTAGATAGGGTATGTTCTTAGTGGGTACAACCCAAATGCTATATCTCCCCTGTTCTCCCTTCTTCTATTCATTATTTCTAGTCTTAACATGGTATCACGAGTAGGTAGGTCCACCCACCCGCTTGCGCCCCGTGCCGTCACCTACCGGACCCTCGCGCCCCTAGCTGGCCCCGCGTGCCCCTACGGCCCCGTTGCGCCCCTAGCAGGCCCCGTCGCGCCCTTACGGCCCCGTCGCGCCCTTACGGCCCCGTCGCGCATCTAGCAGGCCCCGTCGCGCCCCTACGGCCCCGTCGCGCCCCTAGCAGGCTCCGTCGCGCCCCTGCGGCCCCGTCGCGCCCCTAGCAGGCCCAGCCGCGCCCCTACGGCCCCTCGCGCCCCTAGCCGGACCCGTCGCGCCCCTAGCTAGCCCCGTCGCGCCTCTACGGCCCCGTCGCACCACTACAGCCCTATCGCGCCCCCACGGCCCCGTCGCGCCCCTAGTCGGCCCCATCGCGCCCCTACCCTGTCGCGCTCCTACGGCCCTGTCGCGCCCCTAGCCGGCCCCGTCGCGCCCCTAGCCGGCCCCGCGCGCCACTACGGCCCCTCGCGCCCCTAGCCGGCCCCGTCGCGCCTCCTACCGGCCCCTCGCGCCCCTAGCCGGCCCTGTCGTGCCCCTACCGGCCCCACGCGCCCCTAGCCGGCCCCTCGCGCCCCTACGACCCCTCGTGCTCCTACCAGCCCCCCCGCGTCCCTAGCCGGCCCCACGCGCCCTTGACGGCCCCATGAGCCGCCGAGCCGCCGTTTCCCCCAGCCGCCGAGCCGCCGTGCCGCCGAGCCGCCGTGCTGCAGTGTCCCCGAGCCGCCGAGCCGCCGTGCCGCCGAGCCGCCGTGCCGTCGAGCCACCGTGCCGCCGAGCCGCCGTACCGCCGAGCCGCCATACCGCCGAGCCGCCGTGCCCCTGAGTCGCCGCGCCGCTGAGCCGCCGAGTCACTGCGCCGTTGAGCCGCTGTGCCGCTGTCACACTGTGCGATGGCGGACGCCGTTCTTCGCTTGGACGCTGAGGGGCACGCAATCGACTTCGCCGCCTGGCTCGTCGACCTCTGCAGGCACCTGAGAGGTCAGCGCCAGGATGGGCACTCCCTGGCTATGCATGTTGATGGTTTGCTTCCCCGCCCCCCTGCGCCTGATCCCCTCCCTGCTGACCCTACCACTGCTGAGAGCGAGGCTTTTTCTGCTGCTGCGCTTGCTCGAGCTGTTTGGGATTCTCGCGACGCAGTAGCCCAGCTTGCCATTAGCCATGCCCTCCCCCTGTAGGAGCGTCCGCGCTTTACCGTTGTCGCGAACCAAGGACTTTCTCGCTGCAGTAGTTGAGCGTTACTCCCCACCTGCTTCCATCTCTGCTGGCCGCTTGATCCTACCCATGCCCTTCCTTGATCTTTCTGCTTTCCCCACGGTAGCTGACCTCGCTACTCACCTCCATGCACTAGAGACCAGCTACCGCGCTGCTAGCTCTGCCGCCCAGCTTACTGCCTTCCCCCCACCTTTCTGCGCTACCATGTACCTCATCGCCATGCGCTTGCCTGACCGCTTAGCCACTGCCCGTGACCACTTCCTTTGTCAGCACCCTGCCGACCTCACCCTGACCGCCTTTGTCACTACTCTGTCTGAGATAGAGACTCACCAGCGCACTATCGCTCAGTCGAGCGGTGTTGTGGTAGTCCCTATCTTTCAGGGTTGTGCCCCCTCCCAATGGACGTACGCTGACGTCTCCGCTGCAGTTGCCACGACTGCGCCTGCACCTTAGACATCAGCTGCGGCGTACCTGCAGCAGCGCCAGCGCCGGGGCCGCCGTGGCTACAAGGGAGGACGTGGAGGCGGCGCTAGTGGTGGTGGTGGCGGGGACAGTGGTTCTGACGAGGGGGTTGGCGTTGGTGCCCAGGAGCAGCAGCAGTCGCCGCACTCGCAGCCGCCGCAGCAGCAGCAGCCGTGGGCTTGTCTCCCGCCCGGGTGGCCAGGAGACCCTGGCGGTGGTAGTCGTGGTGGTGGCCCTTGCAGCTCGGCGTCCACCGGCAGCTTCGGTGCTGTGAGCTGCCAGTACCACCCCACCGCCCCACCCCACCGCCCGCTGCTTCCGCCGCCTCGACGACCTCTTCTATCACCGCTTTGGTCCCGCCCCTGACCTCCCTGACTGGCTCAGCCTGCTGCGCCACGGCGTGCCAGTGTTTGACTTAGACATGGATCAGATTAGTTCTGCCTTGCATTCTCTGTATGCTGACGCTTTGAGTGTTTCCGGATCTTACTACTCTGTGTTCTCTAGCTTAGGCGTAGCACCTGTGTATAGTTCAGACTCCCCTGCTACGTCAGGCGTAGGACAGCTTGCTTTGTCTAGCTTAGGTTCTACCCTTGCTCCTCCGTCGTCGGCCACTACGGCGTCGCTGTCCTTCACTCTAGACTCCGGTGCGTCAGCCTGTTTCTTCCGCGACCATGCCGCCCTCACGCTGCTTGCTGCGCCTGCTGCTATCGCCCTTGCGGACCCCTCCTCTAGTCCTGTCGTTTCCCGCAGCTACACTATCCTTCCCTGTCCTGCGGTTGCCTCGGGTTCCCTTACAGGCCTGCACATCTCTTCGTTCTCCATGAACTTAGTTGGTGTCGGTTGTCTTCAGGACCTCGGCGTCACCACTACGTTCCCTGGTCACGAGCGGTACGCGGTCTGTTCCGAGGCCGCCTCAGGTGCCCCCCTTGTGACATTGCCCCGTGTCTGGCCTGTTTATGCTGGACACTGCTCCCCCCCCCTCCCCCGCGGGCGAGTTCTCCTAAGGTTCTGCGTCCACCCAGGTAGCTGCGGCCTGCTTCTGTCGGTAGCTCACTCACCCATCACCATTGTAGCACGACCGCCTAGGTCAACCCGCGCTCCCCCGCCTGCATCACATGTCTCAGCACGGTCTAGTCCTCGGCCTCCCTGCGTCGCTCCCTGCTCTCCCTCCCTCGCATGCGCCGCCGTGCACGCCTCGTGTCGAGGGCCAGCTGCGCCGTGCTCCTCACTCCTCCTCAATTCGCCCTGCCACTGCACCCCTTCAAACCTTGCACTTGGACGTTTGGGGCCCAGCCCCTGTCCCTAGACCGCGTCGCGAGCGCTACTTCCTGGTGCTCGTTGACGACTTCACGCACTACACCACGGTGTTTCCCCTGGAGCGGAAGGCTGAC